GCCCGAATTCTTGTCAGAGGACAACAAGAACAGCAAAGGATGTGGGGAAAATACAGCTAGAGATTTGGAGTGCTTGCCTTTGACAGAAAACGAGCAAAATCAGATATTAAAAAGGCAATACAGTACCAACTCATCCTTTCACGTATGATATGAATAGATTTGTCACTTATATGCAAAGAACTAAAGAGGCTATTACAATTTTTAATCTGTCGTTTTTAAAAGCCTGTGGAACTTCTTGCTTCTGGACATTTTGGAGCACAAACTCGAGGACTCAAAGAGAGGACCGGACATGTCTGTGGATAAGAAGATTACCCACATAAACAGGAAACAATGAACCAAAATAAGCTGCAGTAGATGTAAACTGCGAGGTTTCTTTGGGAGCAGATTACCCTACAGCTGCTCACCACGCGCCTCCTGCGCCTCGCGCTGAAGCAGACAGCGCTGCTCTCTGAATGCAAAAGACTTGAGCTCAAACTCTGGGTCTGAAGGAGGAAAGAGTGTGACACAGGCACAGGACGTGGCCTGAGGCCTCCAGGACAAGCAGCAATGGGAACTTAGGTCGTAACTGTGGTCTAAGTTCCCCATAGGTAATGGCCAAAGTAATGCACCACCCTGACTAAATCCGTCCCCACGCTTTAGAGGAGCAACACGATGCTGCCTTTCAGTTTGACTTGTGTGAGGAGCTTGTGGGGGAACCCAAATGCCCCGTTTGAATCAGCACCAGCTAGGACTGAGTCACTGCAGCCCCATGGCAGGGCACAAACCCCGCACTCTGCTTTCTGGAGCCGCATGAGAGGGATGTTTGCAAGAAAACAAGTGTTGTGCAGGGCACCATTTGTCTCTCCATACCATGTCCAACCTCCAAATGCAGAGATAAAGCCAACCGTGCCACTGTGGTCCCGCACTTCAATTGAGTTTGGTGCTAAAAGGAATGTCCTACATCACATCCACCCAACAAGGACTCCTCAGATGCCTGAAGATCACAAACATGAGTGGTGCAATCTGGATGGGGACGGAAATTGGAGCTACCTAACCAGAGATAAAACACAATGAAAGCACAAGGAGCCGAAAGATCAAAGAAAGCGATAAACCCTAGCAGCGCGAATAAAGCATCTGAGCCCCCAGTCAGTACAGGTCCATCACACTTTCCCCTCCATGATCAAAAAACCTCCCCAGGTTGTGCGGTTTCCGTGCCTTCCTCGTGAACTGTCACCCTGTCAGCCAAAGGGAGCAGGCGCCGACAAGGGGAACACATCACTGGAGGCGAGCGCGAGAGCCACAGAATGGAACCTGCCTCCTTGGAAAACCAAGGGAATTCTTCACAGCTTCTGAAGCCTCTCTTGTGACAGCCAGAGCCAGTGAAATACAGCCCAAAACTGAGCACGAAGCAGCATTTACATAAAGATAAAAGACTCGACGCTCAGGGGAACAATTCCCAATCAACAGCTACATTAAGTGTACAGACTGCTTAAGGGGAGAACTGGGGAGAGAAGATCACAGAATCCCAGGGGTGGTTTGGGTTGGAAGGGACCTTAAAGCTCACCCAGCTCCATCCCCTGCCACGGGCAGGGACCCCTTCCACTGGAGCAGCTTGCTCCAAGCCCCTGTGTCCAACCTGGCCTTGAACACTGCCAGGGATGGGGCAGCCACAGCTTCTCTGGGCACCCTGTGCCAGCGCCTCAGCACCCTCACAGGGAAGAGCTTCTGCCTGAGAGCTCATCTCAGTCCTGCAGTTTAGCCACTGAACCCCACCTCCAGCACTGATCCCCCATCCCAACAGTCCTGGTGCCACATCAACCTCCCATCAGGAGCTACAGCTCAAACATTAGCTGCTCCTTAACCCAAAGAAGTCTTTCCCCACATCTCTCCTATTTATAACACTGGTGGTCAAGGGCTCCTACGCCCCTAACTATGGAATCTGCCAGCACTTCCCAATACATTTCCTAGTCACCCAGCTCCGACAGCACTTGTGGACCAGTCCTGTGGCTCCGGGTGTTCAAACGAATCTTTAGAGGCTCATTGCATGGAACGTGCATTAGCTCTGCAGGAGCACCAACACTGAAAAGCACTTTTGCCTCCAGTTCTCAGAAACATCGAGGGGAATATGAAACAATAGTGCACGTCAGAGGGGAAAATTAAAAGCATTTTGACAGGGAGCATGTGTAAGACTAGTGTTAAATAAAGATCTATTTTTAGTGGATTTACAATCAGTCCTGCGAGCTGGAAGTGCAGCTACGCAACCGCAGGTCTCTCTAAGTGGATAATCCAGCATGAGACCGTTCTATTTCTGGTTCTCAATGGCTCTAAGATGCTGCTGAGGCTCAGACATCTCATGCACCCGAGGCTCTGGCCAAAAGGCAGGTGAGAGGATCTGTGTGGAGAGATCCCTGTCCCACCATGTGGAGGTGAGGAGGTGCACGAGGATCTGCTTTAGTCACAGCCTCACATCCTGCTTTGAGCAGACTAAATACTGCTTTGCTTCCCCTGTTAGAGCCCAAGACTCTGGGAGGAGGCGACTTTATGCGAGGTCACCTCACGCTGCCTCTGCCCCCGAGGTCACCTACCAGGAGCATCCCTGTCACCCGCAGTGACCAGGACCTCAAAGAGAAGCACCCAATGAGGTGCTGGGCCACCCCATTCCCACTGTGCCTGGCTCTGACCTTCTGCAGTTCTTCAAGCAGAGTCATGTGGGTCTAGAATATCACCATTTACACACAAAAGCCGGTGCAGGCTGCTGGGAGGAGATGCTTCTCTGCTTAGGTTTCCTCCTGGCACACAGTAAGAAAACACTCAGAGAGCCAAACAAATCTTCCTCAGAAGGATCACCGAGACCCGTCCTGATCACCCTCAGCACCAGAGTCGAGTCTCAGCTGGAGTCACCACACTGCTCCTGCTGAAGTTGATGTGCTCCACGGCACAACGTGGGCCAGGCAAACCCCCCAATAAACACACACAGAGGAAAAGCAGGGAAACAAAACACCCTCGAGCCCTGCAAACCCGTTCCTGCTGACATCCATGTGCAGGGCTCTGTGCACGCCAAGCACAGGGACTCGGGTCACCGCTTGCTCTGTGTGCTGGTCCTCCTGTACCTGCACCGATCCACGTCACCGACCAGCTCCACGGTGGAGAGTGAAGGGAGCGAGCTCCTTCCAAGCAGCCACAGGCAGCAGTGACCACGGGCACAGAGCAAGGCCGGACGGCCCCATGAGCACCCCTCCCATCAAACTTCACACTCACTGCCTGCAAGACGCTTCAGTTATCTCTCCTAGCTCCTAAGTGGGGGTCAAGCCACACCAACGCTCCATGAAGGGCACCAGCCCCCTCCTGCTGCAAGTCAAACCACAGCAGTGTCCACGGGAACCGGAGCAGCCCCAGCCCCGAAGCCTTCAACAGGCAGAGTCTCAAAGCCAAAAGGACCAGGACAGGCCCTGAACCGCACCTCCCAAAGCACGAGTGCCCGGACGCTGCCCGGCGCTGCGGCTGCCCCGGGCTCAGCACCGCTCCCACCGCCCGCGGCCAGGGCGCTGCTGGGGCAGGGAGAGCCCGCTCCCCGGGCGTTAAACCGGGACCTGCTGTTGGCAGCAGTGCCCGCGGGCCGGGCCGGGCCGGGCCGCCGGTTCCCCCCATTGAGCCTTAGCGGCGGCTGAACGGAAGGGAACGGCCCCGTCCCCACAGCGAGCGGCGCCCGCCCTGCCCCAGCCGGGCTGCGGGGAGCACCCGGGGCAGCGAACCCCTGGACCCGCCACAGCCCCGCGGGAGGAGCCGGCGGCCCCGGGACCCCCTTCCCCACCCCCCCCCCGGGGGCTCTCCCCCTCCCACCGGGCTCGCGAAGGAAAACAACCGGGGGGAGGGGGGGGGGGAGGGGGTGCCACCGGCGCAGAGCCCAGGCCCGCGGGGAAGACCCGCCCCCCCCGCCCCGTTACTCGAGGAGGGGCCGGCGGCGAGCGGAGCCCCGGGGCGGGGGAGGCCCCTCGGGCCCGGCGCAGCGCCCGCGCTCCCTCCCCGGGGTCCGCCCCAGGCCCCTGGGCCCCAGCTCCCCCCCGCCCCTCACCAGGCGGGCGGCCTCGGCCCACGTGCGCTCCTTCTTCCTCCGCTGCTTCATCTCCTTCATCCTCCTCCCGCGCGGGGCGGCGGCGCGGCGGGCGCGGACCGTTAGGCGCGCGCGGGCGGGAGGGCGGCGGGTGGCGGCGGCAGAGGAGGGGGGGGGGAACGGGGAGGGGCGCGCGCGGGCGGAGCGGGCGGGGCGCGAGGCGGGGGCGGCTCCGGGCGCTACCGGAGGAGGAGGCGGCGGCGGCGGCGGCTCGGGCCCGACATAACACCGGGGTCAAAGGGCCGGGAGCGGGGGGGAAGGAGGCGGGGCTCGGCGACGGTGGCCGCGGCGGGACACGGCGGGACCCGCGCGCCGCGACCGAAAGGGGAGGGGCCGGGAGCGCGAAGCGCGCGGAGGGGCCTGGGCCTCGTTTGAAGGAAAACAAACCGCAAGGGTTGCTGGGAGTTGTAGTCCGCGGCTCCGCCAGCACCAAAGCCTCGTTCTCTCTGTGGACTACAGCTCCCGGCGGGCTCCGCGCACGCCGCGCGGCATGCTGGGACCGGCCGCGGCCTCCCCTCACAGCCGCGGGGCCCCATTTCCCGGGCAGGGGCCGGAGGAGCGGCACCGCCCGGGCCCCGCGGAGCGGGCTCCGTTAAAGCGGGGGTTGTCACGCAGCCGGGCTCCCGCCGCCGCGGGGAGGAAGATGGGGTCGGTCCCCGGTCGCCTTTCAGGACCCCGGTTGTGCCCTGCAGCTGCTTCTCCACACGGAGCCGGCCTTGCCTGGGTGGAGGACGCCGGTTGCTGGGAGTTCCTTCAGCGCCATTAATAATAATCATGTAGATGGCCCAAATACTTACTTTTTGGAAGAAAAATACCACAGGCTTTGCAAGCCATGAAGTCAGACCCCGAGGTGACTGTGAGTCACTGAGCTCTGCCATTGCTCACAAACTCAGAATGAACAACTGCCGCGTTTTGATAGATGCAATAAATCTCATTGACTTTTATTACACGTTGTATCTTAGGCTCACTTTACATTCCTAGACAAAAGAGATGATACAAATAAATACAAGCTGTAAAACTATGGACAGAACTATTGACAGGTTGTCTACAGATCACCTAAAGGAGGTGGAGATGGGCGGATCTCCAGGGAGCTGGGAGTTCTCACATGGACACTGCCTGCGGCTCCTGCTTCAGGGTGAGAAGGGCTGGAGACGGCGCTTGGACCACAGGCACAGCACAGGCAAGACCCGTGTTCTCGCTGCAGTTCTATTTCCACATCAGTCACACGGTTTGCAGGTTAACTGTTCCAATCTGTGCTTGAACACAGCAGAAACAGCCCCAGGAGTCGCTCTGAGCCATTGAAAGCCTTACACAGAGGGAGGAGAGGACGGATCCAGGTTTGCAGGTGTCTCACTGAAACCCTGCAGCACTCAGTGCTCAGCAAAGGCAGACTGACACCTAAAACCCCACTGAGCACAGCTCTGATCTGCCAGCCTGAGCTGCTGGACGGACGTGTGTGATTTAGGGAGTTCGAGCAGCATGCAAATGCTTTAAAAAGGCTTTAGAGCTACATAAAGGACTTTAAGAAAGTGCTTTAATTCCTATGCCTCACCGTGACGTGGTGCCTGCGCCCAGAGTCATGGGCGGACTCCTCCGTGGTGCGGTTTAAAAAAGATCCCATCCTACAGATCAGAGCAAAGAGGAGGATGTGAAACATTCCTATGAAGAAATGAAGGGCGCAGAGTGGCCGAGGGCCTCTTCCACAAGGCAGCTGATTTCCTGCCTTTGGCCGTTAAGCTGCAGGAAGCCCAGATGGTTCAGATAACACCCGGAGAGGGGCAAACGCTCAGGAATGCTTCTTACAAACTTCAACCCAGAGCTCAGCATGTTCCCTGCAGCTTAAGACAATGTCTCTATTGCGGTGTCAGTGCCACTGAGGGGCACCCACACAGAGAAGGGTGAGGGCAAGTCCATCAGAATGAGAGTAAAAGCTCGTGTGAGGATCTGCCCATGAACACACTAACCAAACCTCCAGCCCCAGCCTCAAGTTAAATACAGTGACTAAATATCCAGGTTTATTCTTTTCCCATCCTTGCTAATGAATTTCTACAGAATTAAAAGCAGAGCCTGTCTGACGTACCAACCAGCTAAACACTACAACAGACCAGTGGGGTTTGCACTGCCATTTCCACTGACCCGGCCCTGCCACGAGCGGAGTTTCCAGCATGTGAGTTGAATACAGAATTCCCCATGGAAAAGCAGCAACTGAGGAAGTGTGTGCGCATGTGCAGGCACAGATGTGCCTGGGTATCCATGAGTCACATAAAACATACATGTACACAGGTATGTACATGCACATGGTTATGTATTTTGTTGCTATTTCAGGTTTTGGACCCCTTTGTTTCATCCTCTGAGCACTTACATCATACAATCATCTTTTAAAATGTCCAAGCACAGATGAGGATGTGCTGGAGAGAAAGAGGGAGGAGAGGGAAAAGAAGGTGACATTACATTATGCAGCAAGAGCCAGATAAAAGGCCCTGTACATAAACAGTGCTTTATAAAAAGGAAGATTCTGTCAGGTTTCCATATTGAAAGCCATTTGTCAGATGCCTGCTCTCACAATTACAAGCAAACTCCTCTTTCTTCCACCAAAACTAATATACATATTAATCCTGAGGTCCAGAAAAGCACTCCACAAATCCAAGCAGTGTTACAGGGGGGCAGCTCACCGAGGCACCATGCCCGCAGGATGCGAGGTGAGCTGTGCTGAGCGTTTGGTCCTTCTGCCCCGGGGGCTCTGCAGCCCGGGTGAAGCGGCTCAGCAGACACCCAGCACACGAGGCAGAGCCCACACCTCAGAGCATGTCTAAAACCAGGCAAGTCCTCGTACACTCGCACGTGTCAGTCTGGAGGAAGTCATCAGTCAGGGAGAGGAAATGGGTAAATGCGTTCGTAGAATGACAGCCAACAGCAACCAGAAAAAGCAACATCCCAAGTCGCACTATACAGTGAACTAAAACTTACACATGAGCTGTGAGACACTAGACAGGGACACCTTAACTCTCCTTAGTGTGGCAGCTGCACCTCCCTCGACTCTGCCACGAGCCTGCAGCACCACAGGAGCCTGCTTTAGTCATAGGGCAGCTTTGCAAAGAGACCGTCAACAGCAGGAGTTCTCCCTCCCTTGTTTCCAAAGTAAAACCCCTGGAATTGGTACCAGATTCCAATACCCAGACTTGTGCTTTTGCTCCCAGTGGGCTCTGCATGGGCTGGGAGGTGCAAAGGCAAAGCTGCTAACATGGAGTAGGTGAGGCACAAGAGGTACTGAACGCTGAACCTCCTTGGGCACCAAGAGAAGGGACTGTACTTACAAGGAGAGTGCGCTCAAAGGCAGCTCCACATCTCGGTGCTCTGCCCAGCTCGCTGGGAAGAGCAGAGTCAGCTCCATGAGCCTGCTGGAAGCCAGCTCTGAGCCAGTGCTACATTTCCCATGAAGAGATATTTCATGTGGGAGACGTGAGAAAATGGCTGTTTGTCACCCCGCAGCTTAGAGACTTCATATGGACACAGGTTTCAAATGCCAGGGGTATGGATGGAGGCAAGAGAGAGGAAGAGCTGCGAAGCTGGCACTGGTGTGCAGATGTGTTCTCTGACAAGGTGGTTCCTGTTGGTAGGGGTGAGGTCTGCAGGAGGTCAGTTTAGAGGAGCTCTTACTTATGTCTGTAAACAAGGAAGGGACTTCAGTTTCTACTGCTTCCCTTCTAGAGAGCACAAAGTTGCTTTTAAGACCCCTTTTTTGTCCTACAGCTCTAAGGGAGGCACAGCCATCTGGTGGTGAGCACAGGCTGAGCGCTGCCAACCCCCCTGGCCAGACCTGCTGCTTAACCCCAAATGATGATGCCAGTCTTTCAAGCAGGAAGATGGAAAAACTAAGCACCTCGTCAAATTTGAACAGATCCTCTGCTTTTTAGACTCCTTTGGTTCTCACTATGGAGCTCTGGTGCTTCTGTTGAGATGACTTTCAACTCTTCTTATTGCCCAACAGCAAAAAAGCCCAGTGCAGCAAGAGAGCGAGTGCAGGAGGAGAGATGGTGATGCTGTGAGGTGATCCACATGCTTCCCATTGCTTCTAATACACTTTAACGTACCTCATGCAGTTCTGATTTCCTAACTAAAGTCTGTTTCCCACAGAGGCCAAAAGCCGAATTGCAAGCACAGATCTTCCTGCAAGGCTCAGTGCCCCTGGAATGGCACAAGTCAGTTTAGCAGCAGAGGACATCTCCAGGGGAGGGGGCTGGAGGCTGCCTGGGAGTTCTCTGCAGTCTGTACTTGTCTCTGCTCTCAGAAGGCAAAAGCAGTTCGTGCCCTGGAGAGGAACTGCTGGTTTTACTTGGGAACCAGCCCCCGGGACTGTGGGTACAGCTGAGAACTGTGGGGCCCTGCTGACGAGGGTCCCCCCGATCTCCTTCCAGTTTTAGGCCTGAAGAAATCAAAATGAAAAAATAAGAAAAAAGCCCCAACAATGTCACCTGTCACTTGTCAAAAAAACTCGTCCAAAAGCTGATTTTCTTTTTTACTGCATTTATTCTCTAATCAGCCTCAGCTTTCTCTTCTGTCCTGCATCCCTTTCTCTGCTCTGCACCTGAGCCTTCACTTCACTGATGAGCAGTGCTGACAAACAGCAACCGTACCTGTGCTCTGCTCCCGTCAGCCTGCTTGTGAGAGTCCAACTCACCTGGGTTTTGATTTTTTATTGGAAGTGCTCTCAAAGCTTGAAGCATCCACCTGTATCTCATCCTCATCCTGCAGAGCTGCTTCTAGAGCTGCCTGAACTTTGGGAGCGATGGCTGGCCCCTCATAGTCTCTCGTTGTTCGGTTGGGCATGTCCAGTTCCAGCAACACGATGTTCTCTGCCTGAGACAGTGAAAGCACAGTCAAAGTCTGCATGTTTTCAGACAAACTGTTTCTTTTCCCTCCAGAAGCTTATCCTGAAGTACTTCAACACCGTACAAATGTACATCCCGTATAAAAACTAACATTCCCATTCTGACATTCCCATTCCCCTCATGAGGAGGGTGAACACATGAAGGTTGTAACCACATCTGGACTTACCCTGTACCGCGCCTCGGGACGAATCATCATGGACGTTCTGGCGTATTGGCTCAGTGGCCTTTTGTATCCGACAGCAGATACTGGTCTTTTCATCATCTGCTGGTTACTAGAGAAAACCAGACATTCGGTCTATTACACACCAAAGCCAAAGGCTCCTCTTGGAGATTATGAGCTAAAACATCTGCAAACTCCACACAGAAGTAAGTTTTGAGAGCAGAAACGACCTGGGCTGCACTTGCAGGCACAGCTCTACAGAGAGAACAAGGTCAGGTCTCATCCTGTGTAATCTGCTCCCAGGGGAGGATTTCTATGTATTTTTACTACACAGGCTGCAGGTGCACTCAGCTGCACCCAGCTTTCTATATTTGCTGTAGAGAACTTGCTGTGTAGAGAGGCAGGATGTAGCCACAGCTCTCATCATAATAATTATGATTATTTTTGAGAGCTTTCCTGCCTAAACCAGGAAAGAAATGTGATGGGAATTCACTGCTAGGAACTTTATAGAGGGCCAGTTTAAATCCTGATTTGATCCCTCCCCACTGGGGTACCTTGTTCTTCATGTATAGAGGGTTTTCTATGGCCTAGAATTCCATCCCAAGACAAGACCAGAAGTGCACTCACTCCAGCCGGGTTATGGGATGCAGTTTCCACTGGTCTTCCTCTTCATCAAAGAATGATCTGTTCATGATCTTGTTCTTTTCTTCCAAGGGAATAAAATTTTCAATAATGAGGTGCCTACACACAGCCATAAAAACAAGCAGAGCGCAAGAAACATGATTAGCAGATGAGTTTCTCCACTGCTCCTCTCCCCCTGATTTAATACAGCCCTGGAAAAGGAGGAATGGTTTGGGTTTCTCTCATTTAAATCTTGTTCCACAAACATGTGCAATGCAGTCCCTCCACTCCCCACCCAAAGAAACCACCTCTGTTACAGGTAACAGCAGGCAATGATGGGACTTACTTAAGCTTCAGTTCCCTGGTAAGTTCATTCTGGGTCTGTTCCAGTTCCTGGCGCTCCTTGATGTGCTCTTCTTGGAGATCATGGATCTCTGCCTTCACAGCTTGCAGCTTGGAAAACAACTGCAATGGATAACAACAGCCAAAGTCATCACTTGTCAACATTCCTTTCACCTTCACACACAAGCTGACTTTATTCCTGACCCAGGGAATCATTTTCTTTTACCTTTTTGAGCTTTTTGGTCTTTATGTCCACCTCTTGCTGAAGAGAACTATAGGTCTCCTTCAGTTCCAGTGTTTCCTCATCCCGACTTTCCATCTGCTGCTGGATTTCTCGCTCCCGACGTTTCTGAAGAACGTGACACACGACATTAAACACCACAATCACACTGTCACCTCTGGGGGACACACATGAAACCAGCACTAAACCACAGCAATAAACCAGGTTTTACTTCCCTGGGCTCCAGGGCTCTTGCTTTAGCTTCTGGTTCTTCCTATCTCTTGCCTTAGAAATACCAGAAGCATTAACTCTCCTTTGTCCTTATTTCGCTGCTAAAATCAGATGAATAAGTGCTCAAGCTTCAATCAAAAAAATCAAACATCATGTTTAGATTCTTTTCTTATTTTTAGCCATTTGTACTGGTCATTGCACTTGAAGGAAACTATTACAAACCTTCTTTTCATACACTGACAAACAGGGCACGAGCCCTTCCCCCTTCTCTGCAATAAACTATTGCCATTGAATCAATTTTAGGGTTCACCCTGGGAAAATGTTCTTACCATTTCTCCTGACAACATGTTTTAGAGAAGTTCTGCCTGAGGCTTTTGATACGAAACAACCACTGTTCTTCCTCGTACCTGCTCTGCAATTTCCTGTCGTTTCTGTTCCAGGATTTTCTGCTGTTCGTTTGTGTGATCCACAATGTTTTTCCCTCCCACCAGAAGCTTGCTTTCCATGGCCTGAAAGGGAGAACCAAGGTCAGAGGCTGCTCTCCATGACCACAGAATGGAACCCACTCCTCGGGGCAGCTCCCTCCCTCAACGTTCTCTTTCAAGGCAGCTGCTACAACAATCACTATTGCTTAAAATTCCCATCAAGCTGTGGGATTAAGGAATCTGTAACTGCTTAGAATGGAGCACTGCTGCAACGTGTGGCAAAGCAAAGGCTGGAGAACCAAACCCTGTGCTCTCCTGTGAAGATCTTGTTACTGATCTGTGACACTGAAGCATTTTGTATGCTACAGCTCGTGAAAAGGCACATCATCTCATTCCACTCTGCTGACTGCTTAAGATCCTACAAGATCAGCACAGAAGAACAATGAAACGGCTCATGAATATGGAAATGTGTAATTAATGGTGGAACTTTCAATTTCAGGCTAGAAATAGTTTGTTTTAAAACCTTCCAATCCAGACACAAATCTCTACCCTGGAAACTTGGGAAATATCTTTCCAAATTGGGAAACCCTCCATTCTCCCCACAGCCTAAACAAATGGCTTTCAGTAAGCGTGACAAGGGAGAGCTCTACCTTGATTTTAGCACTCAGCATTTCTGTGGCTTCCTTCTCTCGCCTCAGGTCCTCCATTTTCTTCTCCTTCTCTTTCAGCAGCCTCATCTTTTCCTCTGCCACCAAGCTGTGATCCTCAACTATGGCTTTCTTCTCAATCTCCAGCTTTTCCTGTTGCTCCCTCCAATAGTCATCTTTGTCATCGCCTTCATCTTCACCCTCTTCGGTGTCTTCCTCCTCTTCCCCACCTTCTCTCCTCCTCTCCCTCCTCTTTCTTTTGCCAATAGACCGTTTTTCCAACTGTGCCTTGAGTCGAGCGATCTCTTCCTGGAACTCCCGCAGCAGAGCATCCTTGGGATCCTCATTCACTCGTGGCTTGTTCTTGATGTTCTTGGCACGATTGGCATACCTCAGCGTCGTCAGAGTCTCCTCTACATTGTAAGAGGCAGGGCCTATATTGGCCACCATCACCGTTTTGGCATTGCCACCTAAGGAGTCTTGAAGCAATCTCGTCAGCTTCGAGTCCCGGTACGGAATGTGAGTGCTTTTGCCATCTACTAGGGCAGAGATAACATTGCCCAAAGCTGAGAGAGAGAGATTGATCTTGGTGGCTTCCTTCAACCTTTCCCCCTGGGCTCCGGTCTTCGCCTGCCGCTCGCTGCCCGCGAGGTCGACCAGGTTGAGCTTCCCCACCCGGATGTGGTTCTCCCCATCAAGTCCCAGCTCGCTGCACTCGATGGTGATGACGAAAATGGCGTGGGAGCGGGAGCTGTGCTCGTTCATGTTGGTGGCTCCCACCGAGCGGTTCTGGTTCCCCACGTTCATCACGTGCTCGATCTCTTTGACGCTTTTCGTGACGAAGGAGGACAGGTCCTTGACGTACACACCCGTGTCTGGCCTCTCCTTTAACTCCAGCCGCTTGGACTGATCCTTTGACAACAAGTCTCTGATTTCTTCCTGGTAGATCTCCAGGTAAGACGCCCTCACTAGGTATTGCTGATTTTGGGATCTAGAGATGTGGGTGAAGATGTGATCGAAGGAGTTGGGGATGACCCCTCTTTTTTCAGGATCACCCCGCACCCCTTCCATCGTGTACGTTTTCCCTGTGCCAGTCTGCCCATAGGCAAAGATTGTCCCATTAAACCCTTGCAGGACAGAGTCCACCAGAGGTCTGAAGGTCTCATCGTAGAGCTCGACCTGTTTGGAGTTCCAGTCATACACAGCATCGAAGGTGAAGGTTTTAGGCAGTTCATGAGCTGTTCCCCGTGGATTCTTCACCGAGACCTGCCCTAGCTTGACATCCACGTTAACAACTCTTTCATATGAGGCTGTCTTCTCCTTGCTGTTCATCGGCCGACATCGCACCACCACCCTCACGGACTCGGAGCTCTTCAGCTTCGACATGGCAGCAGGGCTGTGCCTGATGGGGCCTGACTGGCGGAAGATCCCAGGCCAGAAACCTGGAACAAAGCAGGAATACATGAGGGCAGTTCTGATTTTCCACAAAGGAAAAGATTCAACTCATCTATTCGAGCAGCATTTTGCATTCATTAGGTTGTGAGGGTTTTTGAACAATAAAATCAATGTACAACATGGAAACTGTAAAGAGCCCTGAACTGAGACAGAATTGTTCTACCACAGCCTGTCCAGTGAATGGCATCATTCCTACAAGCTCTGCTCCAAAAAATCATCAAATCACACCTTCACAGTTGGTAGAGATCCTTTCCTTTCCCCTTAAAAAGTCATAATGCTTTTTAAATGATTTCTCAAAATAACGTATTTATTACTTGTAAAAATACTATAATACTTTGCTGTTCATTTGCTTTGCTGTCAGGCTTTTGGGTTTAAATCTGCTGGTTTGAATACCTAGTACAGGCTTGCTCTGTCCATACTGCTCAGGCTCTTGGAAGGGGATCAGTCAGGTGCTTTCAGTGCTTCACCTACCTACCAAAACTCCAGAGGAGTTGCCTCTTCTTGCACCTCCCAGGTACTGACAAAACCTTCCCATATTTTGAGACATTTATACTACAATCCCCTCACGTGTGATGTGTCACCAGGACCATCCTGACCCAGGAGGTTTAAATTCATCCTGGGTTTTCTTAACTGATAGTGGCTTCTGGGATGCCATTCAAATGCTTTTTCCTCTTGTGCATTACACTTTAAAGTCGCTTTCTAGAAGCTGCTTACAGAATAGCACATCTTTAATGCAGCAACTGTGAGGATCCAAGATAAAATCATTAAATGGTTTGCCCACTTCCAGGCATCACATTCCCTGGATATTCTGCATTTCCACACTTGGGAAAACTGACGTCACCTTTTCTTTCTGTGCAGAATCGAATGAAAAGAGTTGTAACAGAGACACTGATATCACTGTGGCCCTGTGCCCCAACGCTGGCTGCCTGCTGTCAGCGCACCCGCAGCCCCACAACTCCTCATCTGTCTGTTCCAATTCCAAACTTGCCAGTCAATGCTGACCTTTCATTTGTATTTTTTTCTCCAGCAGCGCCTGCACGCTTACTCCAGGCAGCAGCATTCCCGCCTGCGTTCAGCAGGGAGCAGCATTCCTGCCTGTGTTCAGCAGGGAGCAGGAGGAAAAGCTATGAAGGTGGAGTCACCTACATTATGCTTCATCTAATGCTCAAGTAACCAGAGGATCTTGAGGCAGACACCTGCCAGGATTTGCCCTTCTGAAGGTGAGTTTAAGCTCCTTTCATACCACTTCTTATAAGAATTCCATAAAGCCTCAGGCCTTGGAGCTCACATTCCTCTTTCTGGGATGGGGCTGCCCTCTGTGAAAGGATCCTGCAATGGAGCATGAGTGTCCATCTCAGTCCTCCTTGTGCTCCTGTTGTTACAGGGGAAGTCAAGACAACCAAGGCTGCTTTAGCTATTTCAAGCACAACTCCTCTCACAGATCTCTGCTGTTATTTTTGCCTCTGGCAATAGACTTTTACCAGGGTTTCCCACCAAAGCCAGCTCTGTCCAAGCACCTACTGAAACACCCCAGGCTCCTGCTCCAGCGTTCCCACTAGATCAGGTTTACAGAATTCAGCATCCATCTAAATTCAGGTTGCATAAACCCAGCTCACAGATCCGAGTCCTTCCTGACTCTGGGTACACGCTGTTGCCTCCCCCAGCCATTAGCACAAGCAGCTGCCATTTACAAGAGAACACAAAGACTGCTCCTGCTAAAGCGACTGCAAGGAAGATCCGAGCGGCACAGCTTGTGGAATGCCACGGGATTTCTAATTCCTTTCCAAATTATCTTTCAGGGAGATCTCCAACATGCTTCTCCCAAGTGGAACTAATGTGAGACCAACATACCCTGAACCCCAGGGCAGGCATCAGCTCCAGCCTCCTCAGGACGTTCTCACTGTTCTACTACCTGTGGATTTTGTCTACTTGTTCTTTACTCAGTAACTGCACATCTCAGGAGCTTCTCCAGAAAGGGGGCAGAGGACTCCAGGAGCAGAGCTGGAGCACTGGGAAAGGAAACGTAACATTTCTGGCCCAAGATCCAACTGCCAGCCTGTACTACAAAACCCAATGTGAGAATAACACATAAACACGCTTCAGAATTGTCCAGAAACCTCACTGGGGCCTTTGGAATTTCCATGGTTTGTGAGGGGAAGCGCCTGGCTCCTCATTATTCCCAGGAACAGCATAGTAGCTATCAGGAGGAAGACGAGGCACACGCACTGAACTGACCAAATGAGACAATCATCTAGAAGCAGCACTTCACAACCTGCCCAGTGAATTCAAACCACTACTGGAATTTTGGATTGCTATGGAATACAAACATTTGCTCCCCAATTTCCAGCCCCAAATAAGAGTGACTGTGCTGTCTGCTCCACAAGGAACACATATTCCAGAACACCAGCACAAAAAGGACACGTGGAATGGGAACAAGTCTTACAGAATCACAAAGAGCAGCTCCCCCTCTACTCAGCACAAGTGGCTGAACACACAAACACACATTTCTCCTTCTGTATCTACTGGAGATATTCCTGCAGCTCCCGTGCACAAGAGACAATTTTATAGGACAAGCTCCCGTAACAACCCTGCTTCATTTATGTGCATTGGCAAATACTCAATTAGGCATCAATTCTGCAGAGCGGAGCCTTCATTTATTTTATGTTATTAATACCCAAAATACAGTTTTGATGAACAGCACCACTTTTATAATCAACTGTGACCAACCCTAAATGATCAGAACCATTAGTCCTCAGCCAGACTGGTTCTGGACAGGAGTACATGGAACAAAACTTGCACTGTGAATTTGCTGTTCTTCTGGGTATTACATCTCATCAACGTGAGCTTGCTAATCCTCTAACTCCTTTCCCCATTGCACGTGTAAGTACCTTTTTATAGTCACAAAGAACTTATCTTCCTGATTTGGGCTGGTTTCAGAACAAGCCATGAGGAACCACCTCCAATTATCGTAGCTACTGCTGTGAAGTCTCCTGGAAGCACAACAAATGCTGTTTCTTCTAAGACTCACACAACTGGGTAACTGGAAAATGAACCCAATTAGTCGGTGATGTTCGTATTCCCCAGAAACTCCAAGGTTGGAGCTGCCTGGCACAGCCGGACAGGAACGGGCAGTGGAGCTGGGATGGCCACTGGGCCATCTGCTCCTCTGCTATGGGGAGAGGACTTTGCTCAGGACATTACTCCAGCCTAAAGCAACCTGAGCCAGGTCCCTATGAGTCAAGGTCAAGCCTGAGATGAATGCATCTGAAGACGTGCTCCAGATGACCAAGAGAGGATGGACAGAAATGAAAGCACAAGTCACAAGGTCGTGCCTGGAACACCAAACCCTGCCACACCCGGAGGTAAGCAGGGGTAACTGTGTCACGTCTGGCTGAGCTGGCCATGCCCCAGGCACACTGCACTCACCCCAGCCACCCCTCACTCACCCTCCTGCCTCCTGAGGCCCCTGTTCCCTGGTTCCACTGGAAGAACCCTGGCAGATTTCTACAGTGCGGTACCTAAACCCTCCCCTCCCGTCCCTGCACATCCCCGGGTACCCCTTCAACAGCTCTGTTGCTTTCTTGCAGTTTAAACCTTGCACATATTCGGGGTTCACGATGTCCTGCCTTCACCGCTTGTGTCTTACTCCTTCCCCAGCAGCCGCCTCTTCCGCTGCTGTTCCCCTCTCCCCTCCCTGCCCAGCACACCCCAGACCCCCCGCTGCTGCTGCTGCTGCAGCCGCCCTGATTTCACTCAGTGCCCGCGGTCACCTCGGTGCTGCACCCACGGGTGCGCCCTGCCCCGGGGGGCGGCGGGGGCGGTACCGGATCCCCGAGTCCGTGCCCGGTTACCGGTTCACCCGAGCATCACCCACGGCCGCCACAGCGGGCAAAGCAAGACAGGGCCCCGGCGGCACCCGGACACCCAGCCCCAGGGTGGGGGACCGCGGGCCAAGCCCATGCTGGGCGCAGACACCGGGGACCACCCGCCCGCGGCCTCGCCCCAGGCAGCCCGGCAACGGGCAGGCCCCGCCGCCTCCCGCGAGGCCGAGCGCACAGCGGCGGCCGCTCGGCAGCGGGCGGGCGGGGCTGTCGCAGCCGCGGCACACCGGGACACGGCGGCTGCTCGGGGCGGGCCCCGCCGCTCCCCGACACGGGCCGGGCCGGGCCGGACTCACCTGCGCCGTCACCATGGAGCCGCTCGGCCGCCTCCTCCCGCCGCGCCGGAAGCGGCGGCGCGGCTCCGCCCCCGGCTCTGACGCACTTCCTTAGCAACACGCGCTGCCGCCCCCACGCCGCCCCTTCCCTAGCGACCGGCCCCGGGCGCCGCCTCCCTCCGGGCCCGGATGGAGCCGGGACAAAGGGACCGGGACAAAGGGACTGACTTCACCCCCGGAATCCCCCCCCCCGGTACCAGCCCGGCGGGTGGAGGAAGTGCGGGGCACAGCAGTGAATACAAAATCAAGGCTTTATTGGTACAAAAAATACCCTTTTCTTTTTTTAATCTAAAAAACCCCAAATATTTTCCCTTGGAACCCTGGTCTCCCCCCCCCCCCCAGCACGTGGAAGGGCGGCCCCGGCTCTGTGAGGAGGCAAAGCAGCCCTGAAGGCACCAACCAAGATGACAGAGCTGAGAGAAGCCCCATGGAGCAGCAGGGACTGAACACCCAGTGCCCAAACCCACCGAATGCCAGCATTCCCGGGAGCCGCCACAGAGGACAAAGTGAAAAGAGCCTCTGCTGCCTCCGACACCTTCTTGTTCAGCCCCTGGAGCCTTCAGATCCCTCCAAAGCCCAGGAACCATTCCCAAGGAGGAAACAACCCCGCACCCAAAGGACATCGAGGGTCACCCCCAGTGTCAGCCCTGTGAGAGCACAGAGCACCGGCACCACAGACTCACCTCAGCAGCATTTAGAAAGGAAGAGCAACGTCTGTGCTCAGCCTCTGGACTGAAAATAAAGCTACAGGAGCACCAAAGGTGTTGGCTGAGTCTCACCACATTGGGGGCATGGGTGCTACCAACACTGACACATAACCAGGCCAAACCGAGGGGTTCACCATCGGTGAACGCTGCCCACAGCCCTCTCAGGCAGGGCTCTGTGTCAGGGGGGGCTACTTCACAAAGTACAAAACCAAGAACACAAACCATTACTACAGACCAAGGTACAACCTTCACCAACCCCGCTACAGCTACTCTACAAGTCCCAGCTCAAAACCAGCTTCACTCTGACCATGGATCTCCACCTGACAACAGCTATGGGACCTCTAACACTCAGCTGGCTATGGAAGCTCTCCCAGCCAGGTCTCTGCCAACACCTTCTCCCCAGTTCAATACAGAGGTGGGCTGAGCAGCTGCCATGTCAAAACACACTTCTCTCTCTGCAGTGCCCCCAGCACCACCACGCATGGGTGTGAAGTCCCCTATGACAGGGGAATGGAAACAGAGGCACTGCAGTGACACGGGGCTGGTGAGGCCACCACAGTCCTTGGTAAAACCCAGAGCTCATCTCCAGTTGTAAGCTTTGTCCTGTGCCCACTTTCCAGGGACTGGGATGTGCCTGGCAATACTCTGCAGTTAAAAAGAAGTACTGGTCTGGTTTGGAGAGGAGCTTCACAACATCTCCAGGAAAAATTAACGGAATAAAATACTGGAGCAGCAGCAACCCGAGCAGCTGCTTCACCACGAGTGCTGGCGAGCCCTGAAGAGCAAGGACAGATTGCTCTATAACTACATCATAAAAACTACATCGAACTGATAGTTTTCTACAAACTATGCGATTTAAAATCCCTTTTCTGTCTGCCCTCACACTGGAAATCCAGGAGAAGCCAGACAGAACAGTCTGGAAGCAACTGTGAGGAGGAGCAGAGGGTGCAGCAGCCCCGCACCGTGCCCTGCATGAAGGAGAGCACCAGCAGCACCCAGACAAGGCACCGAGCTCAGCGGCATGAGAACCACGGAGCCCGTTCCAGTTGCAGTCAGAACTCATCCCGTAACCTCGGTGGGTGATCCATGCCAAAGAACGAGGAGGGTTTTCCATGCACATCTCGCTCCCTTTTCACAAAAGCTGTAAAGGAGGAGACGCAGTTCCCGATGAAGTGATCGGACTGGCCAAGAATGTACAAATCAACCTGAGGCACCTCTGGCTGCAAGCTCACAACCTTCACCTGCAGAGAAAGGAGGAACACAGAGGACTCCAGTCAGCTATGATTACAACCAAAACACCTTGGCATAATATTAGTAATGGGAAGAAACAACAGAGTGGATTCTCTCTTAAGTTGACCTAGAATTCATTTATGAATGGATAAATATCAAAACATTTCTGAAAATCACTTTGGTTTATTTAACCAAAGTCTTTTACAAGGAGAAATTTCCTACATGCAGGACAATGCTCTTCAACCTCTAGGAAAGGAAGTTCCACAGTCTAATTTTTCTTGCTATGAACAAAATTCACTCTGAGATGTCAGTATGTGCCTGGGAATAACACATCACACAACCCGCTGCCTGCTGTCCACAGCAGTGATGGGCCAGGATCCAAGGGTGGGTTTATTAAAGCCCTCCGGCTGTGGGAGTTCAGACTCACCTTTCCCTGGAAGAACTGCTCTATTTCTCTTGTGTAGGGCTCTGAATCAGTGGCGATGTAAACAGATTTAGCTTCTGTCTTCTTCACCCAGAGCTTGAGGGCACGCTTGATCTCCGTGAGGTCGGGCAGGCACATGTCCATGGTGAGAGGTGCTGCAGTGCTCCGGTCGTAGCCCACACACTGTGGGGAAGCCATGAAGTGGGGCCCGGCCGTCCCATCCTTCAGCATATTGCAAGCGTTTTTCTGTGGGAAGAGGAGAAAACACCACGTTTGAATGGCAAATGTGAGGAAGCTGCATCCCCAGCTCCAACAGCAGCGTTACAGCCCACTGGAAGGAGGAACCCCAATGGCATTGCTAATGCACAGAGCATTAACACAGCAGGGCTCAGGCTGGGGCTCCCACAGCACATCCTCCTCAGGCAGCTCTTCCCACAGGGCGTTCCCAGTGGTCACAGCAGCACGGGATCCGTACCCAGTCCGAGCCGATCCTCAGGTGAATTCCCACGTAGGGCCGGAGCAGCAGGGACTGAATGTAGGAGTCTCCTTTCTTCACCATCTCATCAGACCACACCATGTACTTGTGGAGCGGCCGGTGCTCCTCCAAGACTGGGAACTGGGCTGGAGCTCCAGGTAGGGCAAGTACAGGGTGCTCAGAGGGGGGAAACCTAAGGAAAAAAACCCAAACAGGTGGTCTGCACCATGACACAACCCTGCGTGCATCCCTAGCACAATTACTGTCATGGTTGGACAGGAACTATGAACCCCTGGAAGATGCAGCACCTCCTGCTCCAAATGTAGATCCATTTGAACTGTTTTGCCATCTGAACATACCACTGAAGGAAACAGGTCCTACAGTTAACCTCAGGCCTCATCTTTGACACGCAGACTCTCACACAGCTCATAGTGCTGAGCTTATGTTTTCACCCCAGCCCAGAGCTATTCCACCTAAACTTACTGATAGCACTGCCCATAGAAGAGCATGCCATGGGAATATGTACTGGAAAAGGCATGAAGATATTTAATCATATCACTAATCACTTTAGACTCTCCGCCAAAGGCTTTTTGCCATGATGAGCATAACTGTTTTCCTGAGGTGCCTGTGAGCACTCTTCCACCCTCTCTCTCACTACCTTTGGATCCAGTGGTCCTTGTATGCAGGACTGAAGGAAATTCCCTTGAAGAGCTCAGACTTATCGAAATCCACTTGGAACTGATCCCAGAAGGGGCCAAACGGGTTCCCGTCCTGCAAGGGGAAGACAAGTGTTTGTTCAGCAGAGCCTGGAAGAGCACCAACCTGAGGAGCTGTTCTGTCACGGGAGGAACGCAGCAGTTTGTCACGGACCAGCTCCACAGGAAGGACTTGAACAGCTTAAAGAAACTTAACCAAGAATTAATGTAAAAGCTGCTCAAAAAAGTGAGACCACCTCAGCTCCCGAGCTTGTGTTTTAAAGTTGCTTTAAAAACATCTGGGCTGGACCACAGATGGGAAACAGGCAGAGAGGAAGGGCTAAGCAGCAGTTCTGCTCTTACAGCCACAGTCAAGTCTGAGGTGATAAAACCTACTTATGCAGCCAAGCAAAGCAGGACGGCTCAGCCAAGGAATGCAACACAGGTCTGGGGGAATAACGCCTCAATTCCCGAGCCAACAACGCCCCGGATGAGGCAGCCCGGATGGGGCAGCCCTTCCCTGGAGCACAGCGGCTGCCGGGCCCGCGGGAGGTGCTCACCTTCATGGGACAGGTGGCTTTGTCCGCGCTCCGCTGCGCCGCCGCCTCGAAGCAATAGGCCACCCGCCTGCCTGGCGGCCAGTGCGCGGGGGCCAGCTCCGCCATGAACTGCTCCAGGGCCACGACGCGGTGGTACCGGCGCAGCGGCTCCAGCCGGAACAGCTTCGCATAGGGAACGTGCAGCTGCAGAGACACGGCCCCCATCACTCACGGGACGGCGCTGGGGACCCTCTTCCCTCCCGCCCGCGATACCACCGCAGCCGCCTCCCCGCGGGGCTCACGTTGGTGTAGGGCGGCCGGTGGTGGCGGTACTCGATCCACGGCGGCACGGCCAGGGTCCGGTTGAGGGCGCGGGCGAAGGCGAGGGCGCCGAGGAAGTGCTCGGCCTGGTTCCCGAACCGGCCTGCAAGAGGGGCGAGAGCGGCGCTGAGCGGGGACTCCCCCGGGACTCACCGGGGGGAAATCCACCGGGCCCGCCGCGGCGGGAGGGCCTCACCCATGCAGGGACAGTAGAGCAGGTAACCGGCCTCGTCCCATATGGGCGCCGCGCCGCCTCCCGCCGCCGCCATCACCGCCGGGAGGAGGAGGACGATGAGGAGGAGAGCGACCGGCAGCGCCGCCATGGCTGCTCGGGGGAGGCCAGCGAGGGGCGGCCCCGTCCCGGCATGCCCCGGGGCCCACCGGAACGGCCCCTCTAGCGCGCCGCGGCCGCCATCGAGGCGGAAGCGGGAGGGCGACGTCACTCCCACAATGCCCCGCACAATGGGGCCGCCGGGGCCTGGGCCGGAGCCGCGCCTGGCGGGGCCCGGGGGAACGGGGTGAGTGCGGGGGGGGGGGCGTGCGGGGGGCGGCGTCACGGGGGCCCCGGCCCGCGGCGGCGGGGACCCCGCAGGGAGAGGGCGGCCTGCGGGGAGGGGGAGGAGGAGGAGGAGGAGGCGGCGGGGGGCGTAGGCCGGGCCCGCCTCTCCCCTCCCTCCCCTCAGGGCTGCGCCATGGTAACGGGAGGGGGGGGGGCACCGGGGCGGAGGGAGCTCCGGTTGCGCTCCCGGGGCACACGGCACGGCCGCGCTCTGTGCTGGCGCCTTTCGGGGCTCAGCGGGTGGGAAAAGCGGGTTTTGTAGCGGCCATGAACCGCCCCGAGCCGTGCCGGTGTGTGCGGCGCTGCCCGGGCTGCGGGAAGGGTTCGGGGCTGCTGCCGTGTCAGGGAAGCGGGGGGTGAGCGCGGAGCGCGGCCAGGTGCCGAAGTGACCCCGCGGGGCCGCTGCGGCCGGTTACACCGGTGGGGAAGGTACCGGGGCCGTGCAAGTAAACGCAGGTTTTTCACAGTTTTCCCTATAAGTGATCGAGTGGTGGAAACTGATACCGGGGCTCGAGCAGCTCAACAGGTCAATAATGGGGTTAGTAGGGAAAATCAGGGAATGGTAACAACGGGTGAGTCAGTGTTTGTGCCTGTAGGGAAACTGTAATAAAAGGGTCATTGCGAGAAGTGCAGAGTGGTGGCAGAGTGGGTTTGCCATCAGGTGTGGATTGGCCAGGCTGGTGCTGTGTGTCTGGGTCTGGTGTCCACTTCCCTCCCTTATAATTGAAAGAAATCATATTGGAAAATGACAGAAGATGCAGAAAAGCCACCAGGTGACCCCGAGGTGTGGAAGCAGAGCCTTGATGTCATGGGTCAGGTCTGGACTCGGTCAGAATTCCCTACAGGAAAGTGGGGTTGGTTTTGTTAATGATGCTTTGAAAGACCTGCTCCAAGGGCTGCTGCTGCAGCGGCTGAAGGTGCTGTGGTCACCGGCCAGTGTGTAATGTCAGTAAGGAATGAGGGAGCCTGTGCTGCCCACAGCTGGGATCACTGCAGAAGCTGGGGTGGAGGTGAGACAGGGTCTGAAACTCTGCTCCCTGCCGTGGAACTGGTACCTTCTGCTTGAACAACTTAAAATAAGCCTAACAAACCTGAGGGGGCACTGGCCTGCCTGGGGGAGGAAAAACTGAAGAAGAAGTAACTTTTCAGCTGGGTGGGTTCCTTCAGCCACGGTCATGCAGCTGGAGAACAGTGTGGCCCATGCGGAGCAGAAGCAGGAGTGAGGGCTGAGGGGACACAGGAGTCCCCGGGCCAAGACTGTCCCTGCAGGAAGAAAAGCGACAGCACTGGAGCAGCTCCTAGCAAAGGGACCACAGGATGCAGCAGGTAGAAGCTGGGGCAGCCACATCCAAGTCAGGCACAGGAGATCCCTTTAGGAAAGGGAAACCACAGCTCCGTGATGCCGGGGCTGGATAGGATCCCTGTCAGGCCGTGTCCCTGCTCCCGCTGCTGCTGTTCCCGCTTTCTTCAGGAACTCATCCAGGCTCCTTTGTAGTTTTCCCCCTGGTTATTTTTAACCTGGCAGTCTCCTGCTCTGGTTCCAGCCTGGGTCACCAGGTTTTCCCCACAGCTGTGGAATGCTGTTCTGTGTCACCGGAGTGACTCTGAGGGGCAGGAGCTGTGCAGAAGTGCTCTATCATTGACCCACACTGCGGGACAAGCTGCCAAAGCAGGACTCAGTGCCAGGGACTTGCTTTGGAACCTGAGAGCTTTCCTGTACCAAGTACCAGCGCAGTCACCTCATTGCTTTCTGTGCAATGATAAGTGGCTGGAATTTCATACAATCCAGCAGCTTATACAAGCTGTTGTAGCTGCAGTTTGCACAGCCCTGACGACTGTAGTAATGAAACATTTCATGTAAGCGGGCAACCACTGGGAATGCAGATAAATTGAGGTGGATTGAATTGTTTGCTGGTAGCAGCCTCCTGAGGTACAAGATGTTCTTTGAACACTTGGGGGTGATTGTGCCTCTCTGGTGGCTACAGAGTTCCAGTGAACAGGAGCACATTGGAAACGTTCTTTGGGGAAAGGTTACTAAGAAAACAAGTCGAGTTTCATACAAATGTGACTATGCAGCTCAGGCAGAGAGATTTCCAGCCAAGTGTGAATATTGTTAACCTTCCACAGCTACTCTATGCCACTGATAGGATGCAAGACTTTCACCTTGTTTTTCTAATTCTGGAGCTGTCAGGGTGTCCTAGGACGTGCATTTAGACTTAGAAAGGATCTTAAATGGGTAGAGAAAGTGGTTTTTGTTGCTACACCCTTACAATTTTAGAGGGAAGATGATAAAACTTTACAAAAATGTTAGAGATTACCATATCTGAACTCATTTGTGTTTGGGTTTGTGCTCTGAAGGCGTTGGCTTGTGCATCTCACTACTCAAGACAGCAAAACTCTGTTTTCTTCCAGGTAGCTTCGAAGCTGGCACAGATGGCTGGGCTCTTTCAGAGGAGAAGCAGCAACTACCTGGTGAAGGCAGCAGAGGCTCCTGGAATGTGTGTGCAGCTCTGAAGCAGGAGGTAGAGAACAGTTATCTCTTCCAACACACATCTTGTACACAGGTGACATTCACAGTTGTAGACGCCTACAGAAGAAGACTGCTTTGAGCCACGACACTCCTGCACCCGAGGGGCAGGAGTCCAATCCCATCACACGGGGTTGTACCCAATTCTGTCCTGAATGGGTATTTCCAAACCTCATAGTGATGCTTTTTCTCAGAGTCATCCCCTTTTCCCATGTTTCCATCTTGAGTGAACCCCTCCCAGCCCTGTGAGGGATGGTGCAGTCGCAGTCATTGTCGTTTCAGCTCCTCACAACGTTCAGCAGTGCAGGTTCCTACCAGGGGCGGTTTGTTCCCTCGCAGTTGCACATCCTGCCCACAACTGGCACTCGTGCTGCCGTGCAGGCAGGAAGTTCCTCCCTCTGAAGCAATCATGGAGTGAGAAAGAGCTCGAGGGTTTGATGCTATTTTAAGAAGAGCTTCTCGGGCAGCTAGGTTCAATGGCAGAGCTCTTCTCTGAGGTTACTGGGTTAGCTGTTGGTAGGACCCTTTAGAACTGCAGTACTTTACCAACAAGGCAAACACAGCTCAAGAAGAACCTACTGAGAGATTAACGTAGACCTTCATCAGCAGAGGATACAGGGGGTAGGTGCTGTTGAAGAGGAAACAATTTGAGCTTCCATTAGCAACGGCTCATTACTGTAGAAAACTGTAATGCAGAGACACAGCCTCTGCCCCACAGCAGACAAGTGAGACTAGAATGACTAATCACACCCTGGAGAAAAGCAGCATCTGTTGCCTTCCTGAAAGAGGTGCAGAGTTGCTGATAACAGCAAGTTTTCTTCCCCAGCCCCGCTCACACACGTGTGGTAGGTCAGATTGGCTTGCTAAGAGATGGTCTCACCAGTGCATTGGGGTGGTAGAAGAGTGGGTGGAAAAAAACCCATACAAGAGAACCATGGTTTCTCTGAGAAGCTCTAGAAGGAAATTCCATGTAAGGAAAGATAAAGAACGAGTAAGAATAGACTTGTGAATATGAAAAAGGGAATGAGAAGCAATCCACAAAAGACAGGAGGGGAAGTTGAGGTATTTAGAGCTGTAAAGAGACACCCATCTGCAACATTTCAGGAGGAGATGCATGTAACAGGTAACACTGGCTCTTAATAGCTGCAGAAATGTAATTCAGAAGAGGTTTAACATCATTTATTCAGGTAACAGGTTAAGGGAGAAAAGAGCCAAAGGCTTTCAGGGGATGGGAGTTGCCGTGTCTCTGAACACACATCTCCACGTTTAGGGTGCTTGCTGGAGGCTCACCCCTGTTTGTGTGCAGATGTGAAGGAGGCAGAGTCTTATCACCAGCCCTTCTGTGATTTCAGGTGGAGATGTTTTGCTGTTAAAGGAGTTTGGTCACAGAGGGATCCAACAGGCAACTGCACTGGGACAACATCACAGCAAGGCACCCGCAGGCTCGAGTTCTGCTGGACATGGCCATGTTCTACTAGACCTGCCATGACGGCATTTTTTCCCAGTGTTCCCAACTGGATTCAAGATGCAAAGCAGGAGGAGGAAGAGACAGGCTGGAAATTAGTCCCCAGACCAAGAGGTGAAGAGCCGGAAAGTCAGGGAAAGTGCCAATGTGAAATATCAGAGGCCTCCTTCACAGCCGTGGACAAGCTGAGAGCTCACACGCTTCCTCACAGCGAGCAGAGGCCGTACAACTGCCCGCAGCTGCACTGTGGCAAAGCCTTTGCGTCCAAGTACAAGCTCTATAGGTAGGTGACTGCTGGGTCCCTCTCTGAACTGTGCTGCTCTGCCAGAGCAGGGGAAATACCCCCATCGTGGGCTTTGCTTGAATTTCTGAGAAGGAGGAGGAGGGGGAATGCCCTGGTTACCTTGAGAAGCAGCCGAGTCCCAGACGTTACTGCACTTGGCATTTCTTTAAGTGCTTTCCTGAGAACCTCAGATAATACTTTATCCTGAGCTCAAGCTGTTTTCTGTTTTACTAAGGAGGAAATTGAAGCAGAAAGTGAAGTTTTCAGAAGTGAAGTGCACAGATTAAAAACAAGACGAAAAGCAAGAACAGCACTTTCATAAGCTCTGCCTTTAATGGCAGGAATATTTCTGGGGCAGCTGTTATTCTAGCATGAAGAGTAGGGTTCTCATTTCTGTACTGAAATACAGCATAGAATAATTCAACTGTGTGATCATGAGGAACTTGAAACTAGATGAACCACAGTGTCAGAGAGGGCAAGATACCAAAGTGAAACCAGCCCACAGTGGCTGTGGACACAGGCACTACCAGTCTGGTACCTCCTGGTGACATGAGGCTGCCTCAGCAGCAGATGAGCATTCTTGTCATAAACTCCCCAGTTTTCCTTTGTCCTTCCCCCTTTGACAGCCTCAGCAGGGAGAACAGGGCCTGAGCAGGTGGCTGAAGTGTCTGTGTGTGGAGGTGATGTGTGCTGGGGGGGGCTCTGTAACTTCCTTGCAGTGTTCTATGTCTGTGCAGTGCTGGGTGCCAGCAGTTTGGGATTTGTGTAGAGAACAAGGTAATGTGTTGAGGAAGCAGCGCGTGTTCTCTTGGGGGTCAGACACTGGCCTGAACTTTCCTGCTTTCCCCCCCAAAGGCATATGGCCACGCACTCTGCTCAGAAGCCTCATCAGTGCATGTACTGCGAGAAGATGTTTCACCGGAAGGATCACCTCCGGAACCACCTCCAGACCCACGACCCCAACAAGGAGGCTCTTCACTGCCCCGAGTGCGGCAAGAACTACAACACCAAGCTGGGCTTCAGGCGGCACCTGGCCATGCACGCGGCGGCCAGCGGGGACCTCAGCTGCAAGGTGTGCCTCCAGACCTTCGAGAGCACCCAGGTCCTGCTGGAGCACCTCAAGGCGCATTCGAGGCGGGCTTCTGGTGGAGCCAAGGAGAAGAAGCATCCGTGCGACCACTGTGACAGGCGCTTCTACACCCGCAAGGACGTGCGGAGACACTTGGTGGTGCACACGGGGCGGAAGGACTTCTTGTGCCAGTACTGTGCCCAGAGGTTTGGCAGGAAGGATCACCTCACCAGGCACATGAAGAAAAGCCACTCCCAGGAACTGCTGAAGATTAAGACGGAGCCAGTTGACATGTTGGGCCTCCTGAGCTGTAGCTCCTCTGTTGCAGTGAAAGAGGAGCTGAGTCCCGTCCTGTGCGTGGCATCCAGAGACATGATAGGTGGTAAGAGCTTCCCGGGCATGCTGCCCGTGGGCATGTACAGCACTCACCTCCAAACCGTGCCGAGCTCAGGGATGCCCCATTCTTTGGTTCCTAACTCTCTTCCAATGGGAGTGAGCTATCCTCTGGAGTCGTCTTCCCCCATCTCTTCCCCACCGCAACCTCCTCCAAAGTATCAGCTTGGATCTACCTCATATTTGCCTGAGAAACTACCCAAAGTAGAGGTGGACAGCTTCTTGTCAGACTTCCCTGGCAGCCTGTCTCTCTCATCTGGTGAGCCTCAGTCCTCTTCACCTCAGCCACCCCCTCTGGATGAGGCTTTGCTTTCCAAGAGCCCTGCGAACCTTTCAGAGGCTCTCTGTGCTGCTAACATGGACTTCTCTCATCTTCTCGGCTTCCTCCCCTTAAATCTTCCTCCTTGCAATCCACCTGTGTCCTCAGGGGGATTGGTCATGGGCTACTCACAGGGGGAGACACAGCCACTGCTTACCACTTTGCAACACCAACCTCAAGAATCTCCTGGAGCTGGGGCCTCGCTGAACTTTGGGCCCCTTCATTCACTGCCCCCTGTCTTCACCTCCAGCTTGAGCACAACCACGCTGCCACGTTTCCACCAGGCATTCCAATAAGCTGGAAACAGCACTGGAGAACAGATCTTTCAGTCACCCTTCAGTGGAGAGCCTTAAAAACGCACAACTCTTACTCCCCTTTGGGGTGTGAAAGCTTGGCAAAGCTGTTTCCGACGGGAGGTTTCTGATCTCTAGAGGGAGCACTTGTAGACTGGAACAGGAGATACCCCCCTGCGAGTCCCAGTCCTGTACAGTGAGAAGATTTCAGCTCAGAGACTGGATCCATTTGATGTAATTGTTAATCTGTGAATCAGGAGCCGCGCTTAGCACTGACCTTCCCCTAGCCCCCGGAGCTGCCCGTGTTCCTCCTGGGGAAGGGACTGTACCTGAGAAGGAGTTGAGACTCTTTCATCGTGGGCTAAACGTCTGAAGAGTCCAGCTTCCATTTCATGTTCCCACACTGCAGTTCTGGCCCAAGAGCCAGCACCTCCACATGGAGGAGGAGACGTCAGGATACCCACCCTGTATGAAGCCATGGGGAAGAGGCCGACCTTCCCCACTACCTCTCACCCATCACCTAACAGCTTACTCCACCCAGCGCCGCTTACTCCACATCAGTGTTAAGCAACGAGACCGTTTACACGGTGACTTCAGAGCCGTCACCTCATTCTCCTCCGAGGAGCCCTTAGGTTAAACTCAGCACAGCGCCATTGTTTACACAACTCAGATCTCTTCCTGCCATTACAAGAATAGGAGGCACCAGAATACACCAGGATTATCCCTGGTGGAACTAGAACACTGTTTACACGATGAAGTCAGGTTGCACTGATTTCTCTTCACTGCTCATGTTCTTCCCCCATGGGGAAACCCTCTGCTTCTGGACCACTGCAGCCCCTGCACCGCCGCTTCCCGCGTGTCCCTCTGGCTGTCCACGTCTCGAGGGGATGGAGCAGCGCTCGCAGCTGAGCTTGTTCACGTGGGGTGTGGGTAGAGCCCTTGAAACCTCTCCCACAGGCAGACAGATGGTGCATCTGTTCTGGAAACCAAAGCTGGGTTGGGGCTGGGGGCATTGCGTACTGTCAGCGAGAACAGGCTGCAGGGGCCCGCAAGAGGACTAGCAGAGGAGGAGTTCCTACGTGGGCTTTTTACCACAGCAGTTCAGTGAGGTCAGAACCCTTTTGGCTTATCCATGAAGCAGTCTCGAGGTGTGATTTACCTCAGTCCCAGGGTGATAACGGCCAGGAATCAGGAGGAAAAATCAGTCCCAGCTTCACATACGCTCTGTCAGTGTATTTGAAGCATCCTCCCCAGCACTAGTACTCTTAACAAAGGCTGAGGGTTTGGGCTGCAGTCAGCCACCCTCTCACTGAGGATTTGGTTCCATCAGCCTTTTTGTTCTCTCCCTCCCCAGCATTGCCTCCTGAAGTTAAAGCCCTGCTCCCTGCCCCTCCTCGTACTTTCTCCCACAGCCTGCCTACTGCCAAGACTTACACTGGGAAGTGCCAGCCCCACTGCTGGTGCCATTCAGCATCTGCATCATCTCCTGCTCTCATTTCCCTGGGCACTGTTCCTGCAGATGGTAACACACAGAGGTCGATCCCACTATGTATTAGTGCAAATCTTCACACCTCGGCGTGGAGGAACCATTGTAGGCCAACACAAACCAGGAAATTGGTCAATATTTTTCTCTATAAATGTAGAAAATGCAAAATCTACCTCTACTGTGTCTCTCAGCTCCTCAGGTGAAGCTGATGCTGCCCTCCCCAGAGAACATCCCTTCTCCCTGCCACGGAGCCCTCAGTGGGACATTGGCCATGCCTCGACTGCCCCTTGGCTTCTCCCCTTCTGCTCCAGAATGTTATTTTGAATTTAGCTTAGTAACTCTTCCCAGAATGACTGTTTAGTGATCCACTGATCTCTGACCATCCAGCAGGTGCGTTAGGTTAGCCAGCAATGCTGCAAATACTACTTTTGTATCAAAATGTAATATAAGATTTATTTACCTCAGCAATATCCTGTGGCAATGATCCCCCGAGTTAAATGCAGTACTTCCTTCTCTCCACTGGAAAACGTTGCCTTTGAAGTTCAACGAGTGCCTTCTTGTTCTCTAACAGAAAAGGTAAATGGGGCATTTCAGCCAGTCTTCTGTTTACCACCACTGAATACCTCAGGCCTGTCTCCTGTTGCTTTTCTCTTTGCAAAGTGAAGAGTCCCACACTGTTCCCAGTTATATGCAAACCTTCTGCCTGTCTCCAGGTGAGAGGATTAGTATTTTTCTTTTGTAAAGTAATAAATGGTGAGAACTGATCCCTTCCTGCAAGGGAGGAGTCCCAGATTTATGCAATGCCACCACACACCTTCCCCTGTGTCCGGAACATCCAGCTCGCTTGCTTGGTGCCTGCATTGTACCTGACAGATGTCAGCACTGGAATTTCTTTAGCAGAGGTAGCTGAATTAGAGCCAGGCAGCTTTTTCCTCCCAGTAGTCTGTCAAAGAATAAATGGATTTCATTTTGCTATTATTTGCACGTGTGATTTGCTTTCCCAGCTCTTCCAACAGCAGAACCGCACCAACGGGTCAGTGCAGGGAAGGGCCAGGCCAGCAAAGGGAGCAGCATGTCTGGAGGCAGCACACTGGAGCTAATGCCAAGTGTTCGGGCTGGGAAGTGGATTCCAAGTGCCCATTCCACAGCAGTTTATAACCTGTAAGTACCTTGTCAGCAGGTCTAGAGCTATTGAGGCTGCTCCCATTGGAAACACCAAATACACAATTCACAACTGATTTCCTGAGGCTGGTCAGTGAGCTCTTACCTGCTCATAGAAAATACTTTGAGCATCTCAGCTCTGCTTGGGACTGTGTCCATCAGGAAGCGTGTTCCAAGTGTGCATTAGGAAATACATCCTGAGCCATGAGGAGAATCAGGAGTCGGCTGAGACGAGCACGTGCCAGTGGGACTGTGGGCAAGACACAGCAGGAAGCTGCTGCAGTGCAGCCAGGAAAGCTGCTGGGGTGGGGGTGCATGTGTGCACAAGGGGATGGAGCCATGAGGCTCCTCCTGTGCTCTGAAGGGTTGGTTTGAAGCAAAGACAGAATCCTGAGGCCAAAAGTCCAGGTCCCTCCATGAATCCAGAGATTAAGTTTCTTTCAAGCAAAGAATTAGACCCAAAACCAGACTCAGTGCCCTACTGGGGACACAGAGACAGCAGAGACTGTCACCTCCTGTCAGGGAGAGCCATGTTTGGTAGACAGAAAGTTGTGGTTACTGGGGCTCACGGGGGTTACCGGCCATGTGGCAGCATTTCCCCTGCAGACTCTTCCAGTGATTGCTGAGCTTTCATTCAGGTATTTGCCACCCCAGCCCCAGCAGCAACACACAAGCTCTGGGAAAGGGATCAAGCCGGAAGCCAACACTGAAGATCCAGCTCCCACAGCACCAACACACCTGCAGAATGCTCCGGCTCCCATCCTACCCCTACTCTCACCTCCATCTGCTCAGCACTACCAGCCTGTTGCTGTCCCAGTCCAGCTGCTCCCCCATTGGCACTTCATGAATCAAAGTATTTCACACACGGGGGATGAGTCGCTGAAGTCCCACGGGCAGCCCACGAGAGCAGCCCAGCGAGACACAGTGCTTGATCCAGGTGCACAGCAGCACACAGGATGTGCCACACCAGGAGAGGGCTCAAGCTCAGCCAAGTTTACCAGGAAGAAAAATGTTACAGAAAGAACCAGGCTCATTGCAGGCTCTGCTGCTGCTGAAGCCACACGTCAAAGACCACGCGGGTGCTGATGAAAAGGCAATCCCCAGAGGTGGTTTAGGACAAGGCAGAGAGCAGGACAACAGGACAATGGCCGATTTATTTACAATAGGACACAGAGAATACATACATTAATTAAAAATTACAAAGAATACAGAGAAAACAGTTTGGGGAAGGGAGAGAAATTAAATCACTGCTTGCAGAGCCCCTCCACTGGGGCAGCACGGAAAAAGGGGAAAGAAAAATCAACCAAAAGCTAGAGAGGGACCTCAAATCAGAACCGACACAGACTCCACAGCACAGCTGGCTCAGGCATCCCCTGCTCCCTCTTCCCATCCTTGCTTCCTGGTGGATTAGGCTTTGGCACGATGGAGGCCAAAGAAGCCATCAGGGAAGGCTGGAGGGGTAGGTGCCAAGGACTTGGCTCCCCAGCAGTGAGAGATGGGTCCCTGAGGGGACCTGGTGGAACCTTCTGGCAACTGGGGTTCAAAAAGCCCCTGAGCCCTCACCAGAGCACAGCAGGGCTGGGAACAGGGGGCTCAGAACAGCTCTGGTTGGGTGTCACCTGCCTGGTTGGAGCCCGTGCTGCTCACAACAGCAAGGAGCACAACGTTCATAGATGTCACTACACCTCCCCTGCAGGGCAGAGTGAACCGGCTGCTCGGGGCTGGAGGGAGCCTTTGCTGTGACCTGGGACCTTTCACAGGTAAAGAGCATTTACGTGACCAAAATAACAGAAACCACTTTTCATCTCTTTCAGAAAGAGCTTCCCATGGACTGGTTCGGGCACGGGGTCATGGGAAGAGAGGAGCTGCAGGAGAGCCCGCACCAGCCATCCCGAGCCCTGCACCAAAGTACAGCTGAGGGGAGCCCGCGTTTCTGTTCCCTGGAGGTAGAGAATCTAAGAGGAGGAGGAGGGAGCAGCAGGGGCAGGCAGGGAGCCAGCCTGCCCCTGGCCATGGGAGCGCTCCTGGGGCCCGTCCCTGCACACACCTCGGGCCCAATACTGCATCATTGCTTGGCACTGACGTGACAGCAGCGGCGCAGCCGTGTCTCAGCAAGGCTCTGCAGGGGCTCCCAGGAAGGAAACCTCCTGGAGCAGAGCCATGGACAGGACAAACCCTTGTAGTTACCTCGTGCTTCCTCCCAGTCCTGGGCTCCAGCACCAGCACAACCACGGCACTTCCATCCTGCTGCAGTGGCTGCGCCGCCCGAGCGAGGGGAATCCCAGCAGTGGAGCATCCAAAGTGGCCTGTGCCGGCCCAGGCTGGAGGGAGGGAAAAGTGATGCTGAAGGCTGCAGTTCCCAAGTGCTCCCAGGGTGAAATTGCACTTCCCAGGCTCCAAATGGCACCTCCATTGAATTGTAAACAAGCCAAAGGCTCGGCTCTGAAGCCTTCAGGCTCCTTGGATTTTGCCATAGTCAAGCTCCCTCTTCTGTGCAGACACAAAGGCAGGAAAGAAACCCAGTCTGGTGTTTGTCTGAAGAGTCTCCCTGAATCCTAGAGCACCCATGGGGCTGGAAGAAAACAGCTTCACAAGTGTTTCCATTGCTGTCCCAAATCCATTCGTCATCAACATAAAAAAAAAAAAAGGATGAATTAGCAAAAAAGGGGTTTACTTATACAGAGGGGTATTTCTCTGCTAAAAAACTCCCTCAAATATGGAACAGGATAATAAAGTTAAAATGTAAGGTATCTACAGACCCCTCTTCCCCCCAGAAGTAGCCCGGAATCCATGTACACTGTGCCACAGTTACATTCCAAAAAAGGAGGAGTTATTTATTTCTCTTGTCACTCTCCCATGGGATTTTGTTTCCTTAAAAGAGCTGGGAGAAGATGTCCCCTTGGCTCCCAGGACACACGTTCAGGTGTCTGCTTCCTGCTGGGTCTCTGCACCTTCAGTCTATTTTCACTGCAGCGTAGATCTTCCGGACAAACATGTAGGCTGCATAGAAGCCAATGGTGCCAGTGAGGAGCCAGAAGGACAGGACCATGAGGGCCGTGTAGCCGAAGTATAGTAGGGAGGGAATGAACTCAACAATATCCAGCTAAAACAAGAGGAAGAAAGAGGCAAAATCAAGCAGAGGTAACAGTTCTCTCCCCAGACCAGGCAGTGCCCTCTGCAAGGGGACAATGGGAGGAATCCCTCTACTTTGATGGGAACTGAAAAGAGATTCCCTCAAGGCAGGGATTGGGAACACCCAGAGGCACTACAACCCTCTCCCCCCCTCTGGAAGGCCTCTGTCCTTTCCCAAATCCAACAGTCTCCTCTGGTAAGGCTGCACTTTCACACAAGGGGAAGGACAATACCTTGTTCACAAAGTAGAAGACCGCATAGATCAGCACGTAGAAGGCAGAGCCTCCAGACACCAGGAAGGTTCTCCACCACCAGCGGTAATCCTGACAGGGCAGAAAGCATCATTACCCCTGAGGCTGCCTTCTGTGCCACTGCCCCAGGGAGCTGGGACCCTTCTGAGGCAGGGAGAACACCCATTTCCTTCAAGGCCAGGTTGGACAGGGCTTGGAGCAAGCTGCTCTAGTGGAAGGTGTCCCTGCCCATGGCAGGGGTTGGAGCTGGAGGAGCTTTAACCCTCCCAACCCAAACCATTCTATGATTCCATGACTCAAAGGAAACCCAGTTTGGGGCTGGGGAGCTATTGTGGCACAGAAGTGTTTCCAAACGGAGAGGACAAAAAACTGGCAGTGAAGTGAAGATCACAGCTACTGAGGAACACTGCTCACTTGTGGCCATGTGCTTCATTTACTATGTGGAGGGAATAAGACAGTTCCTTTGGGAAGAGATGTCAGCTCAAAACACCCCACACTCCCAGCAGAATTCCTGGGATGAAGCCACAGTTTCCAGCCTAGCAGGTATCAGGTAGCTTCAATTCTCCTTGAAGTTCAGAGATGTTAACAACAACCCCCCTCGGGAGGCCGGGCTGCACCGGCTTCCTATGGAGCAGCAGCACTAACGTGAGCTGAGCGACTGAACCTACAACCACGGAGCTCTCACCTCAGCACAGAGCTGGAAGTACACCATGACAATGCTGATCTGGGAGCACGATACCACCAGGATTATAAACACCAGGAAGAGAAAGCCAAAAAGGTAATAGAACTGGTTCTCCCAGATTGCCTGGAACAAAGACACAGGAGGTTTGTTTCCACACTACTGGCATCAAGCAGCAAACATGAGACTAACTCTAGCAGTTAACCCAAGGAAAAACAAGGCCTCGTGGAGCTGCAGGTTTAATAAGTTTCACAACATTAGTTCAGAGGAATCTGGTTGCAAAAAGGTGCCCAAAGACAGCTCTGAGGTAAATTGTTCATTCCCTCCATCCCCCAGCAATGGAACAGCAAATTCCTCCCTGTCCATAAGAGCAGCAGCTGGAACAGCTCAGGGAATGCCTCCAGACCAGGACCCCTCCCTGCCATAATGTTACAGCACCTTTCAGCCCTACCATTGTCCTTCACAGCCCCTAGGAGCATCCTGAGACACCTCCAGGTGCCTTCAGCAAGGAAACACTCCAGAGACCCACAGCCCAGCTCTCCCTGAAACAGCCTGGAGGGAACCTGCTGCTGCCCTATTCCAGGGCAGGAACAGCCTGGAGGGAACCTGCTGCTGCCCTGTTCCAGGGCAGGAACAGCCTGGAGAGAACCTGCTGCTGCCCTGTTCCAGGGCAGGAACAGCCTGGAGGGAACCTGCTGCTGCCCTGTTCCAGGGCAGGAACAGCCTGGAGAGAACCTGCTGCTGCCCTGTTCCAGGGCAGGAACCAGAGACTGATCCAGGGGAAAACCCCTCCCTTCAAAAGCTATGGCACAAAACGGACCCTGAATAGGAGCAGAGAGGGTTAAATGCTTACACTGAAGATGAAGAACAGCTCAATGAACATTGCTCCAAACGGCAGAATTCCAGCCATGAGAATCCTACAGAACAAGAGAAAAAGCTCATGAGCAGCACAATACGACTGTCCGGCCATGACGTGTCCCCTGTGACCACACAGAGCACTGCCAGCAGAAGCTCTGCAGCCCCAGGGCACCAGTTTCACACTGTAACTGGCACAGCTGCTCCACTGTTGAGCACGTACCACTGCCACAGGCACCAGTCCTGGCACGGCTCTGGTTGCTCAAGGAAACCCATTTGCCATCTGGCTGCGCCCAGAGACCAGCAGAAGGCGACATTCAGCAGCACAAGGAGACCGAGGGGAGGAGCCTGAACTCACCAGACGCTGCTTACTCACCCCACGAATTTATTCATGTACCACCTCTGCTCCGGGATCTGCCTGGGAATCTGGTTTGTCCGAACAGGGTTGTCATAGGGCTGTTTGCGAAACCCAAAGTAGTAACCCAGGTAGACCAAGGGCAAGGAGATGCCAAACCACATGCAGAGCAAGGCCACCATGGTCGGGAAAGGCACCTGGAACCACACCAAGAGTCACAACATGAGGCTGAGAACTCAGCCTGCCCTGGAGACTGAAGTTGCCAGCCAGACCAACCCTCTGCTCACCCGCTGCACTGACAGCCACATGTGGGGAGATGTGGTGACACCAAGTGATCCCTGACAGCCCAGCCACCCTCTAGGGTGATCCCTGACAGCCCAGCCACCCACAGGCTCCAGGGTGAAGGTACCCACCGCTCCAGAGGAGTGCTTCCCCCAGATGAAGCAGTTCAGGACGAAGCAGATCCCAAAGACGACGCCGGGATACAGGGTGGCTGTCTGCAAGAGCAACACAGGGTCAGAGAAAGCCCTGATGGAGCAGATGTTTCTCTTTAATGGTCCATTGCTGGGACAAGGCACACACGGAGGAAGCAGCCCTTTTCCTTAGCACTAAGGGGCAGTGGAAGGGCCCAGGGAGGATCTCAGACAACCCTCCTGCTGTGCTGTAGTACAGGCTCTGGCGTTTGCCCTCTCATGTAAAGCTACAAGGACTCGACCCACCCCACATCCCTGCAGTACAGCCAGGCCGTGCCCAGCTACCCACAGGTATGTGTGGAGCTCACTCACAGATCAGCAGACGTGGATAAACAGCACAGAGCACCACAAGACTCACACAAAAAGCTCCCTTCTTCCATCGATGTCCTTTCAGAGTCCGGTATAAGCGGCCAGCAAAGAACCCTCCAAAAACCCTGCACAGAAACAAGACAGAGAAAATCAGTGGTCATTGCTGGGGAGAAGGGCAGGCAGGACAGCACTGCTGGGGGAAGCAGTGGAAGCACTTACCCCATGAACATGAAGAGAAAGCAGGCTGTAGTCATCAGCGCACCCCGGCTGGAGGGCGACAGCATCCCCAGCATAGCAACAACTGCAGAGGGGAAGAGGACAAAGAACAGCGGCTCTGATGACCGTGTGCTCATCAGCACCTGGAGAACAGGGGCATCCCCACACGCAGACCACAGCTGCCTGGAGCCTGCCTCATTGCCTTTAAGGCACAACACATCCACAGCCTCCAGCACTGGCCAGAGGGAGGAAGCCCCGGCTTTAGCCTCAGTTTCCCCAGGGATCTGAGCAGGTGCAGCTCTGGGGTGGAGTGCACACGTGCAGGAGCCTCTCAGCCCACTGTGACCCAGGGTTTGTGTCTTGATTACAGGAAACAGAGACAAAAGATGCCTCAGCTGGGAAATGCCACTGAGAGACTCAGGAATGCCAAGCACAGACCCTGATCCAATGAAGGTGAGCATCAGTGGGAGCTACACACCCCCTCAGGCATTGTTCCCCTTCTGACAGCCACCCCATGCAACTCCTGCCACTCACAGATGACAATCAGGATCATACAGAAGAGCTGAATTCCAGAGCCCAGGAGAGAGCTGAGGATCATAGGATACTGCGGAGGCCTGAAGACATCTCCATGGACAAGTTTCCAACCAGATTCCTCCATCGTATCTTCCTGTAGCAACAACAGGAAAAAGGTTATTCAGGTGTGATATTCCAGTGGAAATTAAGGTCCTACCGCAGCCAGGCTGAGGTTATTTCCCTGTATCTGGTTCTTCTACAGAACTTTATCCCTCTGCTTAAGAAACTTCTTTCCTCTTGAGCTTAGAACACTGAAGACCAGAACTGCCAGTGCCAGGACACACATTTAGGGACCTGCCTGCTGTCATTGCTTAGGTCTGAAGGCACCTGGACCTGAACTGCTGTTGTACACAGACAGCCAGAGGTGTCCTGAGCACACACGACACAACTTTCCCTCCCGTTTCCAGGGCTCCAAGCAAACCAGGGGCAAAGAAAGAGACAAGACATCCAAGTCTTCATCCTAGATCCCTCCTCATCCGTGCTTCCCTCCCTCTCTGCTCCCAGCCCCCAAACACACACTCACAATGTCATCTTCCTTGTTGTAGTTGGCAATGTCCTTCCGGAGCGTGCGGATGATGATCATGCTGAGAATACCTGAAACAAGCATAAAGTGAGGTTGGCTCAGAGGCTCCTGCATGGCTCTGCTGCTCTCATGATGTGCAGCTACACGGTGCCCACCAACACACAGTTCTGGCTAGAAGAGGAGGTCTCAAGTCATCACCCATCTCCCCAGCCTTCAGAGAGACAGAAACAAACCCCAGGGAGCAGGGGGTGGTATTCCAGCACGAATGGGGCACTCTGGTTGTTTTTTTTTTCCTTAAATATGGACATGCAAGATGGGCTTTAACCACATTCTGCTCCTTCAACTGCCCTACTCAGAGAGCAGAAGTGGGTAAAACTGTCTGACCCCAGGGGTGATGCCTGAACAGGAGGTTTCATGTGCTGATGGCTGTTTCCTGCCCCTTCTGACCAGGTTCAGACACGGCCACATCCCCTCGAGGCACCTGCAGCTGAGGCTTACAGGAGGCTCCCTGCACACTAATGGCAAAGGCTTCGCCCTCCCCAGTTCTCACTCACCTGAAAGGAAGAAGACGACCACAACGGAGTTAATGATGGAAAACCAGTGGATCTGCACGTCACTCATGGTCAGGTACGTGTCCCAGCGGGAAGCCCATTTGATGTCACTTTCCTGAAAGACCAGCAAAGCCCTTCTCACACCAGCACATTCCCAGTGCCTCCCACCACACCTCAGACAGACGCACGGAGCAGGGCGCAAGCTGCCAGCCAGCTTCTGTTCCTCACCTCCCAGTGGACAGAGTAGGTGAAGAGCAACTGGTTCTCCTTAGAAGGATCTATTTCCTGAGGGGCAGAGCCGGTAGCTTCAGGCAGGGTGCACATACTCTTCTCATCAGCTTTCAAGTCTGCAGGGGAAAACATGGCACACTGGAGATCTGGAGGTCAGCCCATCCCTCTGGACCACCTCCCGCCTGGCCCATCCTCATCCCAGGCACCCATAAGGTGCTCCTTAATTGCTCCAAACAGGGGAAAAACTTCCCTTACCCAAAGTTAGAGTTGGTCAGAAACCAAGATCTAGACAGGGAACAAATCCCCTATTCCACGTGATATGCTGGGAAACAAGACCTGTTCAGCAGAGCCTGCTGCTGCCAGAGGGATGCCACACACTATGAGCAACTTCCCTTCAACACACGTTTCCCATTGAGCTCACACACGTAGGAGTGTTTTCCTCCCAGCCTTTAAGTTCAATTTTCCATGGATTCCGTTTCAAGGATCTCTCTCACTGTTGGTACTTCCTTAATAGCAAAGGGGTTTATTTATCCTGTAATTTGGACTCTCTCATTTCTGGGCCTCTGACACATCAGTGGCATTCAGCTCTTGGCCCTACGAGACTTCTCTCCCTTGTGCCCCTCCTGAAGAGCCTCTTACCTTCTAGTTTAATACTTTGGGGAATGACTTCAAAGCGCACAACCCTGTAGGTGTGCTCCTGGTTCTCTTCCACATCCTCTCTGTGGTAGTAAAGGATGAAGGAGAGATGGTTGTGCAGGTAGAACTGAAAGAGATCAACATTAAATAAAGCGTTAGCACCCCAAGGGAGGAAGGGGGAAGGTTTAGAAAAAACGAGTTCAGAAAGCAGCTTCAGTGAAGGAAACTAAAGACTCCAACTGTTCCCAGATACACTGTGCTACAGGGCAACATCAGGCTAATGCTTTTCAAGGCTAAAGGAAAAAGAGGAGTGAACAGAGATGTTGAAAAGGTAACACCTCAACCACCCCAAGCACCAGGGACAATGCTTTGGTCTGCTTCTGGCCTGAAAAACATCACTGTATCTCACATCCCAACCACGTGGCAGCCACCCCCTTCTTCCAGTGAGAGACCTCTCTCTCATCTTCCCACTCTTTATAAGAGCTTCTGGTTGCATGCCCAACTCATACTCCCTGGCAGACTTCTAACACGCCCTGACAGACACCCCAGTCCCCTCCAGGCATCCCTCAGACAGCATCTGGATTCCCTACCTTGTTACCATCCATAAAGCCAAGCCTGTATCCATGCTCAAACTGCACATCCTTCTCCTTCTTCTTCTCCTCTTCCTCACGATTGGAATAGAACTCCAGCCGTGTTGCCACAGGGAGGTTATCGGCAATGCTGAAAACAGAGATTCCAGATGAGACTTGGCCACAGCACCGAGTCCTCACAGACACAGACCCACACTTGAGGTGACTCACAGATGGACATAGTAATCCTCCCTGATCCGCTCGGCCATCAGCTTGCTCTGCTCCACTGTCAGAGTGACCGGTTTGTTGGGGAAGTTGCACAGGACTTCACATTTCTTCTCCACGTTCATGGAGACCTGGAAAGGGGTATTTACAATTCGGTCCCCCCGAAGAACCTCACCTGCAAAACAGGAAAACAAGGGCAGGGTTGGAGACCACCAGGCTTCTCAGCAGGGATCCTGCCCTGGGTGAGCAGTGTAAGCAGGAATGACGGCAGCACGTCCGCTCTGTTAGCACAGATGCAAGGGTGAACTGAAGGACAGTTCAGCTGCTGTGTCAGAAGCATCAAGCATTACTTGTGCAGCAGGTTACAAGCCCTCCATGAAGAAAGGCATTTCCCCTTTCCACTACAGCGAAATCCCAGCTTGCAAACAGCCAGCACATCATGGATTAGAGGAAGCAGGCTCCCCACAAACAGTTTATTAGAGATGACATTTGCAATTGCTTTTACTCCTGTAAACACCCTCACACAGCTCATGAACGGCAGCCCACTGACTGCTGGCAACATGCTGTTCAACAGATACATACCCAGGTTCTCAGCCTTGTATGTTATCTTGGTGGGCTGGCAGAAGGGCAGGGAGTAGTACTCGTACGGGAGCTGGGTTCGGGAGCTGGTGAGCTTCACAGCCTGCAGGAAGAACAGAAGGCTTATCCCCATGAAAGGACTGAGTTCTCTGTCCCCTCTCAGCACCAGCCAGCAGCTGATACAAGGCACCTCCCATAAAGCTCACTTGAAGCTGTTAAATAATGGAAAAGGAGACAGATGTTCCTGGGAGAGCTCCAACTCCCTTTCCTCTGCACGGTTCCTGGGTGCACATTCTCTATGCTACGGTTTAGTAGCGGTTCATTCACAAAGGAACGCTTGAAGGAAGAAGCACTGGGGATTGGCTTCACAAATTTATGACTCAGTGGAGTCCTAGGAAGCAACAAAAGCCTCAAAAGAGGCTCAGGAGTCACGTTTCCTACACTAAGAAACCAACCAGGTCACGCTGGCTGCAGGGCTCGGGCCTCCTGCAATAGGTTTTATCTCTGGAGCCATCAGATCGGGGGGACAAGGGATGGTGACAAACCCCAGGCATTTCTGGAGAGCTCCCACCAATCGCATGCCACAAGGAAGTGCAGAGACCACGATAGCCAAGGCCACGGCTGCTCTAAGAACAGAAGTGTCTGTATCGCTGCCAAGCTCACTTACTGGAAGAGTGCTGGCAGTCACTGACTCGCCTCATCACTTGAGGCAGCATTTGGCTCCTGAAATCCCTTTGAGAACAGCCATTCCAATGCCCCCTCGGCTGGGAAGCTCCCTGTAGCCACAGGCAAGTCTCTTTTGCTTAAAAATAGCCTATGTCTGGCAGCCTGTGGCCAAAGAGAAAACTCTGCTGTGCTTCCCGTGGGAGCCCCAGCCTCAGCATCCCCACAGGGGCTGCATTCTGCTGAGGCGAGGCCACAGCTTCAGAGACATAAATGAAATGGGCTACAAGTTGCTGATGTGTGGAAAGGAAACCTGGCCTCCTCCTGCTCCATCGCTCCCTCAGCAACACTGCACAGGACCAGCTCTGCAGCCAGCCAGGCCGGCAAGATCTGCTCAAGGACAAACACCTGCACTTGGAAAGGGTTTATCATGGACTTCACTGGACTTGAAGACACAACACGAGCCAAGCAGAAGAGCAGGAAGAAGAGAGAACTGAAAAGGTCTGATTCAAACCACTTCTTTATTCTATCATTCACCTGAAGGTCCAAACTCTACAAGCACTGAGAGGCAGTACAGTGCTGGAAAAAAGCCTCTGAGAAATTCAGTTCACAGCTATGGTGAGAAAGAGAGCTCCCAGACAGAGCCACATCTCGAGGGCTCTGGTGCAGCCACTGAAGGAACTGGGTAGATTTCAGAAGGAAGGAAGAGAATCCTGTTGGGCACTGCAGGGCAAGATGATGACAGCGACCACCGAGCGCTGCTTACTGTGAAAAAGAGAAAGTACCTGCCCCCAGTTTAGAACCAGGATCCCCACATTTGACTTCCTAGTCCCACTTATCTGCTGTGATATAAAGAAGAAAACACAAGAAAACCCAGAAGAGGCAGACTAACAGTTCCATCCGAGTTCATCCTACCTTAATTTCTACAGGGTCATTGCGGTGGAAGTTGATAGGAGCCACCCCAGGTACATAGAAGGAGTCTGTACTGTGCAGGAACAGCAGGAGCAGTGTGTACCTCAGCCTTTCCTGCGAGAGGAGAAGAAACATCATCACAACAGAGACATGGAAGAACACCAGAGACGGGCAATGGCACCGAACGTGTCCACCCCAGGGCTGGGAAGGCTGCACTCAGGTGATCAAACACAAACTGAATTCAGAAGAGCTATCCTTGACTTGTTTTGTGACTCCCATCGAGTCCCTTTCTGCTCTCTGCCTCTTCATCTGAATTAGGAAAACACTGGCTTTGCTCAGCCACTTCTCTGTACCCCGCTCCATCCAGCGGGCTGTCAGCTGCGTGTTCCACTCTCCCCCAGCCAACACCCCTGTGTCAGGGTCCAGGGGTTGCCAGAGAAGGGGGGCACAGCCCTGGGGCTGGATTTCTGTCAGCCCTGCACATCAGGAGTTAATGCAGGGTAAGCTCTGACAGCAAGATAACCACTCGCTGCACCCACAGGATGGTCACATCACTGCTCCCCTCTTCTTTCCTCTCCCCTCCAGGCTAGAGCACAGCTCAGTAACATGACAAAACAAAATGAGCTCCCACCCCTTTGTCAGAGTCAGGTGGAAGGTTCAATTCCATGAGGGCTCCAACCCAAATCAGGCCCCGTACACCAGCAGCAGCAAACCCAGTCCCAGACTTTGCTGCTTCCTTGGTCCCTCCCATCACCAGAGGTGACCAGCCCCCTCCAGCACGGTGGGAAAGCTGTGAGATGAAAATCAAGCTTTAGAGTATTAGACAGCAGCACCCTGGCTGGGTTCAAGCACCAGCCCTGCTGTAATCTCACTGTATTACAGGCTCCAGCCCAGCCTCTTGACCCCCCTGTGGGTACGGCACCACTGGATAACCACAGAAACCCGGGGTCTGAGTTGGGATGCCTCCTGAGTTCATGCTGCAGCCACAGTAAACCCAACTGCTGCCTTCCCCAGCAGCTCCGTGACCCACTGCCCTCCCACCGACAAGCAGGGACTCGGTAATCAGGCCTGGAAGACAAATATAGACGGGAAAGGGAGAGGAATCAGCCTGAGGAAGTGAGGCTGGAACCAGACCGAGGCACCTCCACCAGCCTGGTGCCTCCTCTGGCTCAGCTCTACCCTCCCACCAATAGACACAGTCTGGGCAGGCCGGGAGGGAAGTAAACCTGAGGCTGGCTCGGAAGTAAACCTGAGGCTGGCTCATGGATACAAGCTGGATACCACAGGGAGCAGAGAGGAAAGCACACGGAGCTCCAGGATGCCAGCAGCCGCCCGCAGAGCCTGTCCCAAATGGATCCTCTGTGTTTATTGCCCCACAGCCCCTTCCTCTTCATCACATTCCCTTTGCCTTATTCTGAGCCTGGTAAGGTACATTTGGCCCAGACACCAGCAAGGGTCAACAGAGTATCCAGAATTAACTGCAACGGAGCAGGATGAAAGGAAAAGTCATGAATATCAGGGGGTTAAAATGTAAAACGTACCCAAGATGCAAACACGAGGCACCTCCAGAAATGGGTTAGTACTAAATCATAGAATCATGATCAGATCTGTTTTCTGACCAGGGAGGTTTTCAGATCTCTTCTAAGCACCTCTTAATGGAATCGGAACCAGCAGAAAGCTTCCTCTGGAAAGCAGGTGGGCAGCACTCTTTCAAATTGCTTGGACTTCAGTCCCGCTCTGCCTCGGAACACTGTGGAGCTGTTCTCTGTGCTCCACTATGCTTTGCCTTCTCCCATCTGGTAAAAGGGGACCCTGTGAGGCTCTGACCAAGCAGGACAAGGCTTGGTGCCCAGGGCAGGTGCAGCACGGGAAGGACACCACACTCCTGCCCTCCATCACACTCCAGAGCAGCCACTGACCTGTAGCTCCCTTTGTCACTGAAGTGCCAGGCATCCAGCGCAGCACCCAATAAAACCCAAACCACACCAGTGCCACCCGTGCACTAAGAGCCTGTGGGCGACAAGAGCAGGCCAGAACTGGGGAGGTGCTCAGGAGACCTGCAGGCACGGGGAAGATGAGATTTCTGATGAGCTCTGGCAGCAATGAGGCTCCTCGCATGCAGATGACGATGACTCAGGCAACACCCGGCAACAGAAAAGCCACGAGGGGGACCATGGAAAGCCTTGCCAGGAAAACACATTCGGTAGCAAGAGACGGGAATGGTGCTGCTGTGCAACAGGTGGGCAGCTCGGGAAGTGGGATGTGAAGGAAATGGCCAGTGCAGGTTCCTAAACCACAGCTCACAGCCCAAGGTGAAGCCAGGGCCCCTCCTTCTCAGGCTCTTTGCTTTCATACGGACTGACACATTTCATCTTCTCCAGATGAAGGCAGGAGCTCAGCAAGGACAGCACAGCCCAATGCCAAAACACCTGCACAGCTCCCGGGCCTGGCCGGGCCATCAGCCCAGCTGGGGGATGCTGCAGGCCAAGTTATCCCCCCTGCAAGGTCACAACTTACGGGGCAGAGCCCTGCTTCTGTTCAGTCACAGAGCCCTGCTGCGGCTCCGACCCCAGCAGATGGGAGGCACCTTTGTGGCCTTCACCAACTGCTTCTACCCCAGAACACCCCCAGGAGGCTCACAGCTGAGGGAATCGGAACACCAAACGTGCACAATTCTAGAGCACACAAACCCCACTGCACGGGGACACCACCATAGGGACTGACTAAGCCTGATGATTTTACCAGATGAGCAAATGCAGTCGCAAGCTTGCAAGAGACCCTTCCTTAGGAGAAAAGGATCTGAATGAGAGCAGTGACTGCAGAAGCAGGATCAACCCCTCCTGCATCAGCTGCTCTCCCCCTTGGCACACACCATGTCACATGCAGCCTCTGAGGGCAGCAACAACCACCCTGGTGTTTGTGGGGTCTCTCGGGGGGGGACTCTGAAATTGATTTCTGTGATTACCTTTGGCACTTGGCTCTCCGAATAAGTTAACTCCACCCTTCCTTGCAGCCATTCTACAGGCAGGGACACCTTCCACTGGAGCAGCTTGCTCCAAGCCCCTGTGTCCAACCTGGCCTTGAACACTGCCAGGGATGGGGCAGCCACAGCTTCTCTGGGCACTTACCAGGAGCTTTTCCTGTGGTGACAGAAAGGGAGGAGACACAACCCACAACTGGGAAACAAAGGACCCACAGGTAACAGAGCAAACTGGAGCTCTCTCCCCGCTGTGTACCATCCATTCTACTGTCAGGCACACCAAGAGGACACACACAGCGCTAATGGCACCTGCTCTGCACCCCCTGAGGACCAGCCCAGTGCTCACCCCCTTTCCCCAGCGCTGCCTCCTCAGATGCTCTCAACAACTGCTTGGACAAGCTCATCTTTCTTGTGCCTCTCCCTGCTCACCCCTGCACCCAGAGGAGTCCCTGAAAGCCTCTGAAAGGAGACAAGTGCTGCATTCACATAGATTTCAGAGAGCTCCTTTGACGCCTGGAGAGCTGGCAGCAGCCTTCTCTGCTGCCACAACAGGGAAGGCCTCAGGGAAGTTCTCAGCAGGACCATCCCCAGCCCGCTCAGGCTCTTCCCTCCTCCCTGCCTGGGAGAAAGCCACTGGAGTCTGAAGGTGCTTGAAGCAGAACGAATGAAAACCTCCGCTCTTCCAACCTCCCTTGCAGTTTCTGCCAATCTTTATGCTGCCTCACATCCCCTACCCCAGCCAGCAGCGACCCTTGCATCAGCACACATCCTTTCCTCATGTGGCTATTCCACAACACGACATTAAGGACACATCCTTCTGTGAAAGCAAGGAGGGAAATCCATTTGTCTGCAAAACTTCAGAGAGAAAATTAACATCTCAGAGCTCATTTCCTCCTCCGTGAGGTGGCACCGATGCTCTCCTACCTCAGCAAATCCCCATGGGAAACATTTCCAGCTCCCCAAGGACTCGGAATAACTCAGTCATAGTAATTGAGACGTGGGGAGGCGAAGCAGCTGCTGTCACTGCCGAACGCTTGTTAAAACCGCACAGAACACAGCAGCCCTTTGCCTGGCGCCAGCACCCGGTGCAAGCCAACGCTCCCCTTGCAGAGAACCGCACGGGAGCGGAACCCGGCCCGGTGCTGCCGGGTGCTCGGGGCAGCCAACAGCGCCCGAAGTCCCCGCCCCCGCCCCCGGTCCCTCCAGCCCGGACAGCGCCGTGAGCGGAGCACCCGGAGCCGGTTCTGCCGCCGCGGGGCCAGGCAGGGCTGAGCCGGGCCCCGCTCCGCCCCTGCCCTCCCCCGGTGCCACCGCCGGCCGGGCCGCCGGGACACCCCCAGGAGAGGCGCGATCGCTGCACGGCCCCGGGCGGACGAGGGAGCGCTCCGCGGGCCGGGCCCGGCGCAGCCCGCGGGGCCGGGCGGGACGAGGCGCGGGGCCGGGGGGGGCTGCGGACCTGGAACCGCGTCCTCCGCCGCCAGGGGCCCGCCCGGCCCGGAGCCCCCGCGCCCAGCGGGCCCCAGCGGACACGGGCCCGGCCCGGGCCGCCGCACTCACCATCGCCGCCGACGCCGCCATCTTGGATCCACGTGTCGGGATGCACGTGACGTCAGCGGAAGTCAGCCGCGGGGCTCATCGCCATGGCGACAGCGGCCGCGCCGGGCCGGGCCTAGCGCCGGAGCTCCGGGGGCCGGGCCGGGCCCAGCGCTGCCGCCGGCCGGGGCCACAGTTCCGGTGCCCGGCGGGACCGGCCCTGAGGTCAGGGGAGCAGCGCCACCATCTTTGCTGAGGGCAGCGGCCTTCGCGAGCAGCGCGGCCACGACGCCGCGGGCGCCATGTCCGGTGCGGGCACTGCGGCTGCGGGGCTTTGGGGCGGCACCGACCCCGCTGTCCCGCTCCCAGCGGTGCTGAGGGCTCCGGCACGGCCGGAAAGGCCGCAGGGTGAGGGCTGCATTGATCACTACTTTATTGGTTACAGAAAGCAGCTCCCAAGTGGGCACTAAAGCTCAGAAGCACCGGACTTTGCCTCTGTAGAAGGAGAACGTAATGGCAGGAAGGGCCCTGCTGGAAGGCGTGCGGGGCGGTCCCGTAGAAACCAAGTGCTGCTTCTTCCCTTTCCCCAGATAACGCGTTATTAAATGACATACAGAGTGCAAGGGGGGCCCGGCCCGGTGCTGAGGCTGCGAAGCTCTGGCCGATGTTAAATCAGAACTGGGAGTGGAGCAAAGCTCCATCTGGGTTCATCTGCACCATCGCTGCCTCCCTCCTGCTGCCCTGTGCAGAGCGGGCACCATGAGCAGCCCCCCAGGAGCGAGCTGGGGCAACACATCCCATGGGAACCCAGTGGGATGCCCCTGGCGCACAGGGACCAGGGGCTATGGGTGCTGAACTGCACACCCGGAGCGTAGCAGCAATGCACAGGGCCAGTGCAGCTGAAGTACCTACTGCTAATAATAACAATCTGTGTTTGTCTCTTTGCAGCTGGAACAGGCCCAGTCTTGGCCCTCCTCGGGTGATGCCACTGGTGCAGGCACCCACTGTCCAGCCCGTGCTTCCCGGAGCAGCGGCACTGAGGCCACTCAGGCACGTGTGAAAGGCACAAGGTGCATGCCTGGGTCACATCTCCCTTCATCCAGCTTCCTCCTGCCCCGCTTCCAGCCCAGCCTCAGCAGGAGGCTCCAGCTCCTGGGCCGGACGGGCAGGGGAAGGTGGGAGCAGGCAGATCACAAGTGGGATGGGAAGAGCAGGGAGCCTGTGTTCACTGCCACCAGTACAGCGTGCATAGTGCCAGGTATCCCCTGCCTTCCCCAGGCTCCCTGCATTACAGCTGCTGCTGATACTGGCTCTCTGTGGCAGTGAAGAAATCCTCCAGAATGCTCTGCACGTACTCGAAGGTGGGCCGGTCCTCAGGTTTGGCTCTCCAGCACCTCATCATAACATCATAGAGCTCCTCGGGGCAGTTCTCGGTGCGGGGCATCCGGTACCCGTGCTCCAGCGCCCTGATCACCTCCACGCTCGTCATCCCTGGAGGAACGGGACCGGTTGGTGAATGGGGCATGATTTAGCACTGCTTGCTTTAAAAGGCAATAAAACCCCCAAACCACCCTTTGGGTAGTGGCACTAGGAAGAAAAAGGACAGGTTAGGGGGTAGGGAAGGGGGATCTGCAGCTCCTGGTCAGGGAACTATGCAGATAACCGTGGTGCCGAGTGCGCTGTGGCACGCAGGTTTGTACCCACTTGAGCGAATCAGGTGGGAATTCTAAGAGTTATATATAAATTTAACAAATAAAGGCTATGCTTCTCCATCTGCTGAGCCTTAAATGAGCCATTCCTTCCACTAATGTCCCAAACAGCCCTTCCTGCCACCCCAGAGCCAGCAGTCTGTTTGTGGCAGCATTTACTTGTCTTGTACAGAACCATTTCCCCCAAAGGAAGGTACCTGGGTAGGGCACGCGCCCGTAGGTGATGATCTCGGTCAGGAGGATCCCGAAGGACCAAACATCTGACTTTATAGTGAAAGAGCCGTAATTGATGGCTTCTGGCGCAGTCCATTTGATGGGAAACTTGGCACCTGACAAAGAGATCCCATGGGAAACATGAGCTGTAACCCAACTGCTGAGGAACTGGTGGGGAAATATGGGGAACAAGAACCAAACAAACAAGAGGAAGATGTGGAGTGATGCAAATGAGGAGCTTCCCTCTTCGGCCCGGTTACACAGCGCGTCCCCAAGGGGCCTTGCACCGAGGTGACACCTTGGGGAGTGACTTCAAGGGGATCCCACAACCCCTCAGCACCCAGAGGGCGGCCAGGCCCCCCCGCACCTTCCCGTGCTGTGTACTCATCGTCCTCGATGACCCGCGCCAGCCCGAAGTCCGCGATCTTGCAGAGCAGCGCCGCCGACACCAGCACGTTGGCAGCTCGCAGGTCGCGGTGGATGTAGTTCCTCTTCTCGATGTAAGCCATCCCTTCTGCAATCTGCACAAAGGGGGAACACAACATGCAAAGGGGCCTTGAACTGACACAGCCCCCTCCGCCCGGGGGTTACCGGGAAGGGAAGGAGTTCGGCTGCCTGTGGGCAGTGCTGGTGGAGGGGTGAAAGGAACCGAGTGGCAGCAGGGGCTGACCCTGCTGCGTGGGACTTGTTCTCTGTTCAGGGAAGGGGTCAGGCTCCGGGTGACCGGCCCAGCACCACCCTGCAGCAGAAAAGCAGCAAGAAGGGGCACCCGCGCTCATGAGCACGTCTGTGGATGCTGCAGGACAAGGTGCAACTGCTTCATCCCTGGCTATGCAGATGAGGGGTCAATCAGCCTCTGCTCAGAGACAACGCGAGACCAGCCTCTAAACACAAAAACTTGAGGGGAGCAGGGAGTGATTCCCTCCCTACACCAAGGGAACAGCAAATGGACCTGAATCAGCAGCACTGCAGAGCCTCCAGGGTGAGGGCAGGAGAGCACGGTGCTGGGTCTCTCAAGGAGGGTGGGGAGCCCTGATCCATGCAGAGATGACCCTGTTTGTGCCAAATAATCCCATACCTGGATGCTACCAGCATCCGTGAGCGGAAGGGGCTGGAGCAGACAGGGGGAACCCCTCCCCATCCCCATCCCGCCTGCCCAGGGTAAGGTGCAGCAGCTCCGAGCCCCCCCCCACAAAGCACAGCAGAAGCAGGCGCTGCAGGAGCAGGATTGTTTCCATGAGCACAGACACTGCTGCGCTCGCAGTGACTCAGCCCCAGCACAAGCCTGGGTGCCAGCCCTGCTGCCTGCACATGGCAGCTCTTCAGCCTGTGCTCTCGGGGCAGGGATGGGCTGTCTGCAGGAGCCAGCTTCCTGGGAGCAGATGGTGCAAGAGTGCAGGGCTCAGTGCAGCCCTGGCACAGCCGCCCCACAGGCAGGGACCTGGGCTAAGCCCCCGGGGCCTGAGCTCCTGGCCCTGCTTCCCTATTGTGCTCAGGACCCTCCATGAGCTCTCTCACAGCAGCACCGAGCTTAGCTCAAAGGGTCCCTGGGTTTGGCTGGCGCCTGGGGACCCTGCAGAAGCAGCAGGGCCAGGACAGGGGTTGTGCACATGGAGCTGGATGGGCAGCCCTGAAACCAGCTCCTGAAAACATCCCTGCTCTGGAGTTCCCTGGGGTCCTCCTGCCTCCCGCAGCCCCTGACAGCCCTTCGGCAGGGTGCTGATTGTGAGCACCCACAGCTGTCCCGGAGGCATTCCTGTGGGATCACACAACACGTTCCTTCTGGAAACCATGCCCAGGCACCGTGAACACAGCAGCACCGCGCTGCAGTTCTGCTGCTAAACCACAGAGCTGCAGCCGCAGCTGAGCCCTGCCCGGGGCACGGTGAGGGTGGCCCTGGGTGGCTCTGCTGCCCGCAGGGGGCAGGTCGCAGGTAACCATCAGAGCAGCAGGGGATGCTGAGCCGGCAGCCGGGTCCTCCCCGCCCCGGTGTTGCCTGGTCCAAGCAGGCTCTGCCCAACCCCAGCGGAGACCTTGGGCTCCTCTCTCGCCGTTCCCAGGGGCAGGTCTGCGCCCTCCTCACCTGGGCGGAGAAGTCGATGAGCTTCGGGAGCGGCTGCCTGTGCCCCTCGCTGCTCTTCAGGAAATCCAGGAGGCTCCCTGTGGAGGCGGCAGAGAGCGGCTCAGGGCCCCGGGAGCCGAGCACGACGCGGGCACTCGGGATGCACACCTGAGCCCCCATCCCGGTGCCATGGGCTGGGAAGAGCGGCAGCACCGCTGCAGGTGCCCTCCGTGTCTGTCCCATCCCCATCCCTCCATCGCACAGGCTGTCCCTGCATCCCCCCATCCAGCACCCTCAGATGTGCCGTGGCAGGAGCTGGACCCACTCCCAGTGTCCCAGGAGCCAGCACAGAGCCCGTGGCTGACCCCAGGGGTACAGGAGGGGCCGGATACTGCTGCGCCATCCCTGGGTACCACCAGTGACCGCGCAGGGACGCGGGCATCACCTTTCTCCATGAACTCTGTGATGATGTAGATGGGCTCCTCCCTGGTGACCACCGCGTGCAGCCTCACCAGCTTGTCGTGCTGCAGTGTCTTCATCAGGCTGGCCTCCTCCAGGAAGGCATCCGCAGACATGCTGCCCGGCTTCATCGTCTTCACCGCCACCTTGGTGTGCTTGTTGTAGGTAGCTGGGAGACGCACAACAGACCATTCCCAGTGCCCAGGCGCTGGATTCTGGAGCCCAGAGCTGTCCCCATGGCCCCAGCCTCAAGTAGTCCCTGTATTAATGCCAGGGCCACCTCCTCTTCCCTGTGCTCCTCCTGCAAGTCCTCCCCTCCCTGCCTCCTCCACCCCACCACCTCCTCTCCCATCCCTCACCCTTTATCCCTCCCCACCACCCTCACCTTCCTCCCGGCTGCCCCCCCCCGACTCTCACCCATCCACACTTCTCCGAACTGCCCGGCTCCCAGCTTCCTCTCCAGCCTCAGCGACTCCCGAGGGATCTCCCAGGCATCTTTCTCCCAGGGTTTCTGGGGTCTGGGCACGCAGCAGGGGTAGGTGAGCTTCTGGCACAGCCCATCGCTCTGCCCTGCGGGGAGCAGCCACAGCCATCAGCTGGTGCCTCTCACAGGGTGCTTCGTACTTGGAGCCCACTGCAGCCTCCCTGGCCACAGGGCACGTCCTGGCACCGTGCACCACGCTGCAAGCCCTGAGGACACATTGGACACCAGCCACTGCAGCCTGGCCCCGACAGCACCGCTCTGCCCTGCCCTGTGCTGGTGGTCAGAGCCCAGGCTGGGGCGTCCTGGGCACTGGGCATTCGGGGACACAACACCCCCAGATGTGACAGCCAGCAAAAGCCAGCCCCCTGGTCCAGTGCCCACTGCACATCCTGGATGGAACCACAGCAGGAGCCCAGCGGTGATGGGCAGGAGCCCCATGGTCTCTGAGTGCCCCTGGCTGCCCCACAGCCGCCCAGGGGCACAGCCCCATCTGGGATGCAGGATCCAGGCACCCCAGGGCTCACCTCTGTAGTACTGGACCAGCTCCTGCAGGGTGTCAAAGCTGCTGCGTGCGGAGACGTAGAAGCCGCCAGTGTCCAGTGTCCGGATCTTGTAATGCTTCACCGCGTCGTCCCCGTCCCGCACTGACAGCGAGTAGCAGCCTGTCCGGGGAGGGTGAGGGCATCGCATCCCTGTGCCACCCATCCCGCGCGGTGCCATCACCCAGCGGAGCCAGCGCCGTGGGCACCCTCCAGACCTTTGCTTGTCTCGCTGTCCCGTATCATGAAGGATCCGATCACGTTCCCGGGACCAAGGAGCTGCCGCTCCGCATCCTTCCGGCTGATGCCCTTGAAAAACCACCTGCAGAAAGGAACGAACCAGGGAATGAGGCTGGGGAGCTGAGGCTGGCGTGGGGCAGGGCTGGGAGCAGCCACAGCGGGGGACCGTGGCACCGGGATGTGCCACCGAGGGCCGGACTCACTCCTCCGTCTCCAGCGAGTCAGCTCGGGCAACGTAGTTGCTGGGGATGAAGCCTTCGTGCCCCGTCACCAGCGACCGCGCTCGCCACCACTCCCCTGACCTGCGGCAGGCACAGCACTGGGTGATCCCATGGCACTGGGTGACCCCATGGCACTGGGTGACCCCATGGCACTGGGCACTGCTGGCAGCTCCAGGGCAAATTCCGTAAGGAGACCCCACCCCAGCAGGGCCGCGAGCCCCTCGGGAGCCCTGGCAGCACTTACTGCTCCAGCACCTTCAGCCGCTCCCCTTTCTGGAAGCTCAGGTCCCCGGCATGCATCGCCTCGTAGTCATAGAGCGCCAGCACCACAGCGTCCCCCGAGCCTGCAGCGAGGGAGCTCCCTGGGCACCTTGCTGGGGTGGGACGGGGGGGACCCATCCCTGCCATGGACACCCAGGACACCGGGCAGGACCCCCGCAGCACCCAGCGCCTCCGGCTTCACCGTGCCACGGTCACGTCTGGCCCTTAAGGAAGCCCAGAGCTCCCATCCTGCCTGGACCGCCAGCGCTGGACCCAGGTTGGAGAGGACCTGACACGCACCCACCTTCACCCCCACCCCAGACCTACCATCCTCGGGAGGGGGCACGGCCGCGCTGGGGACGTGATTGCTCTGGAAAGTGGGAATAAAGCAGAGAGTGACATTGTAGGGGCAGAGATTCGTACCCCAGGGGGGTCTCAGTCCCTAGAAGCAGGCTGAAGGGGGCACCCGAGGGGCAGCACCAGCACCACCAGCGCACCAATGCGCCAGCACCTCTGTCCCACCTCCCAGCACCTTCTTTTTCCTCTCCCTTTCTCCATGATTCCTTAATTCCCACCAGGATCACTCTGTGCTTTGCTCCAGCATGGACGAGGCTCCCATCCCACGGCCAAGCCCCTGCTGGCACCCGCATCCAGCCCCTCTCTTGGTGCTGGGAGCTCTGGTGGGAAGTGGGGCTGAGCCCCACAACGGCTCAGCCCTGTGCCCCCAGCTCACCCAGTGGCTCCCACTCACCCTCCTGTTGGTGGCCGTGGGGTCCCTCACGTAGTGGCCCTGCTGGAGGCTGGGGCTGGGGTCAGGGTCGGTTTTCATCTTCTCTTGGACACCAGCTTCCTTTGACTTCAGGCAACCCATCCTGGAGCCTGGGGAGGGGAAGTGAGGCCGTTGCGACAGAGGTGAAAGCCCCACTCCACCCCCAGCTATGGGGCGCATGGCATGGGGCTGTGGTGCCGCATTGCCACGGGCAGGGAGGGCTCTGCTCCCACCAGGGAGCCGGGGGGGCAGCATGTGGAGGGGAAAAGGAACCTCCCTGTGCAGAGAAAGGAGAAGCCACAGGAGGCAAGGTTTGGGCAGGTGACAGCGGCTGCCATGGGGCAGCTTCACAGCCCTTCCCCAGCCAGGGATGCAGGCACTGAGCACCACGGGGGCCGAGAGCCGCTTGGTTTGTTCTGCAGAGCGGGACCCCCATCACAGTGGGGCTCCCCCACAGCCCAGGGCTCCGCACCCAGCACCAGCCCAGGGCAAGCGCAAGCGCTCAGCGTCCTGCAGCTCCCCAAGGAGAACCCGTGGGGAAACGGCTGCAAAGAGCAGGGGGAAACCCCACAAAGGCTCTTCCCTTGCTCGGGGAAGACCTCGGTACGGGGAAAGGAGAAGGTGCCCAGGGTGACAGTGAAGGAGGAAGCTCGGGGCTGAGCAGGACCCTGCGGTGCGCCCAGCACCGCTGGCCTTGCTGCATGGCTCTCGAGGGACATCGCTGTCGCCTCCCAACCACTGCTCCTTGTCCTTCCCAGTGTGCCAAAGCCTGGCTCAGCCCCGCTGCCCGTGGCAGGGCCGCATTCAGCCCTGCAAAGCACAAACAGCTCTGAGGGTCCCCGGCGGCCCCTGCAGGGACACCAGCGGGCACCACAGCACGGGACTGCACCGGGACACTCCGGACCGCTGCCGCCGCCTCCCCTCGGGCACCGCCGCACCGAGCGGGGCCGGCACGGAGCAGGACCGGGGCAGCAGCGGCTGGACTGGGGCAGGGACGGACCCACCGGGCTGCCCGGCACCGGGGCTCCCCCCGCCGCTCCCGGGGTCCCGCTTTCGGCTCCGCTCTCACCTGCGCTGCCGTCCCGGTCCCCGCTCCCTGTCCCGGCTGCTGCCGCCGCTCCGCTCCGCTCTGCCCGGCTGCGCCCCCGCCGCCCCTCCCCGGTAAATCCGCCCCCGCCCGGTGAAACCACGCCTCTCCCGGTAAGGCCCCGCCCCTGTCCCCCGGTGCTGCCCGACGGGGAGGGCGCGGCTGATACCGCGTGTCCCAGCGCCGGGGTCCCAAACCGGGACTGGAGCGGGGATCCCGTTGCACGCAGAACAGGACCTCCCGCTCCAAGCGGGGCACCCATCTACTGAAGGCTTTCGAGGGCACCCGTAATGCCTGCAGGGACTTCCCATCCCATCCCGGCCCTGTGATGGGTGCCAGAGCCCTGCTCGCCCCCCCCAGCCCTGCTGCCCTGGAGGGTTCAGGAGGATTTGGGGTCCGACACCCCAGAGTGGTTCCTGGCTGGCAGCAGGGATCGTGGGGTGAGCCCAGGCTGGTGTGGGGTGAGCCTGGTTCTCCACCCCTGCAGAGGGGAAAGAGGAGACCCCCAAGCGCTGTCCCGTGATGGGGTGCAGGGCACAGTGCAGTGCAGGGCATGGGGCTCCTGCTCTCCTGACCCTCATGTTCCCATGCCAAAATCATCCCAGGTCCCCTCTCCAGCCTTTGCTCCGGTTCAGCCAGAGCAGCCCTGAATTTGGGGCCGGGACAGCAGCAGCAAAGGGCCCTGCGGTGACACCCCCCATGGTGGGCAGGCCCAGCCGGACCCAGGCCGTGCTCTGGAGCATCAGAGGAAGCGGCCGGGGCCTCTCCTGCGCAGGGTTTGCATATGGAAATCAAAGAGAGGAAAAAGAAGGTGCTGCGGTAACCCCCGCGTCTGCTGCCCACGCTGCGCCCCGGGCCCCATCCTGCAGCCCCCAGCGAGGGACATCGGCCACGGGACATCATCCGGGGCCGGGCGTGCGGGAGGGCTGCGGCAGCGCTGCAGGAAGCCGGTCCCGGGGCAGGAACTTCCTCTCACGGAACACCCTCGGCCGCGGCCGGGCCGGTGTTGCGGGGCCGTCACCCGCGGTAACGGAGAGCGGCTGCCCATGGCATGGCCCATCTCGGTGTGCCCCAGCCCGGCCCTCACCACGGGGCTTGGCAGCAGGATGGGGGCAGCCCCACAGCAGCCCCTGCTCAGGCAGGCAGCCCCAGTCCCTTCCTGTCCCGTCCCATCCCACCCTCTCTGCCCCATGGGTTGCTCCGGGGGTCCTGCGCTGCCAGGACTGTCCCCGGGGAACCCCGGCTCTGGGAGCAGCCTGCGTGTGGGTGAGCACTGGGGTGAGCAGCGTGCCCCAGCCCAGCAGCCGCACGGTGCCTGGCAGGGCTGCGGCAGCCCCTGCCCCGCTCAGCCCCAGCCCCAGCATCCCATGTGCCCCGGCATGTCCTTTGCCCAGGATAGAACCTGCTCCACTCCCGGCTCTGGCATTTAATTGCAATCCGCAGCGATTACAGCACATGGCGCTGCTGGCTGGGGGCTCCCCCACCACCATGGGGTACCTGCGATGCCATCAGCCCCACCGAGAGCTGCCACGGCCGTGCAGAGCCCCTGTCCCCTGCCACAATGACAGAGAGGGGTACAATGTCCTCCCTTCCAGGCACGGGGGCAGAGCTGGGCACCTTGGGCAGCAGGGAGGGCACCCCCTCACAGGTAGTTGTCCTCTTCCTCGTCCTCCTCCTCCTCCTCATCCCGCGCCAGCGCCTCGATGTCGTGGGTGATGTCCGTGATCATGCGGTTGAAGGACTCGGACTCGGAGCGCAGGGACCAGCTGTCGTAGCTGCGCACGGCTGAGGCTGAGGTGTTGCTCATGCTGCGCTTGATGCGGCCGAAGCTGTCGGTGAGGATCCCGCCCTCCCGGATGCCGATGCTCTCCAGGAACGTCTCGAAGTACCCGATGTCTTGGTCGGGGATGAAGGGTCTCATTCCTGCCATGGGCACCGTGAGTGCTGGAGTAGCCCTGCCTGGGTGGGCAGCACTGGGGTGCAATGCCAACCATCCCCACTGCTGGCTCATCCCATCCCATCCCATCCCATCCCATCCCAGCACCCCCCAGAGCACACCCAGCGCACACACCCCATCCCCAGGATGACATGCTGACACAGGGAGCCCAAACCCTCACCCAGGAGGAGGAATTTCCTGCGGTCCCCATAGAGGCGCAGGAGCTCTGTGCAGTATTCCTGCACCGGCGTGCCCAGGCGGTATTCCCGCAGGAGGAGGGCGAACTGCTGGATCTCCTGTGGTGACAGCTTGTTGCGCAGCTGCAGTGACACAGGGGCAGGTCAGGGCTGGGGGCACCAGCAGCACAGAGGCCCTGCTCCCTGTTGGCTGCTGGGCACAGGGCCTCAGACCTGCCGGCACTGAGCAGGGCCCTTCTCCCGTCCCTGTCCCCTCACCGTCACCATGTAGTCCTGCAGCTGCTCCAGCCCCACGCCGCTCTGGTCGCTGCCGCTGCAGGCAGTGGCCAGGCTGTGGTGGGACCGGTGGAAGGAGGGCGAGGAGGCACCGCTGTAATACGCCTCGAAGGTCTCGTGGGAGCTGTTGCTGTGGGAGGACGGGGGTCAGAGGGTCCTGGCACCCCTCATCTGCCTGGCTGACCCCATCTCACTGCACAGCACCCATCGGGGCATCTCTGCAATCACCCATCCCAGTGCAGGGCACCCACCCGGGGCATGGGCATCCTGAGGGTACCAGACTCACAAAGAGCTGCAGCAGCTGAAGTCAGCATCATAGGCGTACGTCCCGTCTGTGCGGCAGCTCTCACCTGGGGAGGGAGAAATGAGGGTCTCAGAGCGGGGCCAAGCCTCTGCCCCTGCACACAGCCCCATGCCACCCGCTTGGTGTCCCCATGCCTGCCCCCCACCACTCACTGCGGCTGGAGAGCCAGGGCCGTGTTGGGGTGGAGGTGTAGTGGTACCCGGCACGATCCACGCACTCGATGCTCTGGTCCCCGTAGATGATCTGGAAGACCTGGCAGATGAGCGCACAGGACTCCTCGGCAGCATCCTGCAGTGGGAGGGACAGGGAGCACATGTGCCATTGGGTGCCCAAGTGCCATTGGGTGCCCACGTGCCATTGAGTGCCCAAGTGCCACCAGGTGCCCATGTGCCATTGGGTGCCCATGTGCCATTGGGTGCCCATGTCCTATTGGGTGCCCATGTGCCATTGGGTGCCCATGTGCCATTGGGTGTCCATGTCCTATTGGGTGCCCATGTGCCATTGGGTGCCCATGTCCCATTAGATGCTCATGTGCCACTGGGTGCCTGTGAGCCACTGGGTGCCCATGTGGTGCTGGGTGCCCATGTGCCATTGGGTGTCCATGTCCTATTGGGTGCCCATGTGCCATTGGGTGTCCATGTTCCATTAGGTGCCCATGTGCCACTGGATGCCCGTGTGCCGCTGGGTGCCCATGTGCCGCTGGGTGCCCGTGTGCCGGCAGGTGAATGCCGTGTGCCGTGGGTGCCGGCGCCGCTCACCCTGCTGGGCACGGCGAGGATGATGAGGTTGGAGTAGGCGTCAGGGCAGTGCTCCTGCGGCTCCAGAGGGTTGCTGCCCGCGTGCCGCCGCTCCCAGCTGCCGAAGCCGGCGCCGCGCTCCCAGCTCCCGCCGGCGGTGCCCGGTCTCCGCCGCTCCCAGCTGCCCGAGGGCCGCCCGCGCTGCCGCCGCTCCCAGCTGCCGCCGCGGCGCCGCTCGAGGCTGCCGCCCTGGCGGCCGTCCTGCCCGCCCCGCGCCGCCCGCCAGTCCAGGCTGCAGATGGTGTGCCGCCGCTCCATGGCCCCCCCCAGCCGCCCGCCCTCCGGCCACGAGCCCCCCGCCCGCTTCTCGGCCGGGAAGGCCTCCGGTAACCCGGGGGGCGCCGCCTCCGGGTGCGCTCCGGCGGGAACCGGGTCCACTCCCAGGCCTGGGGCAGCGGGGAGAGAGCGGGCATCAGGGCGGGGACTGCGCTGCCCACCCTGCCCCGAGCCCTGCCCCTGCCCTGGCTGCCCCAGGGGATCGTAGAGCCCCAGACTGGGGTGGCTGGAAGGGACCTTAAAGCTCCTCCAGCTCCAACCCCTGCCATGGGCAGGGACCCCTTCCACTGGAGCAGCTTGCTCCAAGCCCCTGTGTCCAACCTGGCCTTGAGCACTGCCAGGGATGGGGCAGCCACAGCTTCTCTGGGCACCCTGTGCCAGCGCCTCAGCACCCTCTCAGGGAAGAGCTTCTGCCTGATACCTAATTCAAATCTGACCCTTTTTCAGGTTAAAGCCATTTCCCCTTGGGATGGGTGGGATGGAACGGGGATGGGGGAGCCCCAGTGGGTTGGAGGATTAGGGACAAAGATTAGGGGACTGCTCTGTGTGCAGGCTGGAGCTCAGACCCCACCAGCTCAGGGGGCAAGGTGGGGTTTTTATGCCCCAACCGGACCCAGCACCTCCCCATCACCCCCAAAGCTCCAGCCCCTCATGCCCTGGGCACACCGGGTGCTTGGGGCCAGCCCTGGCCCAATGCCCGCACCGGTTTTGAGGATGAGGAGGTGCAGGGCATCATCCCGCAGGTAGGACGCGGCGGCGATCTCGTGTGTGGGGATGCGCAGGATCAGCTCCTCGTTGTCTCGCCATGTGAGCAGGAGGCAGCGGGCAGAGAGGCTGAGGATGCTGTCCTGCTCCGGCGTCGTCTGCAGCGGCAGCTCCTTCAGCTGCTGTGGGGCAGAGTGTGTGCCATGGGGCACCCGGTGGCATGGGGCACCCGGCACCCACCCTCTGGGCAGCACTGGGGGCAGTCCAGTGGGGCCCCTCTTACCCTGGCTGTGTCCAGCAGCTGCAGCACCTCATCCCGGCTGGAGGGGTTCAGCGAGGCTGTCACCCACGTCAGGTGGCCTAAAAACTGGGACACAAAACCCAGGGCAGCTTGGGGGTCCCCTGCGACGGGGGCCCCATCCCACCACCCCCTTACCGGAGTGTTTGTCTGGGCAGGAAGGGGACCAGCACCCTCCTGGCCACAATGGGCGGTGCCTTTCAGCGTGCTGTGGACCCGGGCACCCCTGGGGACCCCCCCACCCCTTTACCTTCACCTCCTTCTCCACGTAGTCGTGCAGCAGGATCTGGGGGTCGATCAGGTAGTCGGGGGGGTAGAGGGGCACCGAGTGCAGCGGCCGCCGGTAGACGCTGCTGCGGAGCGCGTGCCGCCGGGCTGCCTTGGGGAACACCAGCCGCTTGATGGGCGACACGAAGCCCTGGGGAGAGAAGGGGTGCAGGGACACATCAGCACCCAACCCCGGCACCCGGGGCACCCCTCTGCTCCCTGACCTCCATTTGGGTGGGTGGGAAACAGCAAGTGCAGACCCCACCTCTCCCCAGCACCCTATAGGAAGGGCTGCAAGGCCCTTCTGTCCCATGAGTCTCGCCCGCTCCCACCTTCCCGTAGCCCCCCCCCGGACACCACCCCCGGCCCCAGCACCTTTTTCCCCTTCTTGGCCTCGCAGTCCATGGCGGCCGCGGCGCTGGCTCTCGGCACGGCCGCCCCGCTCGGCGCCGCTGCGCTTTCCTGTGTCGGAAACTCCACCAGGATGGCCGGGATGTGAGTTCCTGCCCCTCCTGGGGGGTGCTGGGACTGGACTGGGCTGGGCTGGGACTGGGATTAGGAGTGGGAATAGGACTGGGACTGTGGCTGCATCTGGGATTGGGACCAGGACTTGGACCCGGACTGGGACTACGCTGGTACTTGGGGAGAAACGGGCCGAAGGAGGCTGGGATGGGACCGGAGCAGGGGCTTGGGCTGGTGCTGGGCTGGAACACGGGCTGGGACCAGGGATGGGATTTGTGCTGGGAGTGGGCTGGGATTTGGTCAGCAGCAGGGACTGAAGTGGGCTGGATAGGACCAGAGCAGGTGCCGGGCCTGGGTTTGGGGCTGGGGGTGCTGGTGGGACCTGACTGCAGAGCAGCCCCTGCCCCTCACTGCTACAGGGCTCCCCCCGGGCTTGGGTCTGATTCTGCTGCCCCATGGCCCCACATCAGCCATATCTTCATGGGCAGAGCTGGCGGCTCCTGGCCCTCACTGCCCCTTTCTCGCCGTGCCCATGGGACCATGAGGCAGGGAACGGCACCAGCAGGATCCTGCTCAACTGCACCCAGCTCCTCATCCCCACCGGCACCCATGGGGCCCGAGCCCACCGTGGGTCTGGGGGCTGCGCAGGGCCTCCGGCAGGGAGGAGGTTGGTCCTGCAGCAGCCCCATCCAGCGGCTTCCTGCCCAGCATCCTGCCCGCGCACCCCTTCGCTGCCGGCCAGAGGCACCGCGCACACAGCACCACCGCAGCCATCCTGCTCCATGGGGAGCACCCCGGGACACAGCGTCCCGCCCCGCTGCAGGGCCCTGAGGCGGGGCCGCGGCAAGGAGCGGACCCGCAGGCCGGGGTTATTGAAATGAATTTAATTTCTCATGTTGCAGCAAAATTAAAAATATACAAAAAGTTCGTGGAGTACAAAAAAGTCTCGGTCCGGCCCCGGCCTCCCCTCGACCCTGCCCGCGCCGGCTCCCAGAGAAGAAGGTGGCACACACAGTATTTACAGTACGTGACAGCGGCCGCCATGGAGGGGGGGGACAGGGATGTGGCCGACACCCCCCCGGCAGCCCCTGCCGGGATCCAGCGACCCTGACCGGGGGCAAACCCTGACCAAGGGCCCCATCCCAAACCTCTCCCCGCTCCCTGACGCCGGGGTGGCCCCAGGGAGACCCCCAGGGACCAGGACCCCCATCTGCAGCGGGAGCTCGAGCCCCCCCAGCGCTGCCCCATCCCGCAGCACCCAGCTCGGCCCCAGGTCGTGCCCCCTCGCCGTGGTCCCGGTGCTGCCGCTGGCACCGGGGCGCTGGGTTTGGCTTCCCCTGCGGCACAGGCTGAGGGGGCGGCTGAGCCCTGGGGCTCGCTGCTGCTGAGCCCCCTGCCCGGAGCAGCCCAGGGCTGAGGGTACCGTGGCTTGAGTGCATAGAAAAGTGTCCCTCTGTGCCCAGGGTCCCCGCGCAAGCCCCAGGGCACTGGGGGGGGGGATGCGGATTGACCCGACCGCTGGCTTCTCTCTGCTCTTGGGAGGGACAGGGAGAGGGACTGGGGCAGGGGGAGCTCAGAGGAGCCCCCCCCTATGCTGGCACCCGGTCCCCATGCGCAGGGACCGCAGGGACGAGCCCCGGCCCCAGCCCGGCTCCCCCGGCCGCTGCCCCCGACCTTCCCTGAGGAAATGAGACCCCCCTAAAGCTGCCCCTGGCACCGTCAGCACCCGCCGCGGGGTCTGTGGGGTGCAGCTCACGGGGAGCCCGGCCCCAGCCAAGTGCCGCCCCCCTCCTCCGAAACGAAAGGGATTCCGAGGCTTCCAGTTAGCACCAGTTAGCACCAGTGTCCCCAGCGCCGGCCCTGCCCGCTCCCCCCCCAACCCCCCCCGCCCCCGGCCTTCCAGCTACAGAGAAATGGGAAAGAAAAACGTGATGACACCGACCCCGCGCTGCCGCCGCCTTCCCAAGCGCAGATCCCACGATCCAGCCCTCCCCGCGGCTGGTCCCTTGTGCCGCTCCTCATCCCATCCCATCCCATCCCATCCCATCCCATCCCATCCCATCCCATCCCATGGCAGGGCTTGGCACCGCGGCACGGGACCCGACGTGGCTGTGGCGGGGGGCACAGGGGACACGGGGAAGGCACAGGGGCTGTGGGAGTGGGCGGCAAAGGGCTGTGGGGTCCGGCAGCATCGCAGCCCTGCAAACCTCTGCCAGCCCCTGCACACACATGCACACACACACACGTGTACACACGTATGTACACACACATGTACACATTCACACATAGAATCAGAGACTCACAGAACAGTTCGGGTTGGAAAGGACCTTAAGATCATCCAGTTCCAACCCCCTGCCATGGGCAGGGACACCTCACACTAAACCATCTCACCCAAGGCTCTGTCCAACCTGGTCTTGAACACTGCCAGGGATGGAGCATTCACAACCTCCCTGGGCAACCCATTCCAGTGCCTCAGCACCCTCACAGGAAAGAATTTCCTCCTTATATCCAATCTAAACTTCCCCTGTTTCAGTTTGAACCCGTTACCCCTTGTCCTGTCACTACAGTCCCTAATGAAGAGTCCCTCCCCAGCATCCCTATAGGCCCCCTTCAGATACTGGAAGCTGCTCTGAGGTCTCCACGCAGCTTCTCTTCTCCAGGCTGAACAGCCCCAACTTCCTCAGCCTGTCTCCATACAGGAGGTGCTCCAGCCTCTGAGCATCCTCGTGGCCTCCTCTGGACTTGTTCCAACAGTTCCATGTCCTTTTGATGTTGAGGACACCAGAACTGCACACAATGCTCCAGGTGAGGTCTCACAGGAGCAGAGCAGAGGGGCAGGATCACCTCCTTCGCCCTGCTGGTCACGCTCCTTTGGATGCAGCGCAGGACACGGTTGGTTTCTGGGCTGCAAGCGCACACTGAAGCCGGCTCATGTTCATTTTCTCATCAATGAACACCCCCAAGTCCTTCTCCTTGGGCTGCTCTGAATCTCTTCTCTGCCCAACCTGTAGCCGGGCTGGGATTGCTCCAACCCAGGTGTAGGACCTTGCACTTGGCATGGTTAAACCTCATGAGGTTGGCATCAGCCCACCTCGAAGGCATGTCGAGGTCCCTCTGGATGGCATTCCTTCCCTCCAGCCTATCAACCAAACTGCACAGCTTGGTGTCATCGGCAAACTTGCACACACGCATGTACACATTCACACATGCACACACGCATGTACACACACATGTCCACATTCGCATATGCACATACACACATGTACACACACATGTACACACACATGTCCACATTCACACATGCACACACGCATGTACACACACATGCACACACGCACATGCACACACACATGTACACACACATGTACACACACACATGCACACACACATGCACACACGCATGTACACACACACATGCACACAGACATGCACACACACATGTACACACGCATGTACACACACACACACATGCACACACACACACACACGTGTACACACACACACATGCACCCCCCCTGGGACGTGCCTGGCCCTGGGGACCTTGACTACATTCAGCCCTCTGGGTGGGCGCACACCAATGGATCCGGACCAGGGACACATTCAGACCCGGAGAGCGGGGCAGCCCCAAGCCTGGGGCAGGCAGGATTCTCGCTCAGGTTCATACTGGGGAGCTGGAGGGGGCTGATGCTGATGGGGGGTTGAATGGGAACACTCCTGGGTGGATAGAGATGCCGAACCCGGGAGGGGGGAACCTCTGGGGGTGAATCCCACTTTGGGGAGCCCCTGGAATGCCGGTGGCCCCGTGTGCCTCCTCAGTGGTGCCAGACCCTGCCCCCCGGCTGCAGTGGAGGTAGAAAATGTCACACAAAATGTCACCATTGCGGTGAAAACAAACCCGATGAGATGAAGTGGTTCCCGCGGAGACAGGAGGGACAATGGGGGCCAGGTGGAGCAGGGTCCCATGAGAGGACCCCAGGACAGGATCTGCACCCCACAGCACAGACAGGACCCGTGGGGCTGGGGACATGGCTCAACCCTGAACCGGGGGGAGCAAGAGTGGAGATAAAGGGGCTCCCCTGGGGCAAGAAGGTGACATGGAGGGGCTGGCCGGACCCCGGCTGTCCCCTACTCCAGCTCCATGGGGGGTGAGGAGCCCCACACACACCCCGGTTCAGCCACACTCCAGCCCCATGGCGCTGCTGTGACACAGGCACCCGTGTCCCCACCTGCTGCCCGCCCGGGTCACACTGTGCCCCTCCGTGCCCCAAGCCCCTCACAGCTGCCGGCCCCCAGCCCGGGGTGCCCCAGGCCCCCATCCTGCACCATGGAAACTGCTGAGCACCGCGGGGCCGCAGCACCCCCGCCTCGGGCTCAGGCACCGGTGAGGTATTTGGCAAGGACGAGCCCCGGGCGGGGGGGAGCCATGGGGTGGAACTGGGGTCTCGGCTGCGGGAGGGCGGCGCGGGGCGGGGATAGCACCAAGAGACCCCCCCGGCCCCTTCCCGCTCGGCAGCGCCCGCAAACCCAACAGAAAGGCAAACGGCTGCGGAGCCGCGGGGTGCTCGGGATGGCACCGGAGGACCCCGCCGTGGCCCCGCGCCCCCCCGCCCTACACGGTGGTCTCGTACTCCAGCACCTCCTGGGGGGCGCCGGGGGTGCGGTACTGCAGGCGCGGGGTGCTGGGCGAGGCGTACTCCAGCGCCAGGATGGTTTTCCGCAGGCGCCGGTCGATGAAGTGGGCGTCCCAGGCCGGGTACTTCTTCCTGGGCAGGTCAATGCGGATGACGGGCCCCTCTGTCCGCGGGGCGCGGGCGGCCGGCGCCGGCGGCGCGCAGGGTCTCACCTGGAAGACGGGCACACAACTGTCCCGCTCCCCCGGCGCCCCGTCCCGCTCCCCCCCTGTAGTCCGCGGCAGCGAGCGGGGCGGGCTGGTGACCGCGTCCACGGGGGACCCCGGCACCGGGGCCGGCTGCTGCCGGAAAATGCACCCCCCGCCGCTGGAGCTGAAGATGGGGCCGTTGGGGTGCAAGAGGCAGTAGTAGATGAACATGAAGAAGATGCCGAGGGCGAAGCTGGAGCTGACCACGCAGACGAGGATTAAGGCGTCGAAGTCGGAGGTGGTCTCGCGGTCGTAGTAGAGGAACCAGAGGATGGTGAGGGCGGCGTTCTCCGACAGCGTGATGACGTAGTAGATGCACATTCGGTAGCGGCTCCGGCCCTCCTTGACGTTGAACCAGCAGAAGATGTAGATGATGCCCACCACCATGTTGTAGATGATCTCCTCCCACTTGGACATGCAGAAGTCCGTCTCGCCCTGGATGATCCAGAAGGTCATGATGCACCAGTGGGTGACGATGAAGATGCCGAAGTAGAGCTGGAACACGGAGGCGAAGAGGGCGAAGGCGATGGCACGGGCGGCGATGGTGAAGAGGTGCCACAGGATCTGCACCACGGCCCCCTTGTAGGACATGGGCATCTTGTCCTCCCGCGAGTCCCGCAGCACCTTCTGGTAGGAGGCGATCATCCAAGCCAGGGACACCAGCGAGGCCGAGGCCGAGAACCCTGCATGGGGAAGGGGCAGTGAGAGCCTGCAGCAGCCCCAGGTCCCCCCTCCGGCCACCCCGTCCCCCTGCCGTGGGCACCGTGCCCTTACCCTGCAGGGGCTCGATGCTGTTCTGCTGCACCATGATGCTGAGCTGCAGCACGAGCTGGGGCGCGCTCTTCAGGAAGGTCTCGAGCAGCCGCAGCATGCTGATGTCCGCGCTCTCAAACATCATGCGCCAGTAGAAGTGCCGCCGACGGTGCTCGGCCTGCCACCGGCTCTGCAGCCCCAGGTACAGCGTGCGGAGGTACCTGCGGGGTGTGGGAGCGGAGATGAGCCCCAGGGCCCAGGCAGCTGAGCTCAGCCCCTGCCCATGCCAGCCATGCCCTGTGACCGCTGCCAACCCCACCCAGCAGCGCTTCCCACATGATCTGGGGCCACAGAAAGCCCCATGCACCCAGGATGCAAGGAGGCTGCAAGGTGTAACCCTCCCATAGAATGGTTTGGGTTAGAAGGGACCTTGAAAGCTCTTCCAGTTCCTAAGTCTCATCTCAGTCTCCCCTCTGGCAGGTTCAAGCCATTCCCCTTGGCCTGTCCCTACAGGCCCTTGTCCCGTCCCTACATCCCTTGTCCCAAACCCCTCTCCGGGTTTCCTGCAGCCGCTTCAGGCACTGGAGCTGCTCTCAGGTCTCCCCTTCAGGAGCCTTCTCTTCTCCAGGCTGACCCAGCCCAGCTCTCTCAGCCTGGCTCCAGAGTACAGCTGCTCCAGCCCTTGCAGCAGCCCCGTGGCCTTTGGACCCGCTCGAGCAGGTCCACATCCCTCTTGTGCTGGGGTCCCAGAGCTGAACGCATGTCCCTGTCCCACCCCGAGGTGCCAGGGAGGAGCAGCTTATGCAAAGCCAGCTCAGCACCCGGGGCTCACCCGGCCACCACCTCTGGGTGCTGCCTTTGTGCAGTCTCCTCCATGCAGGATCTGGCTTCCCCCCCAAGTCAGGGATCCGGCCCCGCTCTCCGGCCACCCATGGCCTCGGGGTGCCCCAGCCCAGCACCGCGTCCGGCTGCTTCCCAAAGGGGATATTTTGGTCCCATGGCACGGATCCCCCCCACGTCCCCTGCCCTGGCCAGCACGGAGGCACCAGCTGGTCGTGCGGCGCTGCCGGTGGGAAGCACCGGGAGCTGGTGCCGGTGCTGCCTCGGCTCTTGGCACTGCCGCGGGCGCAGGCACACACTGGCCGCGGCCATCTGGTCGTGGGCCGGGGTCACTGGAGGTGTGTGTGGCACCGACACGCACCGGATGAGTCACCGCCGCCGGGGACCCCTCCCCGTGGCACGGGGATGGATCCGGGCACTGCCGGAGGGGCACGGCCCGAGGGGCAGGACATCCCCGTAGCCCCGCCGGCACCACGGGAAGGCAGGAAGCTGAAGCAGGAGGATATCAGGCCATAAAGCTTCTCCCAGCCCCATCAAACCCTCACACAGAGCGACAGCCTCTCCATCAGCTCCAGAAGCGCTGCCAGCCAAATCCATTATCCCGGAGTGCAGGAGAAACCCTGATCCCAGCACTTTCAGCTCATCCGTCAGCGGAAGGAGCAGGAGCCAGCCCTGCTCCCGCTGCAGGGACAGCCCCAAGACCACAGTGGGGGCCGTCAGCTGGGAACACCCCACTGCAGCCATGGGAGGGCAGGGGGAGCATCCTGGGCCCATGGGGCTCCCGTGGTCCTCCTTGGTGGTCCTGCCGGGTGTCAGCAGCCCCATCACCATCTGCTCCATCCCCTACAGCTCCCCCCGCCCCCCGAACCTCCCCCAGGAGCCGGTGGCCAGGCAGGATGTTGCTGTCGTCAAACAGCACGGCTTCAGTAGCTCTGCCCCGGTTGCAGCCGGGGCCGATGGCTGCAGGGGCCAGCCCAGCTCCGGGCCCTCCCTGCGCTGGTGACAAAGCGATGCTTTAACCTCCACCTCGGGGGGAGCAGCTGATTTTAGGCTCTGCTGCTGCCTGTCCCTCGCTGCTCAGAGGGGGAGGCTGCAGCTGCTCAGCTCCTGGCACAGGTTTGCACCCTGGCATCACTGCCCCGGCCCCCCTCCTCACCAGCCCTCAGGGACAGACTCCCCCCTTCACTGGGAACAGAGCAGGGACGGGGGGCACAGCTTAGGGAGAACACAATGGGAGAAGCAACACAGAGCCTGGGATGCTGTGGGGCATCACTGCTGGTCCCAGGGCACCCATTCATGAATGGGCCCAGGCAGCAGTGACCTCACCCTCTCCCTGCAATCAGCCTCACTAACTGGGCTCTGCAGCTGTGATCCCGCTGCCCGCTGCGTGCAGACCCCACAGCCACAGCGTCCCCGGCCCCTCCGCTGCTCAACAAGTGACCTGCAGCCTCCCCCAGCCTCCAGCGAGGGCCCCGCTCTCCCCCGCCTGCCCATCAGCTCCACAGATCTCATTAACCCGAGGCTTCATCTCCCATCCACACATCAGAATGAAACGCTGGCTCCTGTTTGCGATGCATTTGATCACCCCGTGGGGGTTCAGCCCAGAGAAACATCCCCGCGCTGACAGCGCAGGCGGGCGCTCCCCAGCCCTGCACATGGTGGGAAACACGGAATCAATCACGGAGGGGGGGGACTCATTTCACTTTCAAAGAGCTGGTGATGAGGCAGGAGCTGAGCGTGGTGCTCGCAGCGCTGATTGCTCCCTGCTCCGTGGGGCACAGAGGAACCCAGCGCAACCCCTGCAGTGGGAAGGTGCTGGGTGCTGACGGGTGTCGGGTTCGCCAGAGCCCCACCATGGATGGGGTTGTCACCAATGTCCCCATTCGCCACCAGCTCCCAGCTACTGACCCCAGTTTAAAAGCGTTGGAACAAACAGAAGTGTAAGGAGAAAAGGCCAGCTCTGGTTATCACCAAATGCACTACTCATCGTCCTCAGATGGAGCATGACGTGGGACCCCTGGGTTCACAGAGCATGATTTTCCCAGGAGGCAATTTGGGATATCAGCCCTGAATCTTTTATTTCAACAAGGAGATTGCTTCCCTGTTGCAGCCATTTTAATCCCCACACATCCCCCCAAGTCAGGTCATCAGGGAGAGCCAAGGAAAGCCCCAGGTGCCACCATCCCTGCACCCCAGTATGCCTGGGGCACCCGGGTGCTCAGGGACAGGCTCGGCCCAGCCCTATAAAGTGGAGACCCCAGGGAGTGACTGCCCCAGCAGCAGAGCAGAGGGGCTGGTGGGGACCTGTGTGTCCCAGATCTGTCCCCCTTCATGAGCCCAGGGAGTGTCTGTGCCCCAGGGGGCTGGCACCAGGACCGAGGGGTGGCACCGGGTTCCCAAGCCAGAGGATGGGGAAACTGATGGGAGGCCCCTGGGGAGGACCTGCAGGTGCAGAGAGCACCCCAGGTCTGCTCCTGGGGACCCCCAGGCAGCCCAATCAGGCGTGACCCTGGGCTAAAGAGACAGGGCCACAGCGGGCACCGGCAGGGCTGTCCCCCAGTGCAAGGGGATGCACAGAGCCCCATCAGCTGCCAGCCCATGGGGGTGTCAGGGACCCCAGCACGCTGCCGGTGGGAGGCACACACAGTGGGTTTGGTGGGGGTGAGCCCTGCCGAGGCAGGGAAAGAGGGAAGGGGGAGGTGTTTGGCCAGGGCAGAGCCTTCCCTTCACACGCAGCCTTCAGCCGACACTTCCTTAACTGCCACATCCACCTGCACCGGATCCAGCCTCGCTAATGGGTTTAGCAAACTGCATTTCACTGCTCACCCGAGCTAATCCCAAATCCCAGGCTTAGGAAGAGCCTCAGCTGCAGCTTGAGACCAACATGTCCTGGAGGGTCAGTGCTGAGTTACCGCTTTAATTGGCTTAAGAGGCTCCGTGGTGCAGCAGATCAGGAGAGCGTGGCTGACACTACCGGGAGCAAAGACCCAACCACAGCCCAGCCCCAGCTCCAGCCAGGACCGGGTCATTGCCTGCAGGGTGCTGGGGACAAGGCCGCTGCAGGCAGGCTCCTGTCCCCTCCCTCACCAGCTCCTCCTGCACACCATGGCAGGGTTTGCACCCATCCTGCCCTCCGCATACCCCGAGGGCTGTCATGTGGATGGGCAGCAGCTGCTGGTGAGGGAAGGGGCAGGAGCCCCCCCAGCACGGTGCTTACTGCACTGTGAAGCAAAGTTGGACATCCCAGAGCATCCCGGGAAAAGCAGTGGATGAAGCAATGCATGCAGGCAACAATGGGAAGTGGAGGAGCCTCGGTACTACAGAAGCCCAGGAGGGGAAGCAGCATGGAAACCCGAGCTGAGCACTGCCTGCTCCATGCATTGTTCCCGGAATTTGCCATTGTCTCCACTCCCCTCCCAGCACCAACCCTGGGAAGCAGCTCAATGCCAGAGCCACGGCTCTTCCCCAGCACCCAAGGATGGAGCTCAGCAGGGATGGGGGGAGCGGGGCTCCATGGCACAAGGAAGGAAGGTGCCAGCAAACCCCCAGCTCGGTTTGGAGGGGCTGCAGGGACTCAGGCAAAGGGCCTCCTGGCGCGTGCTCCGCTCTGCCCAGAGCTGCCTTCCCCGGGCCCTGAACAACCAGCACCTCCTCACCTGCACCCACAGCTCCTGCCCACCCGCACCCACAGCAGGGCTCTGCTGGGGCTGTCCTGGGGCTCCCCCCAGCACCCATCCTGCCGTGCATGCAGAGGGGTCGATCCCTGAGCACACCCCGGATTGCATGGGCTGCACCTCGCCATCCACACCCGCTCCCTCCCAACCCCTGCCAGCCTCTGCTCAGCCCTCCCTGCTGCACCCCACCACTCCCTCCAGCCCAGCCCGGCTCTGCGACCCCAGACCTGCCCCAGCTGCAGGAGGTGGATGAGGCCCTGCAGCACCCCCATACCCCCCCTGCACCCCCACAGCCCTGCACCCCCGTACCTCCAGACCTGCCCCAGCTGCAGGAGGTGGATGAGGCCCTGCAGCACCCAGACGCAGAGGCGGCAGCAGCCGCGGGGGCCGCGGGCGCTGTCCTTGGTGCTGCCGGCGCTGTCCTTGGTGCTGCCGGCGGCGAAGTCGTAGACGAACCACCTGAAGCTGAGGAGCTGCACCACGAGCGAGGGCAGCAGCACGAAGAGCAGCGTCAGCCCGAACCACCACCGCTGACCCCGCACGTAGTAATGGGCCGCCAGCCACAGGTCCGAGGCACCGTCCGCGAAGCAGACGAGGAGGGCGCAGAGCACCCAGCACCCGTCCCGCAGCCGGTACCGCCGCGCCGGGGGGGCCGCGCTCCCCTCCCGCCGCCCGCCGCCGCCGCCCCCCGGGCTCTCCAGCAGCACGGCCGGGCCGCCGCCGCCGTCCGACTTCGCGGCCATGTTGTCGGGGGAGAGGAGGAGAAAGGAGGGAGCGGGAGAGACTTCCGGAGGGAGGACGGAGCCGACGAGCCCGCCCCGGCAGCGCCCGCCCCGCCGGCCTCGCCCCGCGGCCCCGCCGAGACCGGCCCCGGCAGCCCCCGCCCCGCCGCCGCCGCCAGGTCCCGCGGGAGCGCTCGGAGCCGGTGGGCGCCGCCCCGCCGGGAAGGGGAACCGGTAACGATCCCCCGGGGCTCCCCGCCCGGTGCCGGCAGGACCCCCCCGGGGCAGCGGCCGCGCCGCCCCGGCGCCCCCCGCCCGGCTCATCAAGGACCGGGGCTCCCCGGGCAGCCCAGGTGGGACCCCCTCCAGGGAGGTGAGAGCCCCCCGGGGCTGCAACGGGAGGCTCCGGTCCTCGGGGCAGGGGCAGCGCCGCAGGGCACCGAGCTCCTGCCCGAGGGACACCGCAGGGAGCTGCTGCGCTGGACCTGAGCCCCGCTCTGCAGGAACAGCCCAGCCTTGGGGAGGCCCCCAGAGGCGCTGCACAAGCCGGTGAAGTGCCAAGGTCATCCAATGGACCTGGGGTTTGGGTGCCCATGAGCCCAAACGCTGCTCTGCTCCTTGGCTTTGCCCCATCACCTCTTCTCCTTTGTTGCCCGTCGCAACTGGGATGCCCCATGGGCAGCACGAGGGGCTGGTACCCCTGTGGGACACGTGAAGCAGCTCTGGGCTGGCATTCCAGCACTGCTGGGAGGGGAAGAGCTTTTGGCTCCTTTGCAGCAAATCATCTCCATGGACAGGCTCTGCCTTGCTGCATTTCAGTCCCCAGAGCTCTGTGTGCCTGGGGAGGAACCTCATGCATGGCCCAGAGCCTGCCCCACGGTGAGCACACGGCAGCACGCAGTGAGGGGAGCATGTTATATCCCAGGAAACAGCCAACATCCAAACCTGGGCTAAGCCTGGATCCTGGTGCACAAAGCTGAGGGAGCACAGGGGGAAGGTGTTAGTCGGCACAAGGGAGCAGTCAGGCCCTCTGTGAGGCTCGCTCTGTGCTGCATGTATTAGCATGGGTAATGCAACAAATACCTAACCTTGAGCTGCTCCTGACAGATCCCCTCGAGAGATGCCTGCCTGGGGGAGGGGATGCTCCCAGCATCCCAGAGCCTGAGGAACGGAGCCTTTCAGGAGCCTGGGCCCCTCTGGAGGACGGGCACTGCTGGCCAGAGCTCCCCAATGCCAGATCAATCCCAATCTCTGTCCTGGTTGGCCAACAGAGCAGAACTGGTGCCTCTGCAACAGTGGGCACAGCACCAGGGAGAGGGGACCTGGAAACCAGGGAGAGATGGAGCCACTTTCCTTCAGTGGTCCTGAAATGCCCCTTCTGAAACAGCATTAAAGATCCACAGCCTGGCAACACAGGGACAGTGGTTTGAAGTCTGATCTATGAACAACAGGCCCCAGCAGGCACATGGTAAAATGAGAGAGAAAAAAAAAACCCATAAACAGCCCCGAAGCTTCCTGTGCAGCTGCCAGCAGGCAGGGATGGGTTCTAGCTGCATACATAAAAGAGCTGCAAGGAAGAAAAAGGAACAGGCTGAAACCAAACCTGCTCTTTGCACAGCGAAGTACAGAGCGAAGCAGAGCAGCCCTCAGCAGCGGGCAGGTGGCTGGTCCCCGACTGCTGGTCCCCAGCAGGGCACATCAAGGTGCATCTGGCCCTCGCAGACCTCTGGTCCCTGGGCTGAGTCCAGCTCCCAAGCAGAAGGCCTGTCCCAGCTCCAGGAGGAGAGATCTGGGATGGTTTGCAGCTGGCTCAGAGCTTGGCTGGGGAGAGGCCACAGAGCTCCTCACCAGCTGCTGCTCCCTGCCCAGGGAATGTTTCCCAGGTGCTTTGGGATCCCTCCTGCTGCAGCTCAATCTGCTGCTGCTTCCCCCATGTCTGTGCTGAGCTGGGACCCCCTTCCCAGGCTTCCCCTGCCCCTCTGCAATTGGAGGGGGCAGGTGGCAGCCCGTCCCCATCACTGTCCACTTCTCATCCCTGTCCCTGTCCCATCCCCATCCCTGTCACCATTAAAACCCAAGTCTTGTCCCCATCCCATCCCCCTCTCCATCCCCATCACTGTCACCATTCCATTCCAGTCCCTGTCCTAACCCAACCCATGCCCATCTCCATCCTCATCCCATCCTGATCCCTGTCCCCTCCCACACTGACTTTGAAAGCCCTCCCTCCTCCCAGTCTGTGCAAAACAAGAGCTGCTGGTGGACGTGGTGGCAGGAGGTCTCCAGCCCACCAAAGGGGACAGCCACCACCCGGACAGGACACACATCCCAAGCACCACCTCCAGCTCTGGAGCCAAACCCCACCTGTGTCTGCAGCAGGATGGACAGTTTGGCTTTCCCTGCCCACAGAGATTTATGCCACTGGTCCCCAGGAGGGAAATGCAGCTCCAGGTCCAGGTGGGTCCCAGCACTCAGCATGAGAATCATCAGGCTCTTCTCCCATCCCACCAAAGCAACAAGGATCAGATGCTGCCTTTGTGCCTGCAGAAAGCTGAAGGGAATCGCTCCATGGTGGATGCTGTGGTGCGAGGCTGTAAGAGAAAAGCAGATACAGGTCCTGCATCCTGCACCCCATGCCCTGCATCCCACCCTGCAGCTGCCCCGGTGCCCCCATCCTGCTGGGATGCCATGGGAGCCAGCCCTGGGACACAGGATGGATCCAGGCTGCAGGTCTCCAGCCAGACACCCCCACTGAAAAAGGAGCATTTTCCTGTGTTGGTGCCAGCCCCGATCCCACTGCTTCACATCAGGAAAAGCTCCAACCAAGAGCATGAATGACTGCATCCCGGGCCGGCCGCTCACTGCCACCGCTGCCCTGGGAGCGCCTGGTCTCAGTGCACGCAGACGAGATCTCCCGTTAACTGCAGCAAACAACCTGATGGGATTAGGGAGGTAATCTTCCCGCCTGGTAATCTCCTTTAAGAGATTATTTGCCCACAAGTGCGGTGACCACCGGCCAGACGCTGCCTCACTCCCTCCTTCCCCATCCCCTGTGGTCCCTGTGTGGTGTCCGGCAGCACTGGGCTCACCACGTGCCCCCGGGGAGCTCCTCACCCAGCTGAGTCCCATGGAGGGCAGGAGCCAACAGGCCCTGTTGTGTCCCCACCACTGCTGGTCCTCCTCTCCCCCAGCCCACTGGGGCTCCCTCCTACAAAACCCCCTCTCCAAGACTGGACGTTCCTCCACCATCAACGTGGAACAAAGCGTCACCGGCACCATCACCCCGCGATGCTGAGTGAGCGGCAGCACCAGGCACAGGGCTGCTTTTGGAAACCCAAGAGATGGTTCTGAGCACCAGCACCCTCCTGCTGAGCAGTATGCCCAGAGCAGAGGGGAGCCAGAGGGGCTCGTGCTGTGCAGTGCCCTCCACCCTGGCCTCAGGGCTCTGGGGGCCCAGTGAGGCGAAGCAGCTCTCCAGGGCTGTCTCACAACAGCATTCCCGGGTGGAGCTGCTTTGGGCCATGGGATATTAAACACGGCTCCTGGGTCCTCCCCTCCCGCCAGTCCCTGCCATCGGGGCTGGGGCTACTGAGCCCCCATCTCTCCATCTCCTGCTGCTCACGGGCTGGGAGGAAGGGAACAGAGGCCGTTCCGAGGTGCGGTGCTTCCCCTTGCCGCGGGCAGGGTCTGTCAGGGCAGGAGCCTGATGCAGCCGGGGCCGCAGCCGTGTCCCTCCCTCGGGACGCAGCCCTCACCGCCGAGCCCCGGAGCAGCCGCTCAGCTGCACCAAAGGCAATCTGAGCTCATCGCCCCGTGCTTTTAGCGCTGTTTATTGCCTCCTGGGGAGAAGAAGGGGACGCAAAGGCCACTCCGGGCTCTAAGAGCCCAGCTGCCCGGCACCGGCGCCATGCTGGGAAGAGGCGAGGAAGAGCCAGAAGTGCAGCGCTGGTGGGGAGCGGGGACGGGCTCTGACATGGTATAAATCATGGAACGGGTTGGGTTGGAAGGGACCTTAAAGCTCCCCCAGCTCCAACCCCTGCCACGGGCAGGGACCCCTTCCACTGGAGCAGCTTGCTCCAAGCCCCTGTGTCCAACCTGGCCTTGAGCACTGCCAGGGATGGGGCAGCCACAGCTTCTCTGGGCACCCTGTGCCAGCGCCTCAGCACCCTCACAGGGAAGAGCTTCTGCCTAAGAGCTCAGCTCAGTCTCCCCTCTGGCAGGTTCAAGCCATTCCCCTTGTCCAAAGCCCCTCTCCGGGGGGGAACAAGTGGGATGGGGGTGAGGAGGGCTCTGGCCTGGAGGGCTCTTTCCCCCCTGTCTGGGGGTGCTGGGGCTGACCCCTGCCCTTGTGCCCACACGTGTGAGCCGGCAGAGCCGGGGGCCGTGCCCCGGGTCCCCGCTGTCCCGCGGGTTCCCAACCCCTCTGGCGCGGGGCCGCGGAGCGCTCCGGGGGTGAGCGCCAGGGGGCGCGCTGCGACGCGGACCCTTCCGCCGCGGAACCCGGCGCTGCGGCTGCGGCTGCGGGGGGGAACGGGGCGGGAGCGGACACGGCCCGTGCCCGGATCCGCGCGGTAACGGACCCGGAGCGGAGCCGGCGGCCATGGCGCGGGACCCGGCCTTCGTGCTGCGGTACCTGGCCGAGGTGGAGGAGCTGGCCGAGGACGTGCTGGCGGCGCGGCAGCAGGTACGGCCCGGCCCGGCCCGGCCCGGCGGGGGCTCCGCCGTTGCCGGTGGCCGCGGCTGCATCCCTCCCGTTACAGATCGTGGATCTGGACGTGAAGCGGAACCGGAACCGCGAGGCCCTGCGGGCGCTGCACAAGAGCCCGGAGCCCGAGGGTGAGGGAGGCCGCGCTCCCCGGTGCCGCCCGGAGCCCCGGCCCGGGAGCGGCCGCGCTCACCAGGGCCTTTCCCGTCCGCGTCCCGCAGGCACGGCCATGGTGTGCTTCGGGAGCATGTTCATCGAGCTGCCCGCGGCGCAGACCCGGGACATGCTGCGGAAGGGTACGGTAACGGTTAACGGGGGGTCAGCCTCGCCCTGTGCTCCCGAGGGCTCCCCCCCAGCACGCAGGGGCAGGGCCTGGCTCTTGCCCGGCTCTGCCGGCTCACACGTGTGGGCACAAGGGCAGGGGTCAGCCCCCAGCACCCCCAGGCAGGGGGGAAAGAGCCCTCCAGGCCAGAGCCCTCCTCACCCCCATCCCACTTGTCCCCCCCCGGAGAGGGGCTTTGGACAAGGGGAATGGCTTGAACCTGCCAGAGGGGAGGCTGAGCTGAGCTCTTAGGCAGAAGCTCTTCCCTGTGAGGGTGCTGAGGCGCTGGCACAGGGTGCCCAGAGAAGCTGTGGCTGCCCCATCCCTGGCAGTGCTCAAGGCCAGGTTGGACACAGGGGCTTGGAGCAAGCTGCTCCAGTGGAAGGGGTCCCTGCCCGTGGCAGGGGTTGGAGCTGGAGGAGCTTTAAGGTCCCTTCCAACCCGAACCACGCTGTGATTGTCTCAGACCAGGAACAGCTGGATGAGGAGATAAACAACCTCCGCAAGGAGCTGCGTGTGAAGGTGAACCGCCTCTATGAAGCCCAAGGTAACACTCGTGTTCTGGAACCTTCTCAGCATCAGATGCCACATGCCAGCAGGGTCCAGAAACTCCTGAGCTCTGTGGGCTCCTGCAGCCACTTTCCCACTGGCTTTGCAGTTCCTTCCCTGCTCCAGCAGCACTGGTGCAGAGCCATCGACCAGGATAATCCCACATCAGCTCCCAGGGCTGTCCCTGCCATCCCTGCAGCTCCTCAGGGGTTGCTGCGCTGGTTGTGCTGCAAAGTCCTGATTTTGCCATGTGTTCTCAGGTAAACCTGAGCTGAAGGGGTTTAACCTGAACCCCATGAGTGCTGAGGAAATGAAGCTGATCAATCGCATCCTGGAGGGCTGAAGCGGCCTTGCCATTGTCACTGTGTGTACTCGGGCTGTCACCTCTGCAGCTCACACCACAACATCCTATGGGGTTTGCTGGAGCAGATCCATGTGCCTGGAGCCTGCCTCAGGTGAGGTCCCTGTAGCCAGAGCTGGGGACTGGTTGGCTTCTCACCTACGAGGCTGCAGCTTCCTTGGATCACAAACCTTTTCCTGCTCCTTCCCACTCTCAGGCATGGGCTGGGACACAGCACTGGGCAGTTGCCCATGGCTGGGGTGGAAGTGGGATTATTAAAGTGAGAGCAGTGGGACATTGCTGACTCTGTGTGTGTGTGTGCTTCTTGTTGGGTTTTTATGCGAGTGCTTCTGGAGCTGGGCTTCAGAGCTGGCTCATTGTCATGTTGGGAACAGGAGTAGGAGGAATTGGGAATCCACAGCACGCCTGCAGCACAGAGGAGGAGTTGTGTGTGCCCGTGGTACTAAAACAAAGCCAAGCTGTACATCTGAAACACGTCAGGAATCTCTGAAGATGGGGTGGGAGGAGGCAGCATCCTTTTAGTCTCACTGGGAAAATGTGTTCTGCTGTTCAGTTGGAAGGCAAAGACCAAAGACATGAGGGATAAAACATGTATATTTAAAGAAGCTTGAAGAGAGTGGAGGACCAGCCTTGTAGTAAAAAGACAATTGATTCAACCACTAAGAGTTTCTTCAAAGGTTTTACAGTTTGTCTTTAGACCACCCCCTTTAGCCTGAGCTTGAACCCCAGCACAACTTGGGCCAGACCATAACAGGATTTAGAAAACATCAGTAACAGGCTACAGAGGGTTTGATTTTTTGCTGTGTAAGGAAAGTGGGCAAGGGCAAGCCCTGAAGTTTCTGAACTGCTGTAAAGGTGTTTCTGGATATGATTTTAAGGCTTCAAACAGCCATTGTCCTGCTCTCTGCAGCTCTCAAGGGAGCTCACCCCTTCTGCCAAGCTGGGCCTGATCCTGGGCTCGCTTCCCCTCTGCACACACATCCAGGGCTTTAAACCCAGCACTGGCATCTTTCCTGGCTCCCTGAGCACCTTGGAGCTCAGAGGCACCTTCACCAGGGGGCCTCATCCATTCCATACATGCTCCAATTTACAGTTCCAAAACCCACCCTGTTTCCAACTCCTTACATCTGAGGTGGGATTTCTTTAAACCCCACCTACCATTGCTTGATCCGCTTTAGAACTCCGTAGCTAAGCCCACATCTGCACAAACCGAGGCTGCCCACTTCAGCTTCAAGTGTCACGTACACAGGTTAAAACTCACATGGACTTATCACCTGAAGCTGTCAGAGAGCCACCTCCCTGCATGCACGGTGCCAGGTCCCTGTGTTGGAGCCACTCACACACAGCCCATGTAGAGCAGCCACTCAGCGTCTCCAGAGTGGCTGACACCAGGTTATTTTTACAGTATCATGGCAACAGGTTCTCTGCTCTGACATGTTTCCATAGTAGTAGCAGTGGGAGGATCAGGTGCCTGCCTTCCCTAAACGCTTTGGTTTGCCATGCAGAACATGGTTAGCCCCTTCATTTTCTTACCTGGTACAGAACTGAGCTCTGCAAGTGGGGCTGGACAGTCGGGAAGCCAGCAAGGCTTGGGTCCTGGGTCAGCTATTACCAAATAGCTCATCCAAGCCCTTCACAGCTTCAGAAGGCCAGAGCCTAGTGCTGAGCTGTCAGCATCCAGAGAGAAGTGGGAACTGCTGCTGCTCGATGTGAGGAAGTGAACTTCATCCACGGTGATGTGTCCCATCCCAAGCTCAGGATCAGTGTTACACCTGCTGCTGTGCAGTCGTTCATGGTAGCAGCCTGCAGGGAAAACATTAACAGGAGTTACCCCCCACCTTACTCTTCCTTTCTGCAGAGGCGAGGGAGCTGCTTTCAGGTGCAGCTGCACTTGCGTGTTGTTAGAAACTACACCTAGAGACAGCTGTAGGCACACTGAGCCGTGTACTGCCAATTAGAGTTACAATACACGTCAGCCTCTTGGAAGTGTGACTTCATAATCCAAGTACTACCTCCCAAGAGTGAACTACACAACCAGCTTCAGGGAAGTGCCCAGTGTGAGGCCACCAGTGACTGCAGAGGGGGTTTTGCTGGTGCATGAAGGACACTGCTGTGACTTAACACTTGAAAAGCAGCACAAGGAACAAAACAGTTCCAGCTACATTTACAGGTCTCCAACAGTGCTGCTGCAGTTGGGTTGCTCACACCCACTTTTGGGGAGCATTTCCTCCTTTGGGTCTCAATCCCGTAAGAGCTCATAGCTCCCTCTTGTTCTCTTGCTGATGTGCAGGATGTGAGCAGGGCATCCTGCCAGCACGGGATGGACACACAACTAAATGTGTCTGTGGTGATGCTCTGGTTCACCAGAGTACCCAGGCCTCCCCCTCCACTGTTGTCCTGTATCAGGTCAAAGCCCTCCATGTGCTTTTCCTTACCCATTAGCCTACAACATCAAGCACAGGTACTGAAGTACCTGAGCAATGACCACTACCTGCCTGCACACAGGAGTGAACCCCCAGCAATGGGAGACAAAGCTGAACAGCTGAAAGCACCAGACATCTCCCTGCTATTAATACCCGGGGTTAGCACGTTGTGAAGTCAATCACAAGATGCTGCAAGACAAGCTGCTTGGAACAGAGTGCTCCAGAAGCAGCAAGTGTGGGAGGCACAATGCAGGAGGGGCTCTGAAAGAGAGCTCTTGTGCAAAGCCCGTCTCTGACACAGCTCCGCTCCCTTTGCAGCCCCACGCTGCTCCATTTCCCCACTCTGCAATGGCTGCTTGCTTGCTTTGCTCTGCTTCTGGAAATCCATCATTTAATCACTATAGAGTATTATGAGCAGTTGCCAAGGCAGAGTTGGAACCGGACCATCCATTCCAAACATCTTAATAACCCCCCTCAGAAGGTAATAAACGTCTCTGCCTGCCTCCTCTCCCTGTCCACAGTATGCAGAGTGTCTTTGAGATGTCCCCGAGTTCAGAGTCTTCCTGGCTGCTGGTAGTGAGGGAAGGGGAAGCATTTACCTCCAGAAATAAGCTGAGAAGATACAGCAGTAAATTAGGGAGAAACAGCCAATAGTTCATGTAAGAGAAACGCCTGTGCACAGAACTGTCACCCTGCTAGCAGGCAGGAGTAAGTGTGAAGCAATAGGAAATCCAACCCTAAATCTCTTTCCCATGCACTGAGCCAAAGAACATTCTGAGCTTATTGCAAAGTTTCTATTCCTGTTCTTGATGGTACTAGAGAAAAAAAGTCCCTCTAGCTTCCAGACAGACAAGTGAAACCCCAAGTCTAGCTGAAGCAGTAAATGCTGACTATTCACAGAAGGAGCACTAGCCCTTTTTTTAGCAGTAGAATGTGGATGTCTCCTGGGAACAGCTTCCCAGCACAACACAGCGTTCAAATGCTCTCCTGCAGGAGCCCAGCAGCACTACCCAGCACCGTGCCCACCTCCAGGACCTGCATTCTGCCTCCTGAGCCACGGAAGTTACTCCAGCTCTTTATGCGCAGGCTGCCTGAGGGGCAGTCTGGTCTGGGGCTATGAACGGAGCAGATTGTGCACATTAGAGCTATAGGCCCACAGCTGAGCTGCGTTTGCTCATTTGAAATCAAGCTGTCCCCAGGGGCACCGCATTAAATCCGGGGCTGAAGCTGCCAGGACACGGGGCTGTAACAGGTACCCGCTGCCACATCCTCTTAGAGGGGGGAGTTGAAAAGAGACAAATCAGGGAAGGCATTTCACAGGAGAGCACTGTCAGCATCAATCACATCCAAGGGAAGTTTCCCCACCTGCGGAACTGCTTTGCGCTCCCACAATTAAGGCTGAAAGAATAATGCTGATTTGCTTGTCATTTCTGGAATACCATTTGCTGTTTGCTGCTCTCGGCTCCTGCAATGACAAGGCAGCTGGGAGCTCGGGATCCTGCTGTTGCAGCGCTTGGGCTGTGTGTGCAGTGGGTGACTCTGAGAGCTCCAGCTGAACTTTTTAATGAGATGTGTTTTCCCTCTCAGCCCCGAGGCACCCAAATGCTGTTTGCGTTACAAAAAGCCATTCCCAACAGATGACCACACGTTTAGCCCTGCTGATCATTTCCCACTCACCACCGTCCAGTCCCACAGCCCAGCAAGAAGCCTTAGTAAAAGGGCAGAGAGCAGAAGGTAGAAGCCACCAACCCCCAGTGCAGTTAAACCCTTCAGGCCTGACTACTGAATAGCTACAGGAGAAAAAGGGTCCCCAGGTCCCCATCAGACTTTCCGCCAGCAGCAATCAACATCTCTTCTCTCAGGGTACTGCAAAGACCCTCCTTTCCCCACAGACAAGGGATTTATGGAAGTGAGCAGCCCATAAAACGGGAAGCTCAACACCATCCTCCATTAGCATTGACCCCATCTCAGGCTCATGAGGAATCTGACATCCCATTTAGTTGTTTTTCTTCCTCCTCTCTTTCCCTCAGCTGCCACCTCCTGAGGCTCAACAGTGACAGTAGTGTGCAGCAGAGCCAGCCCTGCTGTACTGCTGAGCACTTGGAAGTGAAGGGCTAAGCCGAGATGCATTTTAGGAGAGCACTAACCAGAAAGTTGTTAGGTTTAAAGTAAAAAAGATCAACCTTAGAGATGCACAGGGCTGCAAAGCAAACATTAAGGCTCTCCCCTAAAGCTGCTATCAATGAAATCACATTTATAGCCATCAGGAGACAAGGCAGCAGTTAAGCGGCTGCCAGGAGGAGTTCAGCTCATTCATGGTCACAGCAGAGCCCCAGCAGGCAGTGTGTACCCCACTCCCCAGGAGTGCAACTGGGTGCAGGCTTCTGCCTTGCCACATTTCACCCCTGGCAGTGTTTAAGGCCAGGTTGGACACAGGGGCTTGGAGCAAGCTGCTCCAGTGGAAGGGGTCCCTGCCTGTGGCAGGGGTTGGGAATGGAGGAGATTTAAGGTCCCTTCCAACCCAAACCACTCTGGGAGTCTGTGATTTGAGAGATGTAATCTGAATGAAGTAAAGATAAGGATCAAAGAGACACTGAACAAGCAAATACCTAATTCTCACTCTAAATAGTCCTGCCCCAGTGCCAGTTATCTTCCCTGTCTAATCACAGGCTTCAGCCACCTGAGCTTAAACCAAGCACCACATGATGGTCTCACTAAAAACCGCAGGGAATAGTAAGAATCAGAGGCCATCAAGGGTGGGGTGTGCAGAAAATGAATGAGTGACTGCTCGGAGCTAGTACAATACCTCATGGCTGGCATGAAACTCTTCATGTCACTGTGCCTCCAAACCTCAGCACCCCTTCACCCAAGGCAGCCTCCTGTACCCCACTCCCAATGGCTTTTAATCACCCAGAGCAAGCATGAACTCTGCTGAACTCTCCCAGGCAGAAGTGATGGATTTTCCTGTCTCCTAAGCCATCAGTTGGAGGTGGGATTCCTTTGGGGAAGACGTGTGAATCAAATGAAAGCTATCAAACTCAGGACAGCAGCAAGGGGGACATGTAGGAAATCAAATCACTCTCTTCCATGAATCACTCTGTTCTCACAGTCTGCGAGGCTGAGGAAGAAGAAAGGCTGCCAAAATTCAACCACTAGCAATAAAAGGAGTGATATTTCAGCTTTGGTCCTAACTGATCTGTCAAACTGACATTTCCAGCACTCTTGTGACACCAGTTTTCCAATGGAAAGAGAACAAAAGGTGACAGTGACAGCAGAGCCAAATGCTGAAGGTGTGTGCAGGAGCTGGGAGTGACAAGGTCCTTTTCTTACCCCTCTTCATGGCATGCACAGACAGGTGGGATACAGCCATCATCTCTGCTCTTCAGAGTAAAGCCTGTGTGAGCAAAGTGACTGAATCACCAGGCCTTCAGTGGGATGTACTGGGAGAAGAGGAAAGGAGCAGCTGAGTGTGAAGGCAAGGGAATCCATTTCTGGCACAGTAGCAGTGGTTTGCACTTACAGACATCACTAGAACATAGACTCTCAAGTCAGGATTCCAACCTACAAAGCAGAGAAATGTCTAATATACCCCAGCTGCTGATACTGCTGCCTAGTGTTAACTGTACCCAAGATCAGAGGTTTATATATGAATATGTACGGAGTGTAAGAAGTCAGATCCCAGATAAAGTGATGCCCGTTTGGGGAAACCCACCTTGAGCACACTTTGGTGTTGCCCTGGGGAATTGCACAAGACGGGCACAGAGCAGGAGGAAATGAGCCAAAGAACAAAATACCCGTTGGCTATTCCCCAGAGAGAACAGAGTCCTTCTCACCTTCAGTCAATGATATCCTTCAGGTTTAAGGACAGGAAAACTCCCCCCTGTGACCTGCCAACCTGCAGATGGAAGAGCAGAGTTACAAGCTTTCACATCAGCATTTCCCCAGGGCTTCCCAGAATTTCCATGCACAGCCCAATGCATCATCTTGTGCTTGTACACAAGAACATTTATTCAACGTTATGGGGGCAGGGGGATCCCCGGTGCAAGAAGCTCAGATTTGGCAGTGTTGGGAGGGTTCCTGGAGGAAAGAGCAGAGCAGGCAGCCCGTGGGGAAGCACCAAATAAACTCTGTCACATGCTTGCGGCGATATAAGCAACACAACATATGTTGTTGGAGTTTTGTGAAGTCACATTTTAAATCTGTGTGTTGCAGAACTTAATTAACCAGGAAAGTCACGAAAGGTGCCAGAAAAGTACAGTGAGCGAGCAGAAAACCCCTGCAGACAGCTTCGGGTACCCCAGGTACAACAGGCTCCCTCCCCTCAAAGTCCTGCAGCCCCAGGATGCGGCTCTGCATGCCCTGAGCTGCTCCTCGTCCACGTGTGGGAGCAGCACCCAGACACATCCCAACAGCACAGGCCCCCAGGAGCAGTAACACGGAGCTTATTTTGACTCCGAGTTTTGAGGTCAGCCACAAAGGAGCTCCTTTAAGTTGGGAGCATTTCAGTCACCCCAGGCTTCTCACATACCCTTGTTTACTGTGTTCTGGTTATTTACCACGTTAATTGAGGTTGTGGGCAGAAAATCAGCTTAATGTAAGGTTTTCCATTGCCAATTAACACGTTCCTATTTGCAGAGTTAGATAATCACTGCCTGCCGTCCTCCTGGCTGTAATTCACATCTTACTTTGCATAATTACCTCCCATTCACTGCTCACAAGCGTGCCCTTACCCACAAGCCTGACTCTGAGGTGAAGCCTCTTCACCCCACCTGTGAAGTGACCCCTCTCCCGCAGGTCTCACAGATGGGCTACGTTCAATTCTGCACCACTGCATGATACCCACCGTGTTAAATGGCTTCAGCCATCTGGGAGAAGCAAGGAGCTTCTCAGCATCAGGAATTGTAATTTCTAAAGGAATCACACTATTGCCTCGGTCCCCAGGATGCTGCCTGATGTGGAAGCTGCTGCAGTCAGCACGGCTCCAGGTCTGAGGGGATGAATGTCATTTGGAGCATGAGGCTACCCTTCAGGTCTCTGCCTGCAGAGCAGAGAGAAGCTAAAGCCAACTAAAGCCACCCCAAAGTGCACTTTTGGCTGCTCATGAAGTCTCCCAGCACCTCTTCATGTCAGGATGAAGTCCACTTACCCCAGCTGGCATCTCATGAGTGGGGGTTCCCTGAAGCCAAGCAGATGTCACAGCTCCAGCGTTAGGGGCTGCCCCGGAATGCTGCTTAACAAGAAGCCAAGGAGGCAGCGGCCCTGCAAAACCCACCCACCTTCTGCACACCTGCAGCCAAGCCTAAGGAACTCAGAGCATGGGCTCGCCCATAGCCCCACAGTGAGAGCCCCTGAGCACTGCTCCTCCACACCTTCACCACTGAGTTCACGTGGGCTCCACAATAAACCGAGCTGTGTTTCAAGTGAGGGCACAAACCGCTGCACAAGACGTGCTTTGGTGGTACGTGTTGATGAGGAAACACCTCGCTCTGCCCAGCTCTTCCTGTGGATTTCCCGCATGCTTTCCTCTCCCTCCACAGAATGAAGGCCTCATTCATCTGGGTCTCTTTCCTTGGGAGAGCACACACTTACCGGCTTCGTCATGCAAGTGATGCCAGGGCTCTTGCAAAATCCTGCCAGAACCAGGGCTCTCGGAAGGCATTTTGAAAGCCTGCAGAACAAAGGCACATCTTGTTGCCTCAGGCTTTCCTGCTTCTAACTGCTTCCGAAAGCTCTTCGCAGCCTTCCCTCAGCAGCTCCTCTGACTCAGCTGGGTGGAAAGAGAAATACAGGGTTCAGCACAAGAGCCGCTCCCACAGGCTGACTCACTTGAGCTGCCCTTGAGGAGCTGCTGGGCATCCAGTGCACCACGGACTCTTGAGGAGAAATCCCTAACTATGGACACCAGGGAGAACTGCTTGCTCTGTGCGCGGCAAAAGGCTCCGTGTTGTTTCCTTATCTCTACATGGCCATGGGGAGTGAGAACAGGCCAGGTCTTACAACCCATGCTGCTCCATAGGCTTCCATGCAGCCAGCACCCTCCTCTCCAGGGCAGGCAGCACTGATTGCTGCCCAAGCTGACTCTGGAGCAGGTTTAGCCCGCAGCAGAACCACCACAGCTTGCAGCCCAGCACCACAAACCACCCTCAGCTCCATTCGTGCCAAGGCTCAGAGCAGGAACACAGCCCTGCTGTGGAAACAGCGACCTGGAGGGCACAGGGCAGCAAGAGCTTTCCCTGCTGCCCACAGACACAAAGGAGACTGCCCAGAGCGGAGCCGCTCCAGAGGCCCTGCATCCAGTGCAGCATCCCCAGCAGGCTCCAGTACCGCATCCCCAGCAGGGTCCAATACCGCATCCCCAGCAGGGTCCAGTACCGCATCCCCAGCAGGGTCCAGTACCGCATCCCCAGCAGGGTCCAGTACCGCATCCCCAGCAGGGTCCAGTACCGCATCCCCAGCAGGGTCCAGTACCGCATCCCCAGCAGGGTCCAGTACCGCATCCCCAGCAGGGTCCAGTACCGCATCCCCAGCAGGGTCCAGTACCGCATCCCCAGCAGGGTCCAGTACCGCATCCCCAGCAGGGTCCAGTACCGCATCCCCAGCGGGCTCCAGTGCTGCATCCCCAGCGGGCTCCAGTACCACATCCCCCGCGGGGTCCAGTACCCCATCCCCGGGGGCTCCAGGGCCGCATCCCCAGGGGGCTCCGGTACCGCATCCCCGGGGGCTCCAGGGCCGCATCCCCAGGGGGCTCCGGTACCGCATCCCCAGCGGGCTCCAGTACCGCATCCCCAACGGGCTCCGGTGCCGCATCCCCAGGGGGCTCCAACGCGAACCCCATGTGCTGGGCAGGCAGGACACAGCGCACGGCCTGGAGCGGGAGGCTCTGCTGGTGCTGCGCTCGCCCCCACCTGCACTGAGGTTGAACCGGGGACGTGAGCCCCGTGACTCCGGCTCTGACCCCCGGTGCCGCCGCCCTCGGGCCCGGCTCTAGGGCTCGCTTTAAGGCTGCGCCTGCGCCGTCCAGGCCGCAACCATCACCATGGCAACCTGTGCAGCAGGGGGCGCTCGTGGGACCGGAAACCCGGTGGGGTCCCCCCCGCCCCGGGGCTCGTCCCGGGTCCGCTCGGCTCCCCCCCGGCCCCCGGTGCCGCCCCGTGGGCTCCAACCCCCCCCGCACCACCCGGGTCCCACGTCCCGCTCATCCCGCCCCGGGGGCCTCCCCTCCTGTGCCCCCGCGGGCACCCGCAGAGCGCAGGGGGGCACGGACGGGGCTGCAGGCAGCGGGGACCCTGCCCGGGCAAGGACGGGGGTCCCAAGCCCCCCGCTCTGCTCTGCTGCGGTCCCGGTGCCAGGCAGGGGCTGGGATCCGCATTCCCTCAGTCCCAGAGACCCCTGCAGGAACCCCCCCTCCCGCGGCGGGACCCCGCTGCCTGCCCTGAGGTGTGCAGGGCCGGGGGCTCGCACACGGTGGGCATGGCACAGGGTGGGCATGGAGGGCAGGGTGGGTATTGCCAGGGCAGGGTGGGCACTGCGAGGACAGGGTGGGCATTGCGAGGGCAGGGTGGGCACTGCGAGGGCAGGGTGGGCATTGCCAGGGCAGGGTGGGCATGGCGCAGGAGCGGTGGCCGCGCTGCTTCCCCGGGCGGTCACACAGACCTTCCTTGATGGAGCGGGACAAAGGTTTTGTTCTTCTCCCAACACTGCAGCCTTGTGCGGCCGCGGCGGGCAGCGGCGGCAGGCAGCAGGCAGCGCGGGCCCCGTGCTCCCACGCCACGGCGCAGAGGGGGAGCTTCTCCTCCTTTGTCTGCTCCCGGCCAGAGCCGCACCGGAGCATCCAGGGAAGGGCCTTGGCAGGAGCCGCCCAGGACAGCGGCCAAGGTCCGCTCTGCCCCGGCACAGCCGCCACCGGCTCGGCCTCGCCGCGGGAGCCGAGCTCTTCATGACGGAAACCCGACCGGAGAGCATCCGGAGCGGGGCCGGCAGCCGCGCCTGGGGCCGGGGAGGACGGCAGCATTGGGGACAAGGACACCCGCGCCCCGTTCCCCCCTCGGCGCCCGCTGCCGGCCATGGGAAACGGCATGAGCCAGGTAACGGGGAGCGCTGGGGCGGCCATGCCGGGGCGGCTTGTCCCGGTGGCGGCGGCGGGACACGCTCTGCGGTGCCAAGCGGCGTTTCAGCTCCCGGCACCGCTTCCCAGGCGGGCTGTTTGCTGCCGGCAGAGCAAAACCGGAGGAGAAGGCGGCGGGGACGCCGCCAGCAGCGGGGGCTCGGTCCCACAGACCCCGGGGCTTGTGGAGGGCAGGGCTGACAGCGAGCCCCTCCGAGGGAGGGGGGAATCCTTTAAAGCCAAGGCACCGGCTCCCGAGCACCCACCGGGAGCCCTGTGTGACCCCAAACCCTGCAGTCTCGCACTCCCTGCTCAGCGGGGCCGGGCTGTGCGTGGGGCTCAGCACCACGGGACGGAGGGGACGGTCACCCTGTTAGGGTGGTTTGAGATTTTCCCTGTCAAAGCTGAACGGAGAATTCTCCCTGCAAAAATCTCCAGGTTCTAAGCTTTAAAGACCCCTCCTACACACCCCCCCCCCCCCAGCCATTCAGTATCTGGGGAAGTGCCCAGTGCTGCAGACTGTTCTGCCCCATTATCCTCCAGTAAGGAGCGGGTCAGAAGGGTGCTGGGGACAGGAACGTGTCCTTATGCATGGCTCAGTGTCCTGCCCTTGGGAGCTGCCCTTGCCGGCTGGCGCTCTCCCACCCACTCCTCTCAGTGCTGCAGCTGATAGAAAACTGAGCCAGAATACTATGAATCATAAAGAAAACCTTTTTTAAGCTGTTCAGGCAAGAGAAACGTTTTCAGACGTGGGCAGTGGGATAAGTGGGAGCCCAGCTGTGCTGGTGGGAACGAGCTCTGCTTGTCCAGGTCCTGGGCACCAAACATCACCGGAGGGAGAAGCCGCAGGGGAACCAGCTGGAACACGGGGTGAAGAGCCCGGGAGCCTCACTGCCCAGGCTGGGAGATAGGGAAGTATAAAATAGCTCAGGGGAAGAAGGTGTCCTCGTGCATCTGCAGTGCTATTAACAGAGGCATCGTCACGTAATTATCTTTTCATCACGAGGAGTGGAATTTCCCAAGGAAAATAAGATGAAGACACGATGTCCAGAGCGAGCTATTCCTGGGCTGTTAGGAACAGGCTCCCTGCAGCACAGAGCGAGGGGAGTAGAGCCTGGGGCTGGCCCGGGGAACTGCTGCATCCCCCGCTGGCTCCCCTATGCCTGTTGCTCCCTGTCCCTCGGTCAGCAGGGCTTCCACAAGTCACGGGTAGAGTGCGGGGCTGTACGAGGTGTACGCTGCTTGCTGAGCTCAGATAAAGTTTTGATAACAAGGAAGAGCTGGCTTGCAGCACCCATGAGGGTGCCAGGGCTGCATCCAGCCCCGTGTGTTGGATCCCAGGGAGCCTCTGGAGCACACAGGATCAGGGGCACTGGCGCTGCTCCTGCCCTGTGCGTGGTCATGGTCCATTAATGGCAGAACTTTGGCCTTTCAGCCAAGGCCACTGCTAACCACGGGGGTCCTGGCGCGGTGGGTACGGGTACCATGGCACAAGGTCACTGCTCACCCTGCCCTTCCTTCCCCTTGTGTCCCACAGATCCTGCCCGGCCTCTACCTGGGGAACTTCATCGGTAAGCAGAGCCCTGCGGCCACACAGACGTCCTCCATCGGGGAGCTGGGCTTGAGCTGGTGCCTCCCTGCCTGCGAACGCTGCCCAACGCCCTGCCAGCACCCACAGGTGCTCTGCCCTGTGCTGGCAGCAGTGGAGGCACGGGGGGAAAGAGCAGGCAGAAACCCTCCACCTCCGCTTTGGTTGGGGGTTTCCCAGCTGTAGGTGCAGGAGGGGGCTGCCCACCCTCAGGGGGGGAATTTCTCCCGGAGGCAGTCACCCCTTCTCACACCAACCACTATTTTAAGGAGTTTTCATTCTCCAGGGGCGATTCATGACCACATCCTGGCATCTGCCACGCCGAACCGGCATTTATTAGTGCTCCTGCCTCCCTAATGGCTCTTTTGGCAGCTGGATTCCTGCTGGAAGTGTGAGAAAGTTGAAAACCGCTGGTGGGAATTGCCAAGACGATGTCACTGGAGCCAGAGCAACAGCCCCAGTCAGGGCACCCTGTGCTCCCCATGGAGCACGCTGGGATGAGCTGGGGGAGCTGCGGCTTGCTGGGAGCAGAGGGGCCCAGGTTCATCGTGGGGGATCATGCATGGGGGCTCTCGGCCTGATGCCACCCGAGCATTGCTCTGCCAAGCAATGCAGGGCGAGGACAGAGATTTCAGGCCTCCTACATGAAGCTCTGACTGCTCAGAGACGTTTTCTCCAGCCAAAAGCTGTTCCAGCCGCTGTAAGCCTGGATGCCAGTGTCACCAATCGCTGGCACTGCCTGCCCGAGGCGGTGGGAAGGTGATGGGCACCGTGCAAGGCCCCACAGTGGTCCCCAGCTCCATCCCCACATGCAGCCCGCCCGGCGCACCCGCAGAACGTCCCTCTTGAGGCTCTCTCCTATTAAAATTCACATCACGCCGTTGGCACATCACGGGCTGGGTTCCCGAGCCAAGGTCTTAACACCACGTGAACATTTACAAACCCAAAGCGATGAGATGGGAAACACTGCTCCTCCTCCCAGGCTGGTCATGGCATGAAAGGGAGACGGCTCCAAAGCCGCCCAGCCAGCAAGAGGAGCATGCTCCCCTCCCAGTGCAACCACCGCTGCGCCGGCCAGTGACCGGGACCACAGACTGGGATGTGGAGCGTTAGCAAGAAGCAGGTCATTGCCTTAGACAGCTGAGGAGGCCCGGCTTCGATGCATGCAGCGGCAGAGAGGGCACGGAGTGCTGCAGGTCACTGCTCAGCTGTGCTCTGCACACCCCAGGTGCTCAGGCAGCGGGAGCTGAACTCGTGGTTGATCCAAATCCCTGCAGCTCCGCTCCCAGTTGACAAAGCAATCCCCGCGGGTGCAGCGAGTCCCATTGCCACGGGCGTGTGTGCACGGGGGGGTGCAGGCAGCCCATCTCCTCCCCATGCTGGGACAGGCACAGGCAGGAGCTGCTGGCTGGCAGAGGAGGGTTTTCCATTCGGGTGTGAATCCTTCCCACAGCAGAGCAGCAGGGTCCAGTGCCCTCCAGGCAGGAGGATGCGGTTTGGTACCACAGGGTTTGGGCTCCGGATTTCCAGGGTGCATCTGAGTGTTCACCCATGTCTCACTGCTGCACATGGTGGGTGTGGTGCTGGAGCAAGGCTTTGAGTGCTCTCCGTCTGCAGAAGCACGGTGGATGTGCTTGTGGGAAGAGAAGGGTAAGGAACAAGCACGTGCTAATATCTAGTTTTATCCTTTAGATGCCAAAGACCTGGAGCAGCTAACCCGGAACAAGATCACACACATCGTTTCCATTCATGAATCTCCCCAGCCCTTGCTGCAGGTAGGGTCCTGCACCCGAAGCCACCCTGTGGATCCCCCCAGCTCCTTCCATGCTGCAGCACCTTCCTTTCCCCCAGGCATCCCACAGCACGTGCACCTCTCCCCGGTCAGCGGTGCCAGAGGAGCTGGGCAGCCGGCCCGCATGGGAAACAGGCCCCTGTGTGATTTAACCCGGCCTTGAATGCTAATGGGAAACAATTTCCAGCCTCCAGCTTCATCTTGTTTCCCACCCTCTCCCATGAGCTGCCTGTCCCGCACTGCCCTCCCCTGCCAAGAGATGCTGTGTTGGGGGAACAAAGCTCCAAAGGCTGGCTGCAAGCATCCCTGTCACCCCAGCCACAGCACCCACGTTCCTCCTCTCCCTTTTGTGTCTTCCAGGACATCACCTACCTCCGCATCCCCCTGCCTGACACCCCTGAGGCCAACATGTGAGTACCCTGGGGGTGCCAGGGCTGGCCTGGGGAGAACTGGGAGCCGCAGGGCATTCGGGGCTGAGGCGCTGCCTCCAGCTCCCCAAGCGCAGGCTGATGTCCCGGTGCTGGGGACCAGCTCAGGACCATGACAGCATCCCAGCTCAGTGACTGCTGGGGAGCAGGTCCTGGCCCAAGCGGGAGGTGCCTGGAGCGGGTGGAGGCTGTGGAGCCAGCCAAGGGTGCTGGTGGGGCTGGAGGTGTGAGCAGCCAAGCTCCTGCTGCCCCAGCCCCAGTCACACAAGTCCCAGGGCAGCCCCACACATCCCCAGCACCACGTCCCCATCCCCAGTATGGCCTGAGCTGCCCCCTCCACCTTCCCTTAGGGAACAACAGCACTGAGCTGCCCAGGTCTTGGCAGCTACCGGCAGTGCCTGTAAAGCAGCAGGCAGTTTGTTAGTGCTTCATCCCCAGACACGCAGGGCTGCTGGGCCTCCAGCCTAAAAAGCCCCTTCCACCCCTGAAGTCCTTATTCCACCTGCTTTGTTTCTCCTGCCAGCAAGAGGCACTTCAAGGAATGCATCACTTTCATCCACCAGTGTCGCCTGCACGGAGGGAACTGCCTCGTCCATTGGTAACGTTTCCATTTCCCATGCCTGATGTTGTGGCCCCCCCAGCACAGCAGAGCAAAGCCAGCCCATGCCAGAGGGCCCCGTGCCCGTGGATCCACCCTGGGCTGTGCCTTGTGACTCAGAGCCAGGGGCATGGGGCAGCCCTGGAGACGGGGCAGCTCCTGCTGCCGCTGGGCAAGCAGCAGAGCAGGGTTTGGGGCAGGCAGCCAGGCTGCAGCCGCTGCTCTCAATGCCCCGGGACCAGCGGGTATTTATAGGCACTGATGGAGGGGACCTTGGAAGGGCTCAGCTCTCCCAAGCTCCCGGAGAAGAGGAACTGAAATAGCTGGGGACGAGGGAAGGGGCAGGCGTGGGGTCAGCATGCGCTGCCGACAGCGGCCCTTTCCCTCGCCAGCCTCGCTGGCATCTCCCGCAGCACCACCGTGGTCGTCGCCTACGTGATGGCCGTGACGGAGCTGAGCTGCCAGGAGGTGCTGGAGGCCATCAGGACCATCCGGCCTGTGGCCAACCCCAACCCCGGCTTCAGGCAGCAGCTGGCTGAGTTCGGCGGCGGCGCAGCCCGCAAGGTGGGACCGGCCTCTGCCCCCCTGCGCTGCTCCTCAGCAGGGTCCCGGAGCAAGGATGGGTCCCCACGGGACCGGGCTGCTTCCCTGCTCCCCCTGTGGACAGGCTGGGACCTGCCCTTGGAAACAGGCACCTTAGTTTGCTTCTTCCTCCTTCCCCAGGTCCGCAGGCACCTGAAGCAGAGGTACGGGGCATCCCCTTTCAACGATGAGGAAGAAATAAGAGCTTTGCTGCCAGCAGGCAGAGGGGGACCCTCCAGGACAGAGGGAGCACTGCAAGGACGGGTCCCAAGGGGCAGAGACATCAGGAGCACAACTCCCTTCCTGCTGCGGGTGAAGAGGACGTTCTCCTGCATCCCGGCTTGTCTGAAGTGACCCCAGCCACGGGAGAGGAGCGAGAATCACCCAATAGCCTGGGGGAGACGAAGGAGCCGCTGCACAGGGGGCTGTGCAGGGACCCACACCAAGCCCAGCTCCTTCTTCTCTTCTGGGGTGCAAGCGTGCCGTCCCCTGCCCTGGCTCGCAGGCAGGGGTTCACATGCACTGCTGGGCTCCGCAGCGCTCGGTGGGCTCAGCCTCTTCACATCCAGCATTCCGGGGACGCCTGGTGAGAGGCACCGGTCTCTGTCCCCACAGGGCCACCAAGGGGGTCAGCACCCAGGTGATGCCAGCAGCAGCTTTAGCACCTGGGTACCCGCTGCACGGCCCTCGGGGCACACAGGGTGTGGGTTTCCCCACCAGCAGCACAAGCTCCCAGAGCCGAGGTGGATGTGGAGCAGGGGCAAGCGGGTGCATTAGCAGGTAACAGCACCATAGCAAGGGGCCAGCTCCAGCCCGGCCAAGCACAAGCCCTGAGCGAGCACTGCAGCTTTTGGAGCCCATTGCACCCCATTCCCACCCATCCCAGGGCACAATCTGTACAAAAGGTGGGAACTAAGCATTTAACCTGGCCAGACCTCACTAAAGCAGAGCCTTAAGCCATTTTGCTTAAAGACTTTCTACGTCCCCCCGGTAATAAACACCTTTTCTCCACGATCCGCCTGGGGCACAGTTGTACTCCCCTGCGATAGCTGGGTCAGAAGGGAGATGCTGAGGAGGAAGGTCCCAGCATGGGGAAGGTCTGGAGCTGCTGAAGCAGGCAACAGTGGGCTGGACAGGGTGGGCTGGGGACCACTCTGCTGCCTTGCAGGCAGATTATGGGGGGGGGGGGGGGGTGTCAGAAACCCAAGTGCCACAGCAGGGCTCTGTATGGGGACAGGTTCTGCTCCAGGAGGGCCCTCACACGGAGCCCGTTTCACTGCAGCCCCTTCACTCACCGGGTCCAGGAGCCTGCTGAGAGCCCGGCACCAGCTGAGCATCCCAAGCATCAGCTCCCTCCCGGACCTGCCCTATTTAAACCTTTCCCTGAGGCCCAGCCCCAGGTGGGGAAGATGCTGATGATGCCCAGCTGGGTCATCAGCCCCTCTGCTGGGAGCCAGAGCATGGTTCTGGGGTCCCTGTCACCCCTCTCCCGCAGGGGAATGTGACCCCGAGGGGAGACAGGGACAAGGACAAATGCCAGCTGTGTGTGATGGGGTGCCAGGGTGAAAGAGCTTCCTGGAAAGCAGGGACTGCCCGCTCCCCAGAGACACCAGCATGGGGCAGAGCGTGCCCATCAGTCACTAATGATCACTGCTTCAGCCCTGCATGGTGGCTGAAGGTGAGCCCCCAGCCAGGCATCCCGAGGGTCCCTTGGTGCCCATGGTGCTGGTGCTGGGGCAGTGCAGGGCCCCCCATGCTGTGGGAGCTGCAGGGGATGCACCGAGTGCAGGGCAGGAGGGGCTGTGGTGGTTATGGTGTTACTCCCACGGGCTGTGCCACACCGAGCTCCACCTTTTGGCACCCTAAAGCTCCCTTTTGTTTCGGGGAGGGTAATTGAGTTGCTGCTGGGAGCCCCGAGGTTCCTGTGTGAGCAGCTCCTTGCCAGAGCCTCAGTCCGTGGTTCCTCCCTCTGCCTGCAGGGCTGGTGCTGCTTTGGGGTGACCCACGAAGGCCAGGAGCCCAATTCCCACCTTGCTGGACAGGCACTGAGCCCATGGAGTTACCTGCACCCTCCACCGCGGGGTCCCACTCTCCTCCAAGCTCCTTCATCCCCAGGCCAGGGCTCTCCAGCACCATTTACCCCCCCCAACACCCCAGGACCACGCACCAGGGATGGATGTGTGCCCTATACATGGCTGCACCCTCCTGTCAGCCCCATGCCAGGGCACGCTGTGGCACAGGGTTTCCCTGTGACCCCACTCAGAGCAACGGCACCTCCAGCCCAGCTCTGCAGCCCAGCAAAACGTGTTTAGTTTGGCAGATGTGGTTTGCACTGCCCAGGCGAGGGCAGGGTGAGCCCTGAGTTAATGTTTGACTCCTTCAGAAGCTCATTTTGGCATGAAAAGTTTAAGGGTTAAGCAGCTTCACCTTCCCTTGCGCAAAGCACAAATGGAGCCCCGAGGACCCCGGAGCATCCTCACGGATCCCGGGGTAATCAGATCCACAGGTCCTGTGGGTCGCACGAGATGAAATCCCTGCTGATAGAGGCTTATCCCGTCAGGCTGGCGCCGGCTGCCATTGCCCCCTGGCCTTGCACGTAACCCGTGCAAGGCGCTGGGTGAGGCTGTGCTGCCCCCCTGCCATCGCCCTGCTTCCCAAGGAGAGATGCGGATCCTCCATCAGTGAAGGGGCCACGGGCGGGCTCAGTAAGGACAATGAACAGCTCTGTGTGCTCCATGTGCCATCGGTGCCATGTGGCCACGTCCCCTTGTCCTTTGGGAAAGCCCGGGGCTGGGTGCTGTGATGCTGCTTATTCATTTCAAAGCTCCACAGCCCTGAGTGTGTCACCACTCATCCTCCTCCCTGCGAGAGGCGACTTTCTCTGACTCAGAGCTGGAAAGGAAACCCAACGGGCTGCAAAAGGAGACCTGGTGGCTGCAGGAGGGGCAGAGCCGGGTTTTCCCGTGCAGCCACACGTGGCTCTGCAGCAGCGATCGCAGAATCGTTGAACGGTTTGGGCTGGAAAGGACCTTGAGATCACCCAGTTCCAACCCCTGCCATGGGCAGGGACACCTCACTCAGGGTGAAATACCTCTTCCTCCTAAAAGGATGGCTGGGAGGACAGACCCTGCTGGTAGCTGTGGCTTAGGGAAGGATGCTCAGGAGCCAGCCGGGAGCGACGGGGCTGCTCGGGACCCTCGCGGCGCCCAGTCCGGTCCCAGTGCTGACACCCCGCTCCCCGCAGTGCGGTGTGGGTGCGGGAACCGCTCCCTGAGGCATGGGAAGGTGCCCAGAAGCAGCACTGTGACCACGGGCACCGGTTCTGCCCGGAACCCGGGGCCAGGGCGGGATGAGTCAGGCTCCATCCCCGGCCCCCCTCAGCCTTTGGCACTGCCCCTCTCGGCTCTTCCCACCCCGTTCCCGTTCAGCTCAGCAGCCAGAGCCCCGCGAAGCACGTGCAGAGCAGAGCAGAGATCCGGGAGATGGGGCAATGTCCCTGCTCACAGCAGCCTGGAAACCCTGCGCCTGGTCCCACAGCCCCACACACCCACGGGCTACGCTGGTCCCATGGGGGGACACGGCCCCGGGGCAGGGAGATGTCCTGGTCCCGGGAGCAGGAGGATGGGGGGAGCGGCTCCCCTGTCCCCTGCGGGGGGTGTGCGCGGGTCCTTAAAGTCCGAGAGGAGGCGCCCGGGAGGGGCGCAGAGGAGTCCCTTGTGCTCCCTGGTGCCGTCCCCTCTCCCGTGCACTGCCCTGTTCCCTACCCCATGAGTGGCCCTGTCCCCCCTCCCGTGGCAGCCCCGTGTGTCCCGTCCCCCCCCCGCGGGGCTGGCAGCGCAGCCGGAGCCGGCAGAGTCGGGCGTGAAAGGGAAAGTGAAACCCGGCTCCGCGCTTTCGTTTTCTCAGCCCCAGCACGTTCCCGGGGCGCGGGGCAGCGATGGCGGCGCCGGGGGGGCCCATGCGGCTCAAGGAGTGGCTGATAGCGCAGATCGACAGCGGCCGGTACCCGGGGCTGCGCTGGGAGAACCGGCACCGCACGCTCTTCCGCATCCCCTGGAAGCACGCGGCCAAGCAGGACTACCGGCAGCAGCAGGACGCGGCGCTCTTCAAGGTACCCCCGGAGAGCAGTGACACCCCCCACACCCCCCCCGCTCCGGGAGCACCCCCGGGATCCGCCACCCACCTCCGGGTGCACCCCCACGGTTCCCCATTGCCCTGCTCCTTCTGCTGCCCTGGGAACCCCCTGTTTGGCTCTATGAGCACCCCTGGGATCCCCCACCCGACTCCATGTGCAACCCTAGGGCTCCCCATAGCCAAGCTCCATGTGCTTCCCTAGGACCCCCCAACACCCAGCAGCCTCCCAGGACACACAGCCCCAGTTGTACCCCCCCAACCCCATCCCCAGCGGAACTCTTGTCGAGAAGAGCTGGGGGCCCGGATGCTGGCAGCCCCCATGGCACAGGGCACCCTCTGCTCCCCCAGGCTTGGGCCATCTACAAGGGGAAGCACCACGAGGGCACGGACAAGGCCGACCCATCCACATGGAAGACGCGTCTCCGCTGCGCCCTCAACAAGAGCACCGACTTCCAGGAGGTGCCCGAGAGGAGCCAGTTGGATATCTCCGAGCCCTACAAGGTGTACCAGATCGTGTCCGACGGCACCTGGGCTGCAGGTATGTCCCTGCCATCCCTCCTCCTGCGCAGGACTTGGGGCTGATGCCTGCACTCTGCCTGTACAAGCCCCGTGTCCCACAGACGTCACCCTTCCTGGAGAAGAGAAGGTGCCAGGAAGACCTTACAATGGTCTTCCAGTGCCTAAGGGGCTACAAGAAATCTGGAGAGAGACTTTTTGTAAGGGCCTGTAGGGACAGGCCAAGGGGAACGGCTTTAACCTGCCAGAGGGGAGACTGAGATGAGCTCTGAGGCAGAAGCTCTTCCCTGTGAGGGTGCTGAGGTGCTGGCACAGGGTGCCCAGAGAAGCTGTGGCTGCCCCATCCCTGGCAGTGTTCAAGGCCAGGTTGGACACAGGGCCTTGGAGCAAGCTGCTCCAGTGGAAGGGGTCCCTGCCCGTGGCAGGGGTTGGAGCTGGGTGAGCTTTAAGGTCCCTTCCACCACAAACCAGTTTGGGATTCAGTGATTCCTCCCCATTTTTTCCTCTCTGGGTGTCCCAGGCAGGCAGGTATCTTCCCAGGGGCTGTTCCTGCTGTTTGCTAGGAGCTCATCAGGTTTCCTTGCTCTCCACAGAGAAGGATGGTGACACACAGTCCCCAGCCAAGAACCAGCAGGTGAGCCAGGCCCCCGGAGCTGCCTGTGGACTGGAAAAGGTGAAAGCCCCAGATTCCCTCATGGCCCCCACTCATCCCTCCCCACCGCTGCTCTCCCCAGGACAGCACCGTGGGGAGCCCACAGGAGGATGCCCAGAAGGGCTCAGTGATGTGCCACGTGTCTCCATTGCCCCTTCTCTCTACCCACCAGACAGAGCAAGGTGAGGAGGGACCCTGGTCCCTGGCAGCGGGATGGGGCTGGGGACAGGGGGCACCCGCTGCCCGGCAGGAGGGACCTAGCTCCCCACAGCTCTGCACCCTGTCCTGTGTGCAGGCAGTGCCCATGGGGATGGACACCACGGCTGGGGCTCTGTGCCCCAATTATCAGGGGCTTTAGGGGCCCAATAATGAGCAGCAGGAGCATGAAGGACCCTGCTGCCCATCTGGCCCAGGGGCTGGAGCCCTCGGGGTCCCCTGGGGACAGCTGCCCATGTCCTTTTGCCACCTCATCCCTGCCCTGGCCCAGGGTGCCACTTGAGGGGAGTCTTCTACCGCTGGAACCCAACCCACGGCCACGTCCTCCCCAGGCCGCCGCCCTCCCTCCCCGTGGAGGACATCAACCACTCAGGTAGGAGCCGCGCTGGCCGGGCTGTGCCCCCCGGCCCGCGCTGCCGCAGGCTGAGCCTCCCCTCGCCCCAGACTCCTGGCTCCACGTCCGCCTCTACTACTGCGACTTGCTGGTGAAGGAGGTGACGACGCGCACGGCCGAGGGCTGCCGCATCACCTCCCGCCCCGCGCCGGCCGGCAGCGAGCGGCTCTACGGCCCCTCCTGCATGGAGCAGATCGAGTTTCCCCCGCCGCGGGCGCTCGGGGCCAGCGGAAGGGTGGCCGGGATGACCGACGTGCTGGAGCGGCTCCTGCCGCACCTGGAGCGCGGGGTGCTGCTGTGGGTAGCACCCGAGGGCGTCTTCATGAAGCGGCAGTGCCAGGGCAGGGTGTACTGGAACGGGCCCCTTGCCCCGCATAGGGATGGGCCCAACAAACTGGAGAGGGAGAAGACCTACAAGCTGCTGGACACGCAGCAGTTCCTGCAGCGTAAGTGCCCAACTTGCCCTCCCAAGGAGACCTTGGTCCTGTGGGATCCCCGTGTCCCCTGACGGTGCCGGTGTCTTGCAGAGCTGCGGGGGTACCTGAGCCATGGGCAGCCCATGCCTCAGTACCAGATCCACTTGTGCTTTGGGGAGGAGTTCCCCACCAGCGCTGGGCAACACTTCCAGAAGCTCATCATGGCCCATGTGAGTACACACTGGAGCTCACAGCATCCCTGAGCCGGGCACAGGGACCGTTGTGGTACCCAGACCTGCATCCGTCCTCCATCACTTCTGTGCCCCCGCAGGTAGAGCCGGTGTTTGCCCGGGAGCTCCTCCATCATGCTCAGCGCATGGGGCCGATGCTGCTGCGTGACTGCCCCCAGCCCTGTGCCCCCAGCCCCTCCAGCCACATCACCCACGTCCTCAGGCAGCTCTGCCAGCCCTGAGCCCGGGCAGAGGGAGGGGAGAACCCAGGCGTGACAAAGCCTCCAAGCAGGATGCTCATCCTCCCCGTGGCCCTGCTCCGGTGTGTGTGGGGCTCAGCACTGTGAGGCTGGATGCAGTCCAGCACTGACAGAGGCGGTTGATGTCTGCAGCCCCCCTCAGCATCACTGTATTTATTCCCGGGGAGCCATCCAGGTGGGATTTGCTGTGGTGTTTGGTGAGCTGGGGCACAGCCAGCTCTGCCCTCACTCCTTCAGCACCAGGACTCACCGTTTGCAAACCTTAGAAATAAAGGTTGTGTTTTGGTACCTCTGGCTCCAGTGGGGGGGCGGATGCCGGTCTAAGTGGGGCAGAGGCAGCTGGGGGAGCTGGACTTGTTCTGCCGCGGGTCCAGCCCCTTGGTAGGGGTGCAGGCAGCAGCGGGGTGCTCATCAGCTGCTCTGCTGAGCCTGTCTCAGAGGTCCTCAGTGCCCGTGCCTCAGTTTCCCCTGGTGAATGGAGTGAGAGGGCTCCTAGGAGGTGGGGGCTGTGCTGTAACCTGGAGCACAGTGTGGGGACCTGGCATAGAGCAGAGGTCCAGCACACTGCACACCATCTGGCACAGCCCCAGGCTGGGAGAAAACAGGCTCTGGGGTGGGCAGGGGGCAGCAGCCCCATCCCCATCAGCAGCCCCATCCCCATCAGCCCTGTCCAGGTCCCAGCTGCGCAATGTGGGCAGCTCAGGATGAGACCCAGGTCTTGGGAACTTCCCATGGGAAAAGAGGCTGGGGGACCCGAGGACCATACCAGGGGCTCAGCCAAGGCCAATACTGCCCATCTCTGCCCCGGGAGGCCGCGTCGTGCCAGCCCCGGGGCCGCCGGCTGCTGGCCGCAGGCCTTGGCAGTGCATCCGTCCGTCCGCCCGTCCGCCCGCCCGCAGGGACCAGCGCTGGCCGCCGGAGCCCTGCTCCGCCCTGGGAGAGGAGGGGCCGCCAGCGGGTTTTAACGGCCGCGCCGGGGCCGGGCGGCAGAGCGGGAGCACCGCGGCTGCCGGGAGGATGCAGCCGGACCTCCCCGTCGGCGACACGGTGCTGCGCAGCCCAGCGGCCCCCGAGCCGTCCGGAGGCCCCTTCCCCAGCGCCGAGGCCACCAAACCACCCTATAGCTACATCGCCCTCATCACCATGGCCATTCAGAGTGTGCCCGAGAAGCGCATCACCCTCAGTGGTATCTACCGCTACATCATGGGCCGCTTCACCTTCTACCGGGAGAACAAGCAGGGCTGGCAGAACAGCATCCGCCACAACCTCTCCCTCAACGAGTGCTTCGTCAAGGTGCCCCGCGACGACAAGAAGCCGGGCAAGGGCAACTACTGGACGCTCGACCCCGACTGCTACAACATGTTCGAGAACGGCAGCTTCTTGCGGCGTCGACGGCGCTTCACCAGGAAAAGAGGCCTCCGGGATGCACCGGGCACCGATGGGGACGAGGGGCGCGGGAAGCCCCCGAAGCAGCGGGCACGGGGGCCGCCCGCAGCCCCGCTGCCCGAGGAGGGGAAGGCAGAGGGGGGCTACCCCTCACCGGTGGCCACGGGGCGCCTGCCAAGCCCCACCACGCTGCCCGAGGGGGCCGGAGTGCCGGGGTGCGCCGAGCCCTGTGTGCGGGGGCAGCCCCCCAAGGCCAGGCAGCCCTGCCTGTACCTGCCGGATGCGCCGCAGCCCAAGGGGCCGTTCCTCGCCCCCCCGGAGAGCCGCCTGCCCAAGGACACTGCCCTCGGGGGGCTCCCGGCCGCGCTGCAGCTGCCCCGGCCAGGTCAGTACGAGCGCCCGGCGCCGCACGCTGCGCTGCTGCCCGCCCTGCTGCCCGTCCAGCACAGGGACCCCCAGCAGGACTCGCCGGCCCCCCCAGGCACCCCCCCGGGGCAGCTGGAGGGTGAGGAACCGGCCCCCCCGGGGCTGGGGCCAGGCCAACCCTTCGGGCAGGTGCCCCCCGCTTTCCCCAGCCCCCTCCTGGGCACGGGCAAGCCCCCCCCGTCCTGCTTCTTGGAGGGGGAGGGCTACGCGCAGCCCCCCCTGCCCGTTTTCGGCTCCTTCGGCCGCTCGGGCCCCGAGGCGCTGGGCAGCAGCTACCAGTGCCGGGTGCAGGCGCTGAGCTTCTGCGTGAAGGAGCGGCCCTGCGGCACCGCGCTGGAGCATCTCCTGGCCGCGGCACCCCCGGCCCCCGCTGCCCCCCGACAGGCGCCCTTCGGGGCCGTGGGGCCACGGGCGGGTGAGCAGAAGGAGCCGTGGGGGCCGGGGGGGGCGATCCCGCTGCAGGGGGGCAATGGGTACCCCCTGGGGTTGCCCCCCTGCCTCTACCGCACACCCGGCATGTTCTTCTTCGAGTGAGGGACCGGCCCCCCGCACCGAATAAAGCGCATTCCCCAACGCTGCCTCTGTGGTCTCAGTGCCCCGCTCGGGGTGGGCAGGGGCGAGCTGGGGGCCCTCTGCCCCATCCTGGGCGCTGGCTGGGGCACACGTGTCCCCCAGGCCACCGGCACAGCCTTCATCTCTGCCGGTCCCTCCATTGGGGATTTCTGGGTGGATGCGGTGAGGCAGCATGGGGATAGGGCATGGCCTGGGTCAAGGGACCCGCATCCAGGTCCTGTGTCCCTGGCAGATGCTGGGGACAAGGTCCTGCTCCAACGTGGAGCCAGGAGCATGAGAAGCCCTGTCCTGGGGTAGCAGGAGGGAACCACATCCATGAGGGGCAAGAGGATGTGCTGCAGCAGGAACGAGCCCCCACGGAGCCCTGCTGCTGCCTCACTGTGCCTGGGACCACTCAGAGTGCCTGGATTCTCCCATATGCCACACATGGCACAACCAGCACCAGCCTCAGGACACGGCTCCAGAAAGATGCCGGTGAAGTGGTGGCACTCTGCATGGGGCTTTGCTCTGTCGGGACAGGGCTCCCGCCCCACTTTGCCCCTGCTCAGGGCTGTGCCGGTGTCCGCTTGGGGTCCCAGCAGGTCTCTGCAGATGCCCCGAGGCCAGGGCACCCCTAGAGCCCGGCTGTGCCAGGGGCTGCGGTGGGAACGGGCAGGGAAAGCAGATTCCTCCCATCTGAATCACACCGGGCGGCTGCTGGTGAGGAGGCACTGGCTGAGTCACCGCTGCCGGCACCGGGCTGGGCACCGGGGAGGGCTGGGGGGCACCGGGTGGGCAGGCTGTCACCCAGCCACCAACATCTTTCCACTGGAGCAGCATCTCCTGCAGGGCTGGAATAGGGGCAGAGCGATGCTGCCAAGTGGGGTGCTGAGCCCATGCCCCCATCCTGCCCACCCCACACTGGGAGAGAGGACCCCAGGGCACGGCAGCCTCAGGCAGGCACGATGCCGGGGCTGAAGAGCGCACCCCATGCTGATGTGGGAAGCTGGTCTGGGGCTCCTCAAGCCCAACGGCACCTCAGTTTGGCCAATGCAGGGGGTCCCTGCGGGGGCTGCGCTGACACCGAGGGACAGCCCTTGCGTCACTCAGGGACAGGGAGCACTGTGGCCGCGTCAGCCCCGTTATCAGCCCCCAGACGGCGGGGCCATGGCTGCGTCCCAGCCCCGGGCAGGGCAGGGGGGGGCCGCGCCGCTCAGCCCCGGCCTCTCTCTTCTCCCGTTTTAGTTTTTCCCTTCCCCAATGGAAAACAATATTTGAGCGCCTACATCATGCTGGCGGCTCCGGCGCGGCGAGCGCGGCTGACCTCAGCCCCCTCCTGCGCGCTCCCCCGGGGGCGCCGGAGGAAGCGAGGCCGCGGCTGTGCCCAGGGGCCGTCTGGTTCCCACGCAGCGTGGCCAGGCCCCGCGCCCGCCCCGGCTCCCCACGGCGCCTGGGAACACGGGGATGGGGTCCCTGCCCTGGGAGCAGCGCGGCACCGCATGGAGCATCCCATTGCCCCGCGAGCTGCAGCCCCCGGGGACGGGCAGTCCTAGCGCTCCCCCACCTCGACACCCAGCCCGGTTCATGGCTCCGGCTCTCCCTGCTCCTCCCTTGCTCGCAGTGGGTGGCCTGGCCCCCGGCCCGCTCGCCCGTTCCCAGCATGGGCCGTGCCGTGGATGGGGACTGGGCTGCACCTGGTCACAGGCTGAACCTGCTGCCGGTGGTGCCGGTGCTGGAGGTCTGCCCGCTTCCCTTCCCTCCCTGCAGGAGCCGGTGGTTGTGCAGGCAGGGTGGGTGCCATGGGGATGGGTGCAGGGGTGGGAAAAGGCTGAGTGCGAGCGCTCAAGGCTGCAGGATGGATGCTGTGGGCCCTCATGCAAACACCCCAGACTGAGCCAGGTGTATGTGGGGGTGATCAAGACCCCATACAAAGGATGGCACTGGTTGCTATAGCCTTTGCTGGACCAGGATCAGCCCTATCACTGTGCCCACTGACCCCTGCGGAATGGGTCCCTTCCCCCGGGTTCTGGGGGCTCCCAATCCCCGTTCTGCCCCTCATTTGGGTGCATGGGATAGGGCTACGGCTGCTTCCACAGGTAGCCCACAACCCCCCTCTCCTGGCTCTGATAAAGGCACAGTGGGTGCCCCTGTGGGGTCTCGGGGCAGGAGAGGCTGGAGAAGTGGCTGGGGTGGTAGGGGTGGGGGTCCCTTACCCTGTGTTTGGGGCACTGGGATGTGCTGGTGCCTCTGCATCCCTGTGCCACGTCCAGGAACAGATCCCCTCAAGCAGCTCAGGATGCCCGGAGCAGCCGTGGGTGAGGGCCTGGCCGGGAGCGCCATGGGCCGCCCCACGGCAGGGCCCTGCAGCCCCCGGGGCCAGACAGGAAGGAGACGTCATCGCCGCGGAGCGTAACTCAAACCAGATGGGGCCGCGCTGGCTTCCAGGCCCGCGGGGTGGTCACCGACAGGAACCGGCCAAAGGCTGCCGGCAGGAAGCGCCTGGGAGGGACGCCCGCAGCGGGAGGCAGCGTCCGGGGGCCCCGGCGGCCTTAACTGCTTCGGGGCTGGCTGCACCCCCGGGGGCAGGGGCACCTGCCCCACACCAGCCATTACCTGGGCATCCCACCCCACACGGGCAGATGCTGAAGCTGTGAGGACACCTTCGACCACCCATCCATCCCCTTGCCCCAGTACCCTGGGGTGTTCAGACCGCTTCTGCACAGCCAGGGCCCCGTTCTGTCCCCTCTACTCTGCGGCCAAGACATCCCACCCCTTCCCATCCCATCCCATCCCATCCCATCCCATCCCATCCCCTCCTCGGTTACCTGCAGCCCTCAGACTGCACTGGTGAGCAGAGGCACAGGGAGGTGGCCGGAGTGACCCCCCAAGTCCCAGGGAGGCGGGGGGCAGAGGGGGGCTGCGGGAAGACCTGTACATTTATTTACAAGAAGACAAGAGCCAGGCAGGACCCCACGAGAAGTGTCCCCTGCCCCATGGGGATGAGCCCAAAGCCCCCGGTGGGGCTGGGGGTCTGGTGCCACTCCGGTCTCTCCCCAGGGTTCTTCCAGCAGGCACAGAGGGCACAGGCAGCCCTGGAGCAAACACACAGCCCTGGCCGCAGCAAAAGCCAAAGCTGGAGGGTAAAGGAACCCCAGGACCCCTCCCCACCGGCCCCCAGCCCTGCACGGGCAGGGCTGGGAGCTGCAAAGCCTTGGGGATGCTCATCCTGCAGCAGCACTCGGGAGCCCCGCGGGCGCGGGCAGAGGGGAAGGGGTCCGGGGTGAGGCGGAGGAGCGGGGGTCAGCGCCGGCTCCCGCAGCGCGGCCGGTCCCGGGAGCCCCGTTCGCGGCCGCCCGGCAGTTCCGCTGTGTTGGTGGTCGGGCTGGAGCGGTGCTCGCAGGAGCGGGGGAGCGCGGTGCAGCTGCTCCGCATTTCCTCGCTCATCTTGATCCGGTGGCGCCGGGGGAAGCAGAGGTTGCGCTGTTCCCCCGCTGGCAGAGCCGGAGGGCAGGGAGGGCAGCAGGAACACAAAGCCTCCTTCTTCCCTCGCTGCCTCCCAGCTGGGGACGGTGCTGGAAGAGCGCTCGCCGCTTCCTCCCTTCCTGTGCGAGCCGCAGCTCGGGGCCAGCGCCGCGCCCGCACGCGTGGCCGGCCAGGGAGGAGGAGGAGGAGGAGGAGGATGAGGAGCAGGCTCAGCCCCAGCTCCGGTGCCAAAGCGCCGGGGTGAGGGTCCACGCCTGCCCTCGGCGTCCTCACGCCAAAGCGCAGCGCTGGGAAGGGCGGCTCAGGGTCCAGAGCCAGCGAAGGCAGCGCAGGGCTGCGGCATTTACAGGCAGAGTGGGCAAGCCTTGGGTCCAAGGGAGCAGCGAGGGCGCAGGGCGGCTGCCGTGGTTTAAACCCAGCCAGCAACAAGTACCACACAGTCCAAAAGCAGGACAGCAGCTCAGGCCCTGGGGCTCACGCCAGACCAGCCTTTCTCCTCCAAACCCACAGGAAGGAAGCCCAAACGGAGCAGAGATGCCGTGGGTTGGGCACTGCGCAGCCAGGCCAGGGATGAGATCGGAAACCACCGCTCAGGAGCAGCCTCGCAGTCCGAGGAAATCCACTCAGGAGCATCGGCTCAATGGGGATGGGCAGGGATGCTTTAGGCATTCCCAGCAGCGGGTCCCTGGGGTGGGATGAGCTCAGTGCAGCAGCGGGTGCAGGTGAGCCCGGTGGTGTCGCAGCCCTGATGAGTCCCACAGGGGCTGGGTGCCAAGGCAAGTGCAGGCCCAGGAGCGCAGCGGAGCAGCACCCATGGAGGCGGTGGCGTTGGGCACGGAGCAGGGATGCAGCGTGTGCCACAGTGACATGGGATCCAGAGCATCATCTCGCAGCAGCACGGGCAGGGACAGGGCTGAGCAGCTCCAGCCCCTGGCCCCACAGTGGGAGGTGAGGACCCCAGCAGGGTCCTGCTGCCGTCCAGAAGCAAGAGTGACGTGAGACCCTCTGAAGCGGTTCCTCGCTGGCCTCGGCTCAGCGCGGAGCCCTCGCTCAGATGCCCAGCGCCGTCAGTGACCCCGAGCTGGTGATCTTCTTGAAGCGGTTGGCAGCGCACACCCCAATGAAGTTTTTCTGTGAAGGGGAAGCAGGGGCTGCAGCGCTGGATCCTGAGCCAAACCCTGCACCCGGGGCTGGGGACAAGGGGGCAGCCACCCAGGCACAGCTGAAGTGCATGGGACAGGAGCACATGGCTGATGCTGGGGCTCATCCCCTACCCTGTCCTGATGCTGTTCCTGCCCCTAAAAGGTGCTCTTGGGGTGGGCTCAGGGGAGATGACCGTGAAGGGACCAACACTGACAGGGATCCCGTCGTGGGGGCAACCACACAGGGGACCTGGGGCTGGGGAGCCCTTTCTCCAAGCTTAGGAGGTCAGAGAATCGTAGAATAACTGGGTTGGAAGGGACCTTCTAAGGTCCAACCCTTGCAATGAGCAGGGTCCCCAGCCCTTGCATCAGGCAGCGACACAGACCCATCCATGT